ATACCCCCCCCATGCCCAATCCAAAAAACCCCCCCGTAGACCAAACTCCAGAAAGCCCCCCCAACGTGTGGTATCGGACCGTTTTCCTCATGCAAATACACATTTGCCCACCCCATACGTGTGTTCATTAAAGCCTCCGGCCACCATTACAAGTAGATGCTCTCCCCCGGCTTCGAGATGATGAACTCGCAGCCGAGTTGCTCCTTCTCCTCGAACTTCAGCAGCTCCCGTTCGATCACGGCGCCGACGTTCGTCCCGTCCAGGCGTTCTTTGACGTGTATCACGACGATCTTGACGCCTTTGAGGAAGCCCTTGAGGGACGGACCCTGCAGCCCGTCCTCGGACTCGCTCATCCCGAGCTCGGTCTCCGTCGGGGTGGTGAGGTGCGAGCTCTCGACGGACGTCGCCGAGGGCGGGAGCGGCGGCAGCGGCGGGACGTTGGGTATGTCTGTCGAGAGTGCCCTCTTGGCGACGGACTTGGGGCTGATGGGAGACTCGTCGCCGTGGGCGACCCGGGAGAGGGGCCCGCCCGTTCTGCGCCGGTGGACGGTTTCCGGGTCGCGCTTGCGCTTGCGAGAGAGGTGATCGACCTGGCGGACTTCGTAGGCCAACGCGCGGAGCTCTTCGATGAGGTAGGAGGGTTTCATGTGGCCAAAGAGGCGGTCGACGGACTGGGATTCGTCGTAGGAGCATTCGATGAAGATGGCTGCGAGCTGGCCCGCTGCGATTTTGGAGGCGGCTTCTTTCCATATTCGTTCGTTGCGGGGGGACAGCGAGATCGAGTCTGGTTCGACGTCGCCAAAGATGAGAATCTCTTGTTTCGTGACGTAATCCTGGATGAAGTAGGCCGAGGAGTCGTAGACGCACTCGGAGGGCATGGGTTCTGGGGCGACGGAGGCGGCGCGGGGGATCATCGGTCCCGTGCTGGGAGGGAATCCGTGGGCGAGGATGCGCGGGGACGCCATGGAGGCGCCGTCGACGGAGCCGTAGCGGTGGGGCGTCGCCGCGGAGGATGTCGAGCCGCGGTGAGGGTGGTGCTCGATGCAGTGCCCGTGGGAGACGGACCACACTTTGGCGAGGAGGTTATCGCCCACTTCGAGGTAGCCTTTGGCCTCGCCGTCGCCGATGGCCGGGGAGCCTCCTTCGACGAGGCGGATATACGTCACGAGGCCTGCGCCGTTGTTCTCGTCGGACAGATTAGGCCAGATGATGTTGTTGAATATGTGATTCTTGAAGGCGTTGATGGTGGTAGGGAGAGCCGCCAGACGTTTCTGGCGGGTGAGTCCGGCTGTGTTGACGACGAACCCGGCAATGTGGTCCAGGTGGGGGTGAGTTATGACATAGGTTTCGATTAGAGATCGGGTGATGTACGCGGCGATAGTTGATGGGTAGAAAGACGTCGTTTCTGCGGTGAGCTCGAGTCCTTTGAACGGGCCGTCGGTGAGAGTGTGGGGGAGGGTCTCCGCGCTGAGACCCGCCGGTACCGTCTTCTCCAGTATGTTCGTTATGGCGGAGAGGTGAACGCCAGCATCGACGGAGATGATGGAGCGTCTTGTCCATCCCGACGCGACTGATCGGACAAGAAGGGCGGTGGTGTTGTTTTCCTGGGGACCGCCGCCGGCGCCCTACGAGTTCGTTAGCGGGGCGATTCACAGGCATTCCAGATATGAAGTGAGAGGTCGCATATCATCAAATGGCGCATCGCATTTCTTTCGGGTGGCATCTAGACTTCTGACGGAATCTTCATCATCTTTTGAATGTCATTCATCTGCACTGGCAGGATTCAGGGGTAAGATGCGCCTGCAGACAGAGTTGCCTATTCGGTGCGACTGCATGAACGGGTGAGGATGCGCCGGCCGGCTGGGTCGGGATGATCTCACGGCGGTTGACCACGCCTCATTGGAACTTGCATCGGTAGATTTTGACGGTCCAATGAAGAGAGGCACCAAGAAGATGTTGGGGTCGGCGAAGTGAGACGCGATGGTGAGAAAAATGACGGATTTAAGCTGAAGGGCGCAACGCCAAGAAGGACAAAGAGGAATGACGACGACGACGAATGAGATTGATGCGCAGCAGTGAGATGAGACGGACGTACCAGGACAATGACGTGCAGTGCCGGCGGATGAGCCTGAGCCTGAGCCTTCTCTGGCTCCCCATTCGTGTCCGCCATGACGGGGTATCTTGAGGGCGCGGCGCAATTCTCGCAATATGTGATGCGCGTGGGAGGAATAAGATTTCTGCCCGTGGTGAGAGCGCAGCCAATGCCGCCTCTGATAGCCACCACCCCGCCAGTGACGGATTGCCGTGATGAGGTAAGTCGGCGCGTGGCGGACAAGACGGCACGGCACGGCAGATGGGATTGGCGGCGTCGGCGTCGGGTGACAGCGCAGGGTGTTGGGGTGCTGTGTCGGGTGAGGCGCGCGGTGTGAGACTGGTGTTCGCCAGGGACGTGACCCAGGATGCGGATTCTGGAAGCGCGGCGATTGTCGGTGATGACGGGAGGTGATGAGGTTGAAGTGAGGTGAGGGTGTCGTCGGTGAACGGTGGTCGCGGCGCCGAAGCCACTAACGTAGACGGCGTGCCGTGAGGTAAAAGGCAATAAGCGACGGATGAAAAAAAGTAAGACAGAAGCTAGACGAGGCTCTGGGAATGTCGAAGCTTTCAGGGCAATCGGATGCGCAAAAAAAGAAGAGGATGGACGAAAGGACGAAGACGGTTTCGAAGTGTCGAATCGAAACAGGGCTAGGGCGTCAGTCTGATGTTTTGTGTATCCCGTACCTTGGTGCAGTCAGCGTCGGTCTCTTTTCCCGTCCGTTTTTTGATCCCTTGTTCTCGTTGTCGAAAATCTCAGCCGTCGCAGTCGCAATCGCAGGCGCAGGCGCGGTCCCACTGTCGATTGGCGACGCCGAAGACCTCCACAACGACCGGTCCCCTTGAGGAAATGTGGATGAGGGGAATTGGGGGGGATTGGGGAAGGCGATGGAGTGGGATGGCCGGCTTCCCCGATGCGCCCGACGTCGCGTCTAAGGTACCCTGCCGGTGAGACGGTCAAAGGTGGGTAGTGAGCCGGTTGTCGGCGTGCGCGTAGGCGTAGGCGGGTGGATGTCGAGGTGAGGGAGACGTGGTGTTTAAGTCCGAAGAGGGCGGGTTTTGAATGGCTTTGTTTTGGTGACCAATGTCAGTGCTTCGCAGGTGAAGGACAAGACGGCTCAAAAGCAAGCCTCGGTCGGATGCAGCAACAATTGGAGCGGGCGCCAGAGGAAACACTGTCGATGTTTGTGGATGCAGCGCGGAGCAAATGGTGGTGCAAGTGCTGCTTCTTAGGTCTGAGGTCGTGGTGCGTGTTGCTTGGTGATGTCGGTGAATGTATCGACACGCCTGATTTCCGTGGAGAGGTACTTGACCGGGAAAATGTCCTGCAGGGTGCAGCTCGAGGTGCAGATGCAGTCGTCTGCGGTGTGGTAGGTGCTCAGCTGGCTCGTGCTCAGCTCTCCAGGTTCTTTCTTGCAGCTGCTGTCGGCTGGTCCTCAACTGCTGCCGGCTGGTCCTCAACTGCTGCCGGCTGGTCCTCAACTGCTGCCGGCTGGTGATGTGGTGATTGTGTATTCTGCTGTTGGTGATATCGTCGTGGTGTTGATTCTCTCATCGGCTATTGTCCAAATAGCCGCTTCCTTCCGTTCTTCCAATGTTTCTTCTGATGTTCCAATTGACCAGTAGAGACGCAAAATTCTCTTCAGAGTTCCGGCTACCCTTTCCCGAAGCCGTCGGATCGGAAGAAGCACCCTGCTGCCACTTTTCTTCCTCAGACTTCCCTCTTCCAGATGGCCGTCAAAACTCTCGACCACGTGACGCTTCTCGTCACGGCCTCGTTCCCTTTCGTCTCGCGTCAATTCTCGCTCTTCTCCTTCCTCGCTTCCGTCCTTCGTCTCTTCTGCCCTCCAAATCTCGAAACTCAATTGCTGCCCTGATCGCGCGTCGTTCCAAGGGTCCTCTCCGCCTCAGCCTTTCTCTGTCTTCGCCGTTCTCGAGTCGGGCCAACGAAGTCGACCAATCCCTGGAGAAAACCGTCAACGATCGCCCGCAAGTAAGCTTCGGCCCAGTGTTCCAGCTCTGTGCCCGTCCGATGTCCGATCGCCAATGGCTCGCGGGGGCGACCGGCCTCCAGCTCCGAGAAAGAACGGTCCCAACCTTCAGACGAGGCGTCGAAGCAGCGGTATCCCCTCGTCGTCGGACTCGCCCCGGGGCCGTATTCGCCTTACTGTGCGAACCCGTCAAGTCTAAGAAAAAGGGAAAAATAGAACAGGACACTCACACAGGAAAAAAAAAAGTCTCCAAGTCAGGCCAGAGTTTCCCGCGACAGATCCCGAGTCAAAAACTGCCTCACCGGCCCTTTTCGAGAACAACTCTGTCGACCTCCTTCTCGAGAGCAAAAGGGAAACAAATGACGACCACGACGAGCGCACCGACGTATTTGTACTTCACCTCGTTCAACGTCGGTTTCTTCGGGTCTCTAATTCCTAAGAAACTACGTACCGACATCAGGGCCTGCGTTTCGTTTCCTCCGACGCCAACGCCTCTCCGCGTCCTCCTCATTTCTTCATCAGCACTCCCACTTCAGCCCTGCAGCCTTAGGGCGTTCACGAGAACTGTGATATGACATCGAGGACGAGGGACGACGACGGCACCGGATTGGACGGGACGCCATGGAAAACGCCGCCTCTGACGGCCGAAGTTCAATTCTCAACCTACTACGACATGCAGCTCCGCACTAGCGCTCTCCTCGCCTTCGGCCTCGCCGCTGCACGTCGCGTGCTACCCGCCAAAACCTACGACTCAGTCGTCCACATCGTCAAGCCCGCTTTCACTTTCCGTCCTCTGTCACATTCTGGCGGCACATCCTGCTCACTCAATCCATGTCACCGCCTCCAGTTATTCACCCAAGCGAGACTCCATTCGCAGCTCCATGAGGCTGCTCTTTACGGAAACTCTGTTATGTTGATGTCCCCGCCGTCAAGGGGGCACGGCCCACGGGCTCCTGGCCCCAGAATCTCATCTGCCCCAACCTTCTCACGGACCGAAAGTCCCATCCTGCTCTCACATTCAAATCGTGGCCGTTGGGCGGGCGCACTCACCTCGAGCCCGACCGTTTGGGACCGGTGTCTGACAGGGGCGTTCTGCGGCTGGCCCCCGGTTCGAACAGCCTCAAGCCCTTAAACAAGCCTGGGTTGGTGAGTCAGGTCTTACAGGATTACGATGAACACGGAATATGTGCGCACTTCTTGGCAAGGACTTTTGATATCCATGGTAAATATGTGGTCTATATGCTTTTTTGTCTATGCTGTTATGCTGTCCTTTTTGTCTACCGGTGTTTGAATGCTCCGTCATTATCATGCCTCGTCGTAAAGTGTGTGGACACGGTCGAGTCTAACTAATAAAGATGCTGAAAGAGAGGCCCTCGATACCCAGCTCGAGGACGAGAGAAAGGAAACTATATACGGAAACGCGGACAAAGAAAGCCGATATTCCCCCAAAAAGTATTACCGCACGCGTGAAGGGCTCACACACCGTTTCAGAAACCGGCCAAGATGGAAGAAAGACTGCACACAGAACGCCTTAACGGCGTGATCAATAATCAGATCGAACGGCAGTGGCGGCGCTGACGCTTGCGCTCGCCCTCGCCGTCGAAGGCGCACTCGTCCGCCACGCAGCGTTGACGCTTCCTGCTGCCAATCTCCCCCAGCTGAGGCGTGCGCCCGCCGTCCTCAGCCCTGTGGCTCCTGGCCGCGCCGCGACGTGGGGTCTCGGGAACGTCCGCGTCGTCGCCGAAGACGTCGTCGCAGTCGGTGGCCAGGCGGGCGAGCGCCCTGGACCCGGCGTCCTTCTGCGCGCGCGTGTGGCTCTTCCGCTCGTTCACCTTCTTGATGTACCACCCCAGGTCGCCCTTGTGCTGGTCGATGGAGATGCCCCCGCGGTTGTCGCGCATCGTCTGCCGGACGACGGTCTCGAGGGCGAGGTGCTTCGTCGTGAGGATGTACCACAGCTTCTGCTCCCGCTCGACCACGCGGTTCTCGGGGGGGATGCCGAGCGCCTTGTTGGCCTCGCATTGAGCGCGCCACGTCTCGTAGGCCTTGGTCTGCTCCTCTCTCCAGTTCTCGAATTCCATGACCAGCTCGTCGTGATCCCGGGTCATGGCCATCGGGTTTCTCTCTTCTTTTTCGAAATGGCGGGTGTCGGGGCGGAGGTCAAATGCTTGTGAGATCTCAAATAGATCGAAGCAGCGGTCGAGACACCACAAGTGCATGTAGCCCGCGTTGTGGAACGGGTTGTGCTGCTTCCCCGAGGTCTCCGGGCGCTCATCGAAGCAGACGCGCCAGAAACCCTTGAGGATCGTCCCGTTCTGGGCAGGGCAGCCGTCCCAGCGGCACTTGAGGGTCCGGCCGTCCGTCACGCGCTTGACGCAGCCGTGGGGTAAGTTCTGGATCCAGAGAGTCAAGGGGAGAGAGAGTCGCTTGCGTTCGGTCAGGTAGTGAAGGATCTCGTCGCGTGAGAAACGCTGGCTTGGAGACCACTCGCCGTTCGGGTTGTAAGTGAAGAGCGGGTTGGACGGGGAGGGGCCGCCCCAGGACGGGATCTGGGGAGGTGGCGAGTACCAGTCTGACGCGTTCACGTCTTTGGCTTTGGCGGGGCGGGGGATGCGCTTTATTACCTTGCCGTTCACCACGGGCGTCGTCAGGTCGCGTTTCGGCGGCTCTGGTGATAGCGACGCCGAAGGGGCGGGTGAGAATTTGATGCGGCCTTGAGCGTCGATGATGCTCGAAGGACCATCAAAGTTCGAAGGGCCAAATTCCTCCTCGACAGACTCGGTCTTGATGAAGGGTGGCGAAGCAGGTGCAATCGGACGCGGGTGCTGCAGTGCAGTCGTGGGCAAGCTTGGCGAGACGACGGACTGCGGTGCGGTTAGGGAGGCAATCGGTGTGAAGATGGGCACGAGGGATGCCTCTTCGTCGAAGGTGAATGGGATTTCACCGGCTGAGACGGTGGAGAGGTCTGGGAAGAAAGGGTTGGCCTGGGCGGCGAAGGCATCGGTCTTTGTCTGGGCATCCGAGTACTGAGGCTCGGTGAAGAGGCCCACATCGAAGTTCGGGGTCGGGACCCATGTGAAAGAGCCGAATTCCTCTGTTGGCCAGGATTCCGAGGGGAAAGGGAAAACATCTTGAGGGTCAACTGACGTCGGGTTACCTGGAAGGGCTCCAGGCGGGGCTAAGAGTTCGGCGAGAAGGGCGTCGAAGACGTCCTGGGAACATGCGTCTTTGTTCTCCAAGGGAGCTGCTGTGGGGTTCGAGGGTGGCACGAGCGAGAGCGGTGGTTGCACATCCGCGGGCCGCTCGTCGGGGATTGTGAGGAGGGTATCGTCCAGAAGACTGTCAAATGTGAAGTCGTTTCCAAAGCTGGTGTCTTCGAGCAGCGAGCTGAAGTCGACTTGCGCATCTTCTGTAGGCTGCGGGATCTGTTGTGGTTTGGGTGATGAGGCTTCCGGGGCCAGCCCGGTGTAGCCGTCGAAGTCGAAGAAGAGATTCGGATCGGCGAAGGTATCGAATGATGGCGAGGGGAGGTCGAACAGAGGATCGAGCTCGGTGAAATCCATCCTCGCAGTTTCGAGTTTCCGCGTCGGATGCTGTGAATGGAAAAGACGATGAAATATGAAACTTTAAATCGAATCGAACGGAAAGCTGTGTTTGTGAGTGTCAAGATGCATGTTGCAACGGGCGGCGAGACGACAAGTTTAAATGGTTCCGGGGAGCTTCGTCGCACTGGTCATGTGTCGCCGTCGAAGAGGTAAGTAAGAAGAAAGGATGTCACCCTTTGGGAGGGGCAGCGATGTGTTGATGGACAAAGATTCATATTGCTATTATAGATGTATGGACAAAGTGCCGTTGAACACACCAGGCAGGCTGTGGAGAAACAACAGACTGGCGACAGACAATGGCCTTATTCAAGGCGTGCCAAAGATGCCGTCCTTTGGCCCTCGAAAGAACAAGAGGACTTGAAGAGGGAGCAAGGCAGAGCCTCGGCTTCATTGTTTGGTATCAATGGTATCTGAGATCATTCGTTAGTTACTGAAAAACTAGAGGATCCGAATGAAGTTGGGGTTTGGGATCAAGATCAGGAGATGATGCAAAGTTCTCGACACAAAGTTGTTCCGAACAGGTCTGTGAATTTTTGCGTTGTCTCATCATTTGATGGGGAGGGAGTGAGGAGATTGGGGATATGCTTACCATTTGAATCTTGGCTGAGGCTCTCAGTCAGTTAGTTCGTCGTGGCCAAGGTCAACACCACTTGATGCTGATCTCGACCTACTCGGTCTCGGCGGTGAAGTCTCTCGCCATCCTCAGATCACATTTTGATCGAGTCGAGGATGGGCGAGGCTTAGTGAGACCGTTGTCGATCATCATGTCCGAATGCTTTCGCCAATGTGGTTGTGTACCGTCAACGCCATTGTGTGAGTTGTCTTTGGAGAAGTGAAGAAAAGAAATCAATCGCCAGCAGAAAAGGTTTTAAAGGCGGTTGAAGAGAAAAAAGGTCGGCCACGATCGAAGAGCCCCGCTACGTTGCTCGAATGGCCCGTGCATCGGAAAATAGCACGCCAGGCCGTTTTGGGTGCCCTCCTCGATCGGGACAATTAGCCGAGCCAATGACGCAGTTCGACGTTGGGCAGATCTTCAATCACTCAGAGACTGTCGATGGATAGCATCAACCAAGACAAGACATCCAGGGCTCTGGGGAAATAGGAGAAGTGCTGCCGAATTCCATTGCTGAGGTGAAGTGTGGTCCCTGAATGCATCCCGACGGAAATGGCTTCTGGACATCAACCAGGCCCTACGCAATAGCGAAGCACTCAACAAAAGAAGGCGTTAGATCTCGAGCAAGGGCCGGTGACCTTCTGACCCTTTTGGGATGTCCTCCGGTCGGGCTTCGACCTTCTGGGCCGATTCCTGATTTCGGGGCAGCTCGCATCGACCAGATCCCTGATTTAATCCTCGACGGTGCTGGTGCCGATGACGCTATCATCGACTGCCGTCTCTCAAGGCTGGGTGGGTGGTATGGAATGGATGAAGGCGGTCGAGATGCTCTCAACTTCATGCGCCGATATCCCCCAACCCTGCGATTTGCCTCGCGGGTACCTGAAAGTCTGCTGGGCGTCGAATCCGGGATCTCGACGCTAATCATCGGCTTGACATCCGCTGTCGGCTCATGTGAGGTGAACGCTGAACAGGATGAACTTGCCAAGTTGCCCCTCATTGCTGGTGTTTGGTGATGCGAAATCGTGTCTTGCCGTGGATGCTGTAGATGCAGCAGATGCATACAGATTGCACTAGCTGCTACAGAATACGGAGGACGCTGGTCTCTCCTTGGCCTCCAACCTATTCCATCGTAATCCTCCTCTCGCACTCGTATCTGTACCACCGCCAATTCATCCAACAATCACTGATCACTCCCTTACTCGTCGACCGCACCACCGAATTCCCCGTGTTCCCGCCCGGAACCCTGAATCGCCAGTACGTACTGCTAATATCGGCCTGGGCCTAAGCCCATCTTAGACGCCCACCACCATCCATCCAGATTCCACCACCCTCAATCTCAGCCAAACCCAGGAAACGCTGCCGCCGCTCCTTGCGCTCTTCCTGGCCCGACCTACGTCACGAGACTTGACCGGGTGGAGGAAGACGAACGAACGACCGTCCTGCACCCGCAACCCGCACTACGACGTTGGTCACTGACTGGGCCACCTCTTTCCATAGGTTGCTGTCTGCACACACTGCACCAGTCGGGGAACGGAGTCGGGTACAGCGACCACAGACGTCGACAATCGACATCGTCCCTCCTTCACCTCTCACCTCCCGTCCCATTAAGTCTGGACGACTCCCGCCCTAATCCACAAGCCTCCTTCATCCGGGGGTCTCGGGCACTTCCAGACCTCTTCGCTTCCAACGCAGCAGTGCCCGCCGTCGATGAACCACCACCGACAACATGGCACAATTAAGCCCCGATTTGCAGAACAAGCTCGAGGAGCTTGAGAAGGAGTTGGAGGTACGTTTGCGATCTGTCCCTCGGCCGCGGTCGCGCTCCCCGCCCGAACCACCACAACAGACCTTGCGTTGCGCTTGCGCATCGTGCCCGAGCACTCGCAGCCGCTGCCGGGAGCCTTGATTTGTCGCATTGGCTGACGCGCCCGTGTGGCTATAGGAAGGCGACATCACAGAGAAAGGGTTGGCATTTCCCCTCAGTCTGACCACGATTTGGCAGTCCACGACGGCGCGACGACAGCAGCTAACGAACCCCTCTCTCCTCACAGATACCAGAAGCGACGAACGCAGCTCCTCTCTCAGTACATGGGCCCTGGCTCAGCCGGATTTCCCGCCGCCCCCGAGCACAGAGGCGGATTGGGCATACACTCGCCAGACAGCTCCGGACACCCCTCTAGCGATGGGCACCGCGCAGCCGCCCTCGCCGCCCTCGGTGGCAGAGACTCCGATCCCACGAGCCCGACATCGCCAACCTCAGGCCGACCGCAGTCGCCGTTTAGCGGCCACGGTTCCGGCGGCTACGCTTCCCCTGGCTACGCATCGCCCGGTGGCGGTTACAACTCCCCCGAAATGAACCCCGCAGGCCTCCTCCGCCCGGGCGGTCCCCTCGCCGAGCACAGGCCAACTATGAAGCAGCACGATTCTCTGTTCCTGTCGAACCCGAACGACCCGCAGACGAGGTCCGGCACCATGGTGTCGACGGACTACGCCTTCAACCCCGACCAGCAGGGGGCGTACATGGACCACGGCCAGCAGAACCCATACGACAGCCGCACGGGCACGATGTTGGACACCACGGGATACTTCTCGGGCTTTACTGGAGGCCAGAACTTCGACCAGCCGCCTCAAGAAGAGTACGGCGGGGGACATAGGTACTCCTCCGGCGAGGCCTTTTCGCCCACGGCGGCGATGGCGCCGCCCATGCTCACCGCAAACGACCTGCCTCCGCCAGAGGTGCTCGAGTACCAGATGCCGCTGGAACCCCGCGATCTCCCGTTTGCGATTTCCGACCCGCACGACAGCAACACCCCCATGTCGAAATTCGACAACATCGCCGCAGTGTTGAGGCACAGAGGAAGGACGACGGCGAAACTGCCCGCCTACTGGGTTCTCGACAGCAAGGGCAAAGAGATAGCGTCCATCACGTGGGACAAGCTTGCGTCAAGAGCCGAGAAGGTCGCACAGGTCATCCGGGACAAGAGCTCGCTCTACAGGGGTGACCGCGTGGCTCTCATCTACCGCGACACGGAAATCATCGATTTCGCCATTGCCCTTCTCGGATGTTTCATCGCCGGCGTCGTCGCAGTCCCGATTAACGATCTCCAAGACTACCAGAAGCTCAACCTCATTCTGACTTCGACCCAAGCGCACTTGGCGCTCACTACAGACAACAACCTGAAGACGTTCCAGCGCGATATCACCACGCAGAAATTGAACTGGCCAAAGGGCGTCGAGTGGTGGAAGACGAATGAGTTCGGTGGTTTCCACCCGAAGCGCAAGGATGAGGTGCCCCCTCTGACGGTGCCCGATCTCGCGTACATTGAGTTTTCGCGGGCTCCTACTGGTGACCTGAGAGGCGTCGTGCTGAGCCACAGGACAATCATGCACCAGATGGCGTGCTTGAGTGCCGTCATATCTACAGTGCCTGGAAACGGCCCGGGAGACACCTTTAGTCGTACGTTGCGAGACAAGAACGGCCGGCTCATCGGTGCCGGCTCGACCAGCGAAACGCTGCTCTCATATTTGGACCCTCGCTCAGGTATCGGCATGATTCTCGGCGTCCTGCTTACCGTCTACGGAGGCCACACGACGGTGTGGCTGGAAAACAAAGCGGTCGAAGTCGCGGGACTGTACGCTCACCTCATCACCAAGTACAAGGCATCGCTCATGATCGCCGACTACCCCGGCCTCAAGCGAGCCGCCTACAATTACCAACAAGACCCGATGACCACGAGAAACTTCAAGAAGGGCATGGAGCCAAACTTCCAGACGGTAAAGCTGTGTCTCATCGACACCTTGACCGTCGATAGCGAGTTCCACGAAGTGTTAGCGGACAGATGGCTGAGGCCGCTGCGAAACCCGCGGGCTCGTGAGGTTGTCGCGCCTATGCTCTGTCTTCCCGAACACGGCGGCATGGTCATCAGCATTCGTGATTGGCTGGGCGGTGAAGAGCGCATGGGATGTCCTCTGAAGCTGGATATCAACTCCGAAGATGAGTCCGACTTTGAGGAGAAAGAAGAAGTGAAACCGGCACCGTCCAACGGCTTCGGCAGTCTCCTCGGAGGTGGCGGTACCACGACGACTGAGCAGCGCGCTAAGAACGAGCTCAGCGAGGTCCTCCTCGACCGGGAGGCATTGAAGACGAACGAAGTGGTCGTTCTCGCGATTGGAGACGAGGCTCGAAAGAGGGCCAGCAGCGAGCAGGGCGCTGTCCGTGTTGGTGCTTTTGGATACCCGATACCCGATGCCACGCTTGCCGTTGTCGACCCCGAGACCGGCCTGCTGGCATCACCGCACTCAGTTGGAGAGATTTGGGTCGATTCGCCCTCGCTATCCGGCGGCTTCTGGGCCCTTCCTAAACACACCGAGCAAATATTCCACGCCCGTCCGTACAAGTTCGACCCCGGCGAGCCGACGCCGACGCCCGTGGAACCCGAGTTCCTGCGCACCGGTCTGCTCGGTACGGTGATCGAGGGCAAGATCTTCGTCCTCGGCTTGTACGAGGACCGCATCCGCCAAAAGGTGGAATGGGTCGAGCACGGTGCCGAGGTCGCCGAACACCGATACTTCTTCGTCCAGCACCTCGTCGTCAGCATTGTCAAAAACGTGCCTAAAATTTACGATTGCTCAGCTTTCGATGTGTTTGTCAACGAGGAACACCTCCCTATCGTCGTCTTGGAGTCTCAAGCGGCGTCAACAGCGCCCGCCACGTCAGGGGGCCCGCCTGTGCAGCTCAACACTGCGCTGCTGGACTCTCTCGCCGAGCGATGTATGGACGTGTTGATGCAGGAACATCACTTGCGGCTGTACTGCGTTATGATTACGGCTCCTAACTCTCTCCCTAGAGTGGTGAAGAATGGACGAAAGGATATCGGCAACATGCTTTGCAGACGAGAGTTCGATCTCGGCAATCTGCCCTGCGTCCACGTCAAGTTCGGCGTGGAGCACGCCGTCCTCAACCTGCCGATTGGTGTCGACCCCATTGGTGGTATCTGGTCGCCCATCTCGTCGAACTCCCGTGCCGACATCCTCATGTCCGCCGACAAGCAGTATTCTGGTATCGATAGGAGAGAGGTCGTTATTGACGACCGCACATCGACACCTTTGAACAACTTTGCCTGCATCACCGATCTCATCCAATGGCGCGTGGCAAGACAGCCAGAGGAGCTCGCCTACTGCACCATTGACGGTCGCGGCAGAGAGGGCAAGGGCGTTACGTGGAAGAAGTTCGACATGAAGGTCGCTGCCGTGGCGTTGTACCTCAAGAATAAGGTCAAGGTCCGCCCGGGAGACCACCTCATTCTCATGTACACGCACTCGGAGGAGTTCGTCTTCGCCGTCCATGCCTGCATCAACCTCGGCGCGGTCGTCATTCCGATGGCCCCCCTCGACCAGAATCGCCTCAACGAAGACGTCCCTGCGTTTTTGCACGTCGTCGCCGACTTCCGCGTTAAGGCCGTGTTAGTCAACCAGGACGTCGACCATCTCGTCAAGCTGAAGCCCGTCGGCAACCACATTAAGCAGGCCGCCTCCATCCTCAAGACCCCGATACCCCATTATTACAACACCACCAAGCCGCCGAAGCAGAGCAGCGGCCTGAGAGACAACGGCATCACTATGCAGCCCGCTTGGATTCAGTCTGGATACCCGGTCATCATCTGGACCTACTGGACACCCGACCAGCGCCGTATTGCGGTTCAGCTGGGGCACGACACCATCTTAGGTATGTGCAAGGTCCAGAAGGAGACCTGCCAGATGACGAGCTCCCGCCCGGTGCTCGGCTGCGTTCGCAGTACGACCGGCCTGGGATTCATCCACTCCTGCTTGATGGGCATCTACATCGGCACGCCAACATACCTCCTGTCGCCCGTCGAGTTCGCCCAAAACCCAATGTCGCTGTTCGTGACTCTGTCGAGATACAAGATCAAGGACACGTACGCCACCCCGCAGATGCTGGACCACGCCATGGCCATGATGCAAGGCAAGGGCTTCACGCTCCACGAGCTCAAGAACATGATGATCTCCGCCGAGAGCCGGCCGCGCGTCGATGTGTTCCAGAAGGTACGGCTGCACTTCGCTGCTACCGGCCTCGACAGGACCGCCATCAACACCGTCTACTCGCACGTCCTCAACCCCATGGTCGCGTCGAGGTCGTACATGTGCATCGAGCCTATCGAGCTCTGGCTGGACACCAAGGCCTTGCGCCGCGGCCTGATCTACCCTGTGGACCCGGAGCAGGACCCTAAGGCCCTTCTCATTCAAGATTCCGGCATGGTCCCTGTATCTACCCAGATCGCCATTGTCAACCCCGAGAGCCGACTCCTCTGCCACGACGGCGAGTACGGCGAGATCTGGGTCGACTCCGAGGCGTGCGTCAAGGGATTCTACGGCTCCAAGGACGTGTTCGACGCGGAGCGCTTCGACGGTCGCACTATGGATGGCGACCCGAGCATCCAGTACGTCCGCACGGGTGACCTGGGTTTCCTGCACAACGTGAGCAGGCCTATCGGTCCTGGTGGCGCGCAGGTCGACATGCAAGTTCTTTTCGTCCTCGGCAACATTGGCGAAACATTCGAGATTAACGGTCTGAGCCACTTCCCCATGGACATTGAAGCGTCCGTCGAGCGATGCCACCGAAACATTGTCACTGGTGGATGGTAAGTTGTGCATTCGTGTTGGTGAACAACCGCTAACAGTAATAGTGCCGTCTTCCAAGCCGGCGGCCTCGTCGTTGTGCTTGCCGAGATCACGCGCAAGGCATACCTCGGCTCCGTTGTCCCGGTCATCGTCAACGCCATCCTCAACGAGCACCAGATCATCGTGGACATTGTCGCATTCGTTAATAAGGGCGACTTCCCCCGGTCTCGGCTCGGCGAGAAGCAGCGCGGAAAGATCCTGGCCGGCTGGGTCACCCGCAAGATGCGCACCCTGGCCCAGTTCGCCATCCGAGACATGGACCCCGCGAGCATGGGAGGCGATCCCAGCGGCGTTCCCGACGGACCGGACCCCAACCGGGCTTCTATCGGCAGCCAGCGGAGCATGGGCGGGCTGGCACCCGGCTCCTCGAGCCTACGCAACGTCGAGCACGCGCCGCAGATCTTGGAGCAGGAGGAGTTTGACCAGCAGCACGGACAGATGGCCTCTCTGCCTCCTCAGGGTGGCATCGCGGAAATGCCGGGCGACGAGGGCCCCATCTACCAAAGCCAGCCGAGAGCCCCGCAAGGTCACGGCTACGACCTCCCCGACTTTGACCAATTCGGCCGCGACGACGGTCCGCCGCCGGTCGGAGCGAAGCCGGGCTCGAGGGCGGGACCGGGCGGGCCCCCGCCGCAGATCAACCTGCCCGGCGTTGACGGACGCGAGAGCATGGACCTGTGGAAGAGCAAGGACGGCGGGCAAGACGAGGACTGGACGGCCCAGGCGCTGATGCACATGAACCTCGCCAGCGATTTGGAGAAGAAGCAGGGCCACAGCTGAGAGTCCTGAAGCATCCTGGGATGTGGGGTTGAGTGTGTTTTTTTCATGTTGATATGCCTTGGAGGGGGACTGTCTGTGGCGTCTAGCATGGGTAGGTATGATACTGTCGCGGTTACGAATTGCTTGGATAGAGGATTCCCTGTGCATGCAGCCTCAAAAGATCATTGATGATTCATTTTTGTTGTCATGAGTGGAATGTGGTGATGATGCCTGTGCTCGTCAACTGCATCCGAGTTGTATCGAGACGAAGTCACCAGATCCGTCCCAAACTTCTTAAGCGTATAAAAGTCACCAGGGTTTTCGGTTTTTGAGAGAGGTGGCAACGTGGATTCTCCGCGCTGTTGGATGACAATATCGATGCGGTTGCGCAGGTTCTGACTACGCCATACAGTTGTCACCCGCTCTGATGACCCGAATCGGCATCAAAGAATAGCCGTGATCGAACTTTAGGTCTATCGTTTGACGTCGTTATTCGGTTATTCGTTTTCCGTTATAATTGGCGGGAGGTGGCGAACGGCGAGTAACGGATGGGAGGATGCGGTGATGGAGCTTCTGCGAGTCGGGGGTTTGGGGACATGCGGAGTCTCATCTTGCTACGCAATAGTACGTGTCCAGGAAGACGCCCCATGTTTTCCGCCTTCTCTTCGAGACGGAGAACGATTATTGTGTGAACTACGACGGTTGTCGTTGGATGTAGTTTATATACCTGCGTGTAGAGGGACAGAGATGCGCAAAACAGGATTATCATAAAAGGGGTTCTCCTGTGCCGGTCAGCTTGAAGTCTCCAACAAGATTGCCAACTCATGGCACAGCAGGGGAAGAGGGTATGGTTGCATCCTTCGTGACCTCTCTCTCCTAGGTGAAATGACGTGTCGTGCTAGACAGTGCAGTAGGAATGTAGCCATGTGATGCAATCTCTGCTGTTATCTGGAGTCGTTTTGTGAGTATTCCCTTTAATAAGTGACGGAAAGTGAGATAGAAAGTAACAGGGAGAAAAGTTTGCGTTCAGACACGTCCGAATTCTCACTAGACGAGCAGACGGACACGATTATCAGCTCAGCTCGGGGCTTACATCATGCTCATAGCCTGCAGGCAGAGATACTCATGATTCTCCCCGTTCGCGGGTGTCGACCCTTTTATGAGAGAATCTCGTGTTGCTAAGCACGCGGCACGAGTTCATATAAAAGCCGCCACGCCCCCGTATCCGACGATCACCGGCAACACGGATGCGCTGCTCCATCCATGTTGCTGAGCTAGATAGTCCAGTCGCTTCGGCTGTGCTAGACATGATTCTTATGATCAGCGGGATTGGTATCACTGCGGATGAGGTTATGAGCAACGCGGGCGGAGTTAATCAGGAGCACCGTTATCGTTCTGTGTCGATTTACGAGTATTCTATCTGATAAGTGACGAAAAGTAAGAGATAGCAAGCAACTGACGGGGAAGAATATCGTATATGGAGTTCGGGGTTGGACATGAGAAGGCAAAATCGTGATGCATACCACATACTGCGCGCAACGTCATCGATTTGCGGAAGAGCTAGATGTCATCCTAGACAGCCCACGGTTGAAAGACCTAAATATCGTGGAACTGTGGCTTTTATATTAATCGGCTGCAACTTCATTCAGCAACTTGTGGATATTGCGGTTCAGCGATTGTAAGTAGATTAGCTATCCTGGCCGAGTTGACCTTTCCCATCATCAGCATGGAACCTGGCACCTTTGCCGCCGAAGAATGGTCATGAGTAGTTTAAAGTATAAATAACGCTTGGACGGGCTGGGCCCGATCCAGGCTGGTTGGTGGAAATCCATTCCTCGGAACTCTGCGTTTTATCGAGGTCGTGTTCGGCACCGCCGTCGTCCGTTGTCATCATCGTCTGAAAATTCGTTTGGCTTATTCTAGAAGTTGAGCCGAGGGAACCGGGTTCGAAAACGGATGCTAGTCTGCAGACTCAAGGCCGGTGACATCAACGGGTTCACTGGTGTCGAGCGCTGCGGTTTATAGCAGCAGCACATAAAACAGCATTTGCGTTGGCAATGAGAAGCTTCGTGAATTTGAAAGACTTATATAGCCGGGTTTCTCATGGCCTTGCTTTTCGTGGCGTTTCGACTCCCGTGAGAAAGCTTTCTGACAAGGTCTGTATAGATTTCATGGTATATAAGATAATAAGACGGCTGATATCAGGGACTGGGTCTATTACCTGTTTCTCCGGACAAAACGCTACTTCTTGGAGGCCTCGTTGTGGTCGTTGACTGTTCGAGAGCAAGGTTTGATAGGCAGATAATGTAAGCGAAAGTTATACCTCACTTCGCTTCGGGACTACCCGAAGACCATCACTGCTATTTCATCGGTGTCATTCTTCAGCCTTGGTCTACGTTTATTCAGAGAAATCATCAAACGACGAAAAGCCACTAAACGGACATCATGACAAGTTATGAGGCGCCTGGGTCGTACAGCGCATCTGCAGGATGATGTTTCAACACGCCAGGAAACATGGAAGAAGCCATCACCTCGGATCGAGACAACGAAACACATCAAGACTGTTCCACATCTCCAAGTGATAGCGAGGGGCGCCATTATATAAGGGCGGCGGCATGCCTCGCTCGATTACTTCGGGGACAGTCCTGAGAGGCTCAATCAAGGTGTGCTAGTGACTAGACAAGTCCAAACCGCTCATGGCAGAACGTTTATTATCTGTTCCCCCGTACCGGGCGTCTGAAAGACTCAGGCGAAGAGCTACGTCCGTAATAATGTACATTCGACTGGTTTCCCATAGTCAGACTCCCTCCCTCCGCCATCGTGATCGGGCCGTTGAAGTTGGAACCCCCTTGGTTCACGTTGAAAGATCTGAGTGTCTCTCGACGCGGCGTTTCTACGGCTGTATCTGTTTCGTTCTTCAGCTTTCATTGAGTACTCAACCATACGCATTTGTGTCCTTACCCTCGTAATTGTCCACTGAGGCAGCCTTTGATACGAAGCTCCTGATCCGCTCCCTCACAACGCTATACGCGTCTTGTCCCCGCGACTGAAACTTGACGAGACCGGAATGGTCCTCCTCCAGGGGAATGTTGTCTTCCTCGGAGACGCCGGTGATACCGGTGCTCGTGGCGGACTTCCTCGTGACCATAAGGACTTTGGCACCGGTCTTGCTTAGCTTTCCGTTGTGCATCTAAAGTAGGGTCGTCAGTAACCGGCCTATGGGGTATTTCCAACATCAAACAAGCCGATTCGCACTCACCTCGACCGTCGGGCTCCTTTTGCGTTCATAAAACGACACCACGCGCGTTTCGCCATGAAAACACCTGGCGAAGTCGTCCGAGATCCGCGCCAGGAAATGAGACGGCTCAGACTCGTTGTCCACGACGATGGAATCAACCAAGGCTTGGTTAGGCTGGCCTTCTACGAGGGTCTTGAGCGCTTCGTTCCGCAGACCGAGATGCGGGACGCCGAAGAAGATTATGCCGCAGCAATTCTTGTAAAGAGGCTTGTGGATGGGCTTGGAGTCGGGGCTCCTGTATGCCTGGACAAGTGCCTGGAGATGCCGGTCAGTTGCACTCCGTACTGCTGATCACGAAAAATGCCGACCTCTTTAACTAACAGTCCGCCAAGACTGTGACCAATGAAGATGACGGGGCGGCTCTGGGTCTGCTCAGTTTCGTCAGCTTGATTAATGCTTCTGGGCGAGTAGGCAGCACACACGTTTGTACTCAGTCTGAACGTCGTCACGCTCTCGAGGAGCCTCCGGCTCAAGTCCTCAATCGAAGACGTCGACTCGTTCTTCAAAAGCGTCGTGTCGTAGCCGTAGAGCAGCACGCGGACATTGGGAATGTCTTTAGGGAGCCAGTCGCGCAGCCAGACCTCATTCTCCCCCGGTGTCTTCCACGAGCCAACGGCGTGACTCGCAAGACCAGGCACCGCAATCACGCTGGGAAGTTTCGGTGATTAGCACAGGCGATGTTCATCAGAACAGAGAGTTAACATACTCGCAAGCGTCGGCACTGGCCTCACTATCGTAGAGAGGCGTGATGCCGAGGAAATTGCAGTCGCAACGGTAGGGAAGCCCCACGGCTCTTAGAGCTTTGTGGAGGCTCCTGAACAAGTCGGCCTCGGAAAGCGGGGTGGTGATGGTAGCGGTAGCGCAGGCAAAATGGGCATCTCTTGTCGCCAGTGAGCGTATTTCTAATGTTCCTAGGGCATCTTTGAGGATCGGAAGTGCAGTGGCCTGCAGCGTTCTCAAATTCGTCTCCAAAACTGATCGGGATGTTCCAGCTGGGATCTCATCCACACGGAAAGTGAAGTCTCTGGGACGTGGCTTGTCTTTAGGACTGTCATTGAGTTGTTTGTTGGACCGCTGGGTTATCAGCAGCCGACTGATCAGAACCGCGACTACCGTGGCGACCGCGATTCCCAGAATGAGTTCAACCGAGATCGCCATGTCGAGAGAGACTGATGGAAACGACATGACAACAGAAAGAATCGTTCTGCAAGTGAAGTCAAGGTCGTCAAAGCAACTATTTTCAGCACCTCATAGACACAAACACAGCCCCCCACCGACACACTGCAATCGGACCATAGCATTGTGGCTGATCGAAAACCTCTCTGCAGCAGCGCCTCCTGCGGACGTTTAATTCGGGAGCCTGGAGCCAGACATGGGTGTCTCCAGCCAATCCCCCAATAAGCCCTTGTCAACTACCCCTGTCCAGCTCCAGGGTTGCTGCAGGCTCAAGATATCACTCACCTCTCTGGTAAGAGAGGGTTGCAGCAGCCTTGTGTTGGCGTGCTTACACGTGGGGTTGCAGTGCAGTTACGGAAGCCTAACATTGCTTTTTCGTTGAAGCCCTTAACCGATCAGGGAATCAGCTCCGTTTACAGCCTCAGAGGGATCCTCATGGCCTCCGGCGTTGTGTTTCGTGCGGGCTTGCTGTGCTCCCAGTTCTAACAACAGCGAGGCAGATGAGGACCAACAGAAAGGAACTTTTGAACTGCAATCCACAGCTCGGATAATGATCCTGGCAAAATACGCCCACAACATAGAACCGACTTCGTCTCTGATTTCTCCGGGGGATGGCGGTGGATCTCTTGTATCCCTCCGGAGGATGAATTAGATAGATAAGATGGTGTTCGCGACGCCCCAAAGACGATCTCATCTCTGCTACATGCTCTCACCGCGTTCCAAGCATTCGCCATGTTACTCACAACACTCCTTCTTGTCGTCGCCCAGGCGCACTCGGCCTTCAGCTGCGACCTCTGGAGCTCCAGCCAATTCAAAAAGGACGTCAATTACCAGTACGACTGCATCGACGAGGACTCCATCTACGACCTGGCCGTCTGCCTCCTCCAGCGCAACACCCTCGCGCAGATCTTCCGCTGCGCCAACTCGGCCGACGACAACGGCGTCACCTACTGGAGCGTCAAGCCCGGCAGCCACGCCGACTCCCTCGACCTCATCCCGCCCGGCATCGGCGCCAAGAACTCGGACAAGATCCGCAAGGCCGCCGACGACGACGACGGCGAGCTGCAGGTCACCCCGCGCGGCATCCTCCTCGCGGCGGCTTCCACGGGGGCATGCATGCACTGCGACTTGGACGCCGTCTTTCGAAAGTGCCCCTACGACGCCAATTCGCAGGAGTTTTACGATTGTCTCTGTTGTGAGCTCGTGGATGACGAGTCGATTGGGTGCTTGGACAAGTGCATCTGGTCGAACCCGGACCGCGAGTACGCGCAGGACAAGTACTATAAGCCGTTCAAGTGGACGTACTGCGACACGCGCGAGGAGAACTTGTGCAAGGGCACGCCGCACAAGATCGTGAAGCAGAACAAGGCACGGGGAGCGGTGAGTACACTTCGTATCGTGGGCTGGGGAGTAGGACTGACGAAGAATCTAGACCGCTTCTGATGATGATACGTCAAGCACGGCCAGCGCATGCGATTCCACGATTTACAGGGTCAAGAACGGCAAGATGGAGCATGTGTGCGCGGCGGAGGCAACTCGGTCCATCTTCACATTGAACACCGACACGACGACCTGGTCGAAACTCGCCAGGAAGACGTCGACGGCGACGACGACTGCCACCACGACGAGATCGGCGTTGTATGCGCAGATCACGGGCACGCATACCGTCGATCGCGCTGAGCACACGGGTCAAGCCTCAGCCACGCCTGATGCGAAAGGTGGTGGCACCCGGGTTGTTCATAAGGCGTTCTTTCTTGGCCTTATCGTGTCTGTTGGCATGTTGTTCCATGTATGAGGCCGAGTATGTCACGATGGATTGAGGTGGACGAGATACCCAAGTGTTTTGTACGGCGGCGCATGGAGTTCGAAATACAATGTGTAGGCAGTACGATGAACGGAAGATGGAATGAATTCAAAAGTTGATAGGAATTGCCTACTTACTTCAACACAGCTTCCTGTCATCATTGACGGACAACAACCCTTAAATGCTCATTCAATTGCGCTCGCAAACTCATCCAGCTTATTTTGGACCTGTAAGAACCCCTCCAGTCGTGATGCTGACGATGCCCCGGGCGTTGCCTTCAACTTCTGCACCATGGCCTCTGCGATGTCAAGGGCTGTTCCCTCATTCGAATCCTCGCGCACCAGATGCCCAAGCCTGTGCCTCCTCAATTCTTTGAGAAGCGTCACGAGGAGTGCAACATGTCCTGCCTTCGCCGCGTGGTGAAGAACCGTCATGCCTGAACTGTTCTTCTGAGCCAGCATTTCCTTGGCGTCGTGCCCTGGATGCCGTAGCAGAAGCTGCACGACATCCGTATATCCTTGAGCGACGGCGGCGTGAAGCGGAAGCCAGGGACTCATCCTCGCCTCTGCCATCGCATCCGCGCCGATCTCGAGGAGAAACTCGGCAACCTCGCGCTTCCCCTTGAAGCAAGCAGCGAACAGCGGCGTGAGGCGCTTCAGTCTGACCTTGTCGACTTCAATGGTCACCCCTACCTCCCTCGAAAGATCCCAGACCGCTCTCGCCGCGTCCACGTAGCCGCGGTGCACCGCGAAGAAGAAGGCCCTGTCGAGGATATGAGGATGCCCCCAGCATCTGCTGCTCCGCTGACACTCCCGCGCGTGCTGAGCGAGTAGCTTTGCGCATCCCTCGTGAGCCAGCAAGACGAGGAGACTCTCCCGACACGCCTCGGGGTCCGGGCTTGCGTCGCAGTTGCCTCGGTTGAGCTTGCATGTAATGGCGCGGGGGTTCGGGATATCGTCCACGTTGGTATGAAAGCGGGCGCTCTTGTATTTGTTCAATAGCTCAAAGATGACCTCGGTGCGGTTGGAGCAAAAGGCAAAGATGTCGGGGAGCTCAATTTCGTTGTCCGTGACCTTATCTCCCCTGCGGGCGTGTAACATCCAGTACTGGCTGGCGTACGGTAGGAAAGATGGCTCGTGGCCGCTGTCCTTCGATCTGTCGATCACGGCCATACAGAGCTTGGCCGCGCAGAGGTGGAAGTGAGCTTCGGGCTCAGTTGTCAGCTTACGGTCCAGAGCTTTCAGTTCCCCCTTTTCCAGAAAGTCCCTGACGGACTTGTGGATGAACTGCACAACAGGTGATGTTTCGTCGACGCGGGGAAGACCCGGGGACACATAAGAGACCTCGACAAGGCCTCCGGAGAGAATGTGTAAGCGGTAGCCCTCCTCCGCCATCTTCAAATCTCTCATAGCGTCTGACAGCTCTTGCACGTCCCCGGAGGACCCTGTACTTTTGCCAATGGCTGACCGCACCTCGTCGAGAGTCAGGGGCCTCACGGCGGCCTGAATGAGTTGGAGCAGCGTGAGAGCGTCTTGGCGTTTGTCGAGGTCCACGTTCTCGAGGAGTGTCTTGTAGAGGTCCTTGAGCTTTTTCGGGGTATTCTTGACTTCATCCAGCATCTCTGTATCGTTTTCGTATGACTCCCTGAGAGTCCTCTGCTTGATTCTGCTGATGACCAGCCTCACCCACAGAAACATGTTCGACGCTCGGTCAGAGATGGCGGACAGTAACTTCTTGCGCGTTTCCGGCGAGATGACTATCTTGTCCAGCTCCTCCTTGAGATACCGTTCGATGTCTGGCTGGTTGTACTGCATTACGTCGATGATCTGTGGCGGTTTCGAAAGCCGTGAGAAAGATATCACGCCGCGAGTCGACAAACAAACCCGAACATCGGCACCTGTCTCAGAAAGACTTTTGATGAATTCGAGGACATCCAGCATGTGGGAAATACTGTCTTCATCCTCATCGTCGTTTAGGCACTCGTCAAGTGCGTCGATGAAGAGGAAAACTCTCTGCCCTTGTATGAGGCGCAGAACCTTGCATATCGTGCGTTGGAGAGTGAAGACGTCCCATTCGTCATCAACCGGCTGTAGTGTCTCGAGAAGCTCGCAGATATCGCCAGCCGGTGGTGTTTTGTGTAACAATTGAGACAACAGGCTGCGATAGAGTCCCTGCCTCGAGTGTTCCAACGGCAGGCTGTCGCGTGCGTTGAAGAAGAACCCGAGGGTAATTTGGTCCTGGGAGGGATCGCATGACAGCGATTCGGATCGCCGAAGGGCCGCGTTCAAGAGAACCGACTTTCCGGACCCTGCTTTTCCTTTGAGCACCAGAACTGGTACGTGACCGTCCGTGACTGCTTCGGTTTCCCAAGAGGTGAACTCCTCCGTCTTGAATAGCCACTGGCAGGTTCCCGAGGCGACCACGGTGGCTTCAAGTTGATCCCGTCGACGTTGAACGTAATTGAATTGAAGCCGTTGGGACCAATCTTGTTCTCGTCAGTCGCGTGTAGTCACTGAGGATATGGTTATCGGGGCAAACCTTTCAAAATCCGTTTAATCTTATCCTGACCGCCACCCTCATCAGCTGTAGTCGTACGAGTTTGTACATCTCCGTTGTAGATGGTGATGTTATTGCCCAGATGAAGACTCGAACCAGCTTGTGCAGTGACTGCGCCGTTGTAGGTGGACCCGTGTTGGTATGCGGCGTCCGCTCTGATGCCCCAAGCTGTCGATTTGACAAATGAATTCAATCCCCTCTCATTTTGAAGTTGATCTAGCCCGGGCTTGACCTCGAGGTGGTGTCGCTTGCTCTGCGTAGTCTCCTCGTCGTCTTCGATCTTGCGCTTAATCAGAGACAGTCCCCAGCTTGACAGATTCGACCACATTGTCGCATAACTGTGACTATCGGCGAGCCCCTTTGCTAGTGCGGTTCATATTCGGTCGTCGAATATCTTAACGTGCCGTTGGCGAAAAACTGAAAAGAATGAGGTGACAGCCTGAAAGTGGTGGGGGCGTGAGGGCTTCTTAAAGACCGTAAGCAAGGCTGCGTCTCAGTGACCGGGGTCTTACATGGAAGCCACACCTTCAGTGGCGCAGTGCAGCTGTCGATGATATTGAGGAGCCAACGACTTTTCAACAAGGCAGCTCCTAAATATTGGCCATTCAATCTCCGGAACAACTGTGACGACGTTGATCGTCAACATAATCTCTACCAATACCAAACCCGCGATTCATCGGCCGATCAGATCACTCAATCTTCATATAAGACACTACCGACTCTCCTGGACAAAACTAGACTGAACCGTAACTGACCGGCTGTTGATGTTCTCATCCGAGCCCGACGCCGCAGACATACTCTTTCCAACACTACCCTTCGTAGCGACCCTATTAGTGAGGCCAATCTCATCCCCCTCTTCATCGAGCTTAACCATGCCATCTCCATTGTTGCCAAAGGGGAACCTCGATCCCCCGTACGTGAATAATGCACCAGCACCTTTCTGAGAACCACCTCCAGTTCCACTCTTCCCCGACCTCCAGGGCGTGCTAGCTGACGACGGGCCGGACTGTCCGTTGCTGCGTTGCGTGGACGAGATTTTGTTCCCTACGAGCCTTCGAAGAGGCGCCAAGTGCGGAAGACAGGCCGAGACGATGGCGACGGAGGGCTCGATCGCGGACCAGATGAAGACGGGGCCCATCATCCAGGTGATGTCGACTGCCTTGGAGAACTTGTCGAGATACCAGATTCGTATGATGCTGGCGACGCAGACACTGTTGTCGAGTTAGCAGATTGTGTTTTTCGGGACTGGAGTGTACTTACAAACTACCCAGCAGCATGATGCTGCAGACGGCCAACTTTTTCCTCCCGGACATCTGAAGCTTGAGGATCTGAGGTATTGGTATGAGGAGGACGATGATGTCGTTGAGCATGTTGATGATGCCGAGGGCGAGATAGAAGGTGTTGATGTCGATGCACGTCCCAGTCGCTCCGACGAATTGGTTCCAGTAGAAGTGGAGAGGCTTGCACGCGTTTCCCATCGTGACCCAGATGACGATTGGGTAGGAGATGGAGAGAAAGTAGCCGATGATCAAGGGAACCCTGAATGAAGGAATTCTCGATACGAAGACGCGCTGGTAGAAGAGCAGGATGGATATTTTAGTCGCCGCGCATGCGGTTCCGTACACGAAAGTGTAGGCGTAGAGGACCTGCCAGGCTTGATGTTAGTCTTTCGCTCAGGAGGGCGTAGAAGCTGGGGAGCCTTACTTGAAAGATGTTTGTCAGGTCTGGAAGCGTACAGGACCAGATGTGGTTTCCCGCGCCTCGAACGCCACCGACGATGCTCAACCCGACTGTAGCACCCACGAGTAGCTGAAGGATGAGATGAGCAAGTCTCTATAGAGAGAAACGTGGGAGCAAACTTACCAGAGAAACGATGATGGTCCAGTCGTCTGCCTTCATGCTATGCCCTTGAAGAAGTCTCGCCCATAATCGCAACGCTACGGCAGCGGATGCCAGAACCGCGAGGACGATGACTGCAGCATTGTTCTGCGTGACGCTACTCTCAGCTACATCCGACCCCTCAGGCGGAGGTCCGAAAACTGCAACGATTTCGGCGTTGGGTTCCATCATCAGATGAAAGAATTTGTGTTGCAAAGACGGAAGTGGCTTGAGGAATGAGTGCGGAAACCAGCCATTATACCGTCAGTTCTCATGGGTCAGCCACAACGACAGACAGATTCATCTTGCAAGCGATTTTTCCATTTTGGTTCGTTCTGTTGATACGTTGGTGCCGGAGGAGACATCCGGTAGCGGATACAGAGATTATGCTGTGATGATCAGGAGCTCAACACCAGTGACCAAGTGGACTCGTGTTGGTAGTCGCTTGTTGCTATCCCAGACTCGAGTCTCCACAGCTGCGTTCGTCTGTTGCAATCTCTCTTGTTTAGGAAGTGTCTTCGGCATGCCGTTGGTTCTCTTCTGACAGGGCCCCTGTCATCGTCACCACACTACGGTTCTGTTGGTGCAAGTCTGCATCGGGAGAAGATCATTTCCCACAATTTGTGATGAAAGCCGCATAACTTAGTCGCAAGTGAATTGTGGCATGATCTGAGGTATGCGAAAGGTGAAGGTTAGTCCAAGGAGACAGATATATCCAGGTGGCTTTTCGTTCTGTCGTTCCAATCAATCAATTGAATAAGCTAGCGAGGACATCCGGGACATGATCTTTTTGAGATGCAGCTTCATAGACGAAGACTGCAGCTATCTTCGCTCACCAGTAGTGGCTACGGAGAGCGGCTCGGGTTCCGTGATAAATGCGACGACGGTCCGGATCCCTGGGCCGGGGAAGTGGCCCCCAACAACCCGGCTTGGCTCTGGAGTCTTCAGAAATTCGTACATATCCCACCCTACCGCCGACGGCTATCTTCATCCCCAGTTCCAGTGGTTCGAAGAGGTAGGTGACCTGAAGATCATTCATGAACCCGCAGTAGTCGAAAACAACGTCTTCTTTGCCCATCTGGGCGGAGAAGCAAGGCCCAATGTGTTCAAATAACGTTGTTTTCAAGGTTTGATGGGCTTCAAAGGCGTACCGCATCCTGTTCATATTCCATTTGATCAGTGAAGCCGCTCTTGTGCCATGTGAGAGCACATTTTCTCGGTCCATTCGGCTCACCCGATCTTTTCGCTAACCGACCATAAGCATTGTCTTTGGACCAACGACGGAAGCAGGGGTCTGTTGGACGTCTGCAAGTGGCATCCCACAGCTACCCCAGTTATCCGCGCCGAGGGGAGGTGACGGACGAGTTCCACTCATTAGAGAAACAACCAACAGAGCGTCGTATCAAGCTACCAATGCAGATGATTTTCGAAATTATGGTGCGTTAATATGCATCAGGTGTTCGAAGAAGGCACATGTAAACTGCGTCGGACGAGATATGACCGAGCTTCCATTCGACTCAGGGGCGATGGATGTGATATTTATGAAAGGACCCGTCTTCTGCTTCTGCAAAGTGTCCACTCGATCTGCCTCTTCATTTCTCTCTGCCCGTCTTGCTTCCATAGACTTATCCATCATGGGCTCCTTGTCAGGCTTCACCGAGATCCCCGATCTCACCCCCCTCGAGCGCATCGGCCCCAAGGGCTACCTCCGTTACGTCTTCCCCTTCCAGCTTCCGGATAATTACGACCTCGAAGAAGCCGCGTCTATCCTACGGGCTGGGTACGATGCTGCTTCACGCAGAATCGCAGTCCTCGCCTGCGAAGCCGTTCCAGACCCGGACGCAAAGCAGGCCGGCGTCCTGAAGCTCCAGAGACTCCGTCATGGTGACATTGAAGGCATCGCAGTCAAGGACCTCAGAAGCACAGGGGCTTTCCTAATGACCTACTCCGAGCTCAAATCAAAGGCCTTCCCAGTATCCGCCTTCGATTCCAACACCATCATGCGCCGCTCCGTCTGGCCGTCCGCCGGCGAACGACTCCCCGTCTCCCTCCCCCAAGCGAACTTCATCCAGGGCGGCATGATACTCTCCTGGTGCATCTTCCACATGTTCGGCGACGGCAACACCTTCCTCACCTGGACCAAGGTCTGGGCCGAAGAGTGTCGCCGAGCCCAGGGCCTCCCCATCACCGACCCCTTCAACCTCGACGAGGCCCTCATCAGAGACCGCCAACGCATCATGAAGCCGTCCGGCAACAACAAGGGAAGCCCGGAAGACCACCCGGAGTACACCATCCTCCCTTTCACGCCTCAGGGCGCGCCGCCGAAGATGCTCTCCGAGGAGCACCGCGGCCAGGTCTTCTACTTCTCTCCCGAGTCCCTCGCGAGGCTCAAGGCCGAAGCGTCGCCTCAGAACGCCACCGAGCCGTCGAAGCAGGCATGGATCTCGACCAACGATGCACTATCCGCCCTTCTTTGGCGCACCGTCATGGCCGTCCAGTCCCCGCTTGAGACCCTGGAGGGCGATCCCGTGTCGGTCTTCAACATCGCCATCGACGGCCGTCTGCGGACCGACCCGCCCGTGCATCCGGACACGATAGGCTGCTTCCTCGGCTACGTAGCGGCATCCGCTCCGATTCGCAAGATGCTTGGCTCGGCAAGCTTGGCAGATCTGGCGATCCTGGTCCGCCAGGCACTCCTCCGTGCGGACAGACAGTTCCTGGACGATGTGACGACGCTGATCGACACCCTCGAGGACGTGAACCGTATCGTTCCCACCGCGATGCTCGATGTTCCGGGGAACAACTGCATCCAGAGTTCGTGGGTCAACTTTACGCTGTACGACGTCCAATGGGGTCCGGCTCTTGGTGGCAGCATCCAGGCCGTCCGGTCCCCGCATGTTGGAGTCATCAACGGGTTGCAGGTCGTGCTGCCCGTCTTGCCGGATGGCGGGATGGAGATTATTGTGGGAGTTGAGGCGAACTGTCTGGACAGGTTGATGCATGAGCCTTTGTGGATGAAGTTTGCCGAGCCGAGATAGGTTGGGAAGGTTGTGTAAGTCTGGGTTGGTAGTTTGATAGCAAGCGAGTGTTCTCCATGGCAGCCGACTGTGTAACCTTGCTCTTGGCGAAGTGACATGCTTTCAGAATCTTGACAACTCTCGCCATCGCACAAAATGAGAATGAGACGTCAGTGAGACGTGGGGCCTGGGAGGGCTTGCATATCCATTGGGCTTATAAACTCTCATTGTGTTGAGTGTTGGGTATTACACTTATATCGCGTCATGTGGAAAGTTATTCTATTGTGTGGCTTGATACGAGTTCTTTTTTCTTTTTGTAGCTCGCGATGTCCTCATTTCTTCTGTGAGACGTGGGGCGTTCTAGGTGTGGATGAAGTTCATCTTGAGGCTACATGGGCGCCCAGTGAGTTCTCACGTACACCTAACAATAACAACTCCCACTGCCTTGGTAATACACTATTAGAAGATGCCATTCAGACCAAGTGACGGGGCTGACAACGGCTGAAGCCGTCATCCTACTCAACCGGTTCCAACGGTGTGGCTGTCTTGGTGTTGAGCCAGTCGAAATTGTGAACGTCTTTGCAAAACGGTAGTCGATATGGCGTTTCGCTGCTGCTGATGATATCAGAGGTAATGAACATCAGTCTATGAACCGTTCGCTCAACTCATCATCGGTCAACTTCAGTCTTTGGACCATTCATCATGTACTTTCCGAGGTTGTTTTACTTCCAACTATCCTGTTGTTCCTGACAGCATCCGGCAATGCTGCCTCTATCGCAACGCAAGACGTGATGTTACATGACATGATTATCATCTGCTGCTAGGCAATTTTAGAACATCTCATTGGGTTTCATCCGACTCAGTTTTAAGCTTCTCAGCCTGGTGTCGAAAATCCTCCAGAAACCTCCACCGGCCTGCTTGTTTCCAACCCTTCTCTCGCCAGTGATTAGCCGAGTTAGGAAAAACATCGATAACTCCCAAAAGACTCCGATCATGCGCAATGACGACGAAAATGTCGTCGTTGGCATCAAAATCCGCCATCTTACAGATCGAGGCCTCTGCTTCTGCCACGTCACGACCGGGGGCCTCTGACAGCTGCGCGTAAAAGGGTGCCGTGCGGCTGTGCTCGGGGTGGATCTGTTCCAGCAGGTGGCCCGCGCAGAACGATCCCGGAGCATGCGGAGGTTCGGAGAAGGGAGACGGCGACAGCTGGTCGGGAAGGGGTAGGTACTCCGTAGGTCTCAACGAGCCGCAGTGGTGGCAACCGTCTCCGCCCATGAGGATAAAAGACGACTCTGTGGTTCGCGCCAGAGCGGCGATGTGGCCGATGGTGTGCTTTGCGGACGCAATGTTAGATATGTCATAGCGGTAGAATGAGTCGACTTACACCGGGACAGTCGAGGAGATAGAAGCTCCCGTCGTTGAAGAAGTCGAAGGCTTTGTAGCCACCAATTTCGAGGCCACCCTCAAAATTCACTTCTCGCAACTCCCGGCCTCTGGCAATTGTATTAGTGAAAAGCTTTCGAAACGGCAAAAGAGGATTTGGGAGACGAACTGGTAATCGCTCTCGAGAACGAGCCCTTGGGGGTTGGCGGGATACCCGGGTAGAAAGGCGTTTTTGAATCCCGGCCCCACGACCAGCTCCGTGGATGATGGGAACGTCGAGGGGTCCCCGTTATGGTCAAGATGCCAGTGGCTGCAGCTTGCATCAGTCATTTTGCTGAGGCCTCGCCGGAAAACGGAACTCACCTCCAGATGATGCTATTGATCTCATCCAGACCCACTCGCCCGTCTTCTTTGAGAATCGTCGCAATGTCTTTCTCAACATCAATCGTAAACCTCCCTTTCATGACGGAAAGAATTGCGGGCGGAAACCCGTCGATATCCTTTCTCACACCCAAGTCGAAGAGGGCCTTTTTCCCCGACGGATGCTCGACGAGGAAGACGAAAGCGGGACATTCGAGCCATTCGTGTCCGGGGAGTGGGTTCTTCACGAAGGACGCCATAGGGACGCGAATCCTCGCGGTGCTGTCGATGATACTGACGTCGACAACATTTTGTGATGCCGGAATGGATAGATTCGGAGCTGAGAGTGGATGCGCCATTGTAGAGGAAAGAAGTCGCTCGTGATGAAGGGCCGAATTGATTTGGAAACGAAATGCTGCTGGTTTTAACGACAAACTAAACCCATAATTAGTAATACGCGGCCTATCTTTAGAGCAACGGCGACAGTCCAAGCACAAGTTCAGCCGAGGCTACGAAATCCATCCCGTCGGCTGAGCGTTACTTAACAGGAAATGTTGCTTCATACTAGCCAATGGCAAAGACTGCGAGTGTTTGACCGACTAACGTGGGTCTAGAATGTTTTAGAACAGAAAGAGACGGGCAACGGAGCAATAGACCTCCCGATGTCTCTTCTTCAGCGTCTTTGGCCGTATTAGATCTCTCCTATCATAAACTGTGCTGACCAATATAGACAACTACCACATTAGTTGTGAATACTCGCGAAAGACCAACACGCACCCAACTTCCGCATAGCTACCCGTATGCTTCCCTTCTAGAGATGCCTCTGGCGGAGTAACTACGATAGCCCTCCAACTCCACCGTCTTGCGTCTTGGGTCGGACTTTGAAACCAAGCACCAAGCAGAGAACCGAGGCATCTGCAGAATCGGGTGGAAACCCGGAGTAATATTAGGCGACATATCAGCGGAGATCATCACAGAAGGCATCCATACGCTTAATCATCAAGCCTGTTGACCCTCTCTCACCAGCCTCCCAAGGAGTCCTCAGAGGGATCCTCAGCCAGACCGTCATTGGTGTAGCCATCAACGACGACAGTAGATCAGTGTTCGGACTTCTGGGCCATCTCAACAGGACGACGAACAACAATGGCGTAATGAAACTCATCGTCAGCTACGGAGGTGTAAGGGTCTGCCGTTGGCATGTAGTGACAATGGATCTAACACCAGCCAGGGCGCGACGAGTTCGGGTGGTATGGCTAGGTGTTCGCGACATTGGAGGCAACGAGCACTAATGTTATGATGGAGGTTGATTGAAGTGATAGGAAGGGGCATAATAATCCAATAGTGTTCAACTTCTTATCCTGTGAAGACTTGTAAATGACTGCGAGACTCTCGAAGCGAGACGCCAGCGTTTCCCACTGCCATCAAGTATTCTCCCGCTCGGCCCCGCACCAGAGGACATGGAATAAACAGCATCGCGGTCACGCCCTGCGGAACGGGGCCCTGCGGAACAGGTTGGACGCTGCGGAACGCGAATAGCATCAGCCCGGCGTATGACTGCCCATTCGACTACCATCCGCGGCGGCGGGACGCGGGCTTCTGCGAGGGGTCGACGAGGTACATCGCCTCCTGGAAGGCGGCTCATTCGCCCACGCCTCGAGGATCGTGTCTCCTCACAGGTGGACTTGCTGTATGGCCTTTTACTAGACGCTAACAGTGCGAGTTGGCGGTGCGGAACGCGGCTGGTCCGGTGTCAGTGATATGCCATCATCAGGGACTGAAGTGTAGCCACTTACGAAACGGCTGAGTCGAGACGGAGAATTTAGAGCCTTCGACCTACATCTCTGCCGAGCCGATGGCCGTTCAGGACCAAACCGTGAACGAGACACTTGACCCAGTGCCCGACCGTCTCCTCTTGAAGAACGCTATCGGCGCAACCGGAGCCGGCCATGTCATCCAGCGCCTCGAGCTGCGCGGCACAACTCTGAGCGGCGCGCTGGTTCACGACGACCTTGATGATCCCGATCCAGTCTTCGACGGACTTGGGCGTGTCGCTGGATTCGATGCGGTGGTTCGAGTGTAAGTGGCTGACCACGTGGCTCAAGAGGCGGTCTTGGAACGTGCCCTCCGACTGGTCCCAGGTGCCGTTGAGCGTCTGCGTGCGGAACCAGGGCGTCTCTCGCATGGTCATCGCTATGGCGGGGTGGAAGAAGTCGTCCAGGACCTGCATGTGGGCCTCGCGGGTCGAGAGGTCATACTCTCTGGTTGCCTTGGCCACGAGGCGGCGGTCGAGGTATTGGCGTATCGGGTTGCGGCGGAAGAGTCTTGACATGGCGTCCAGAGCCTCCTGGAGCTTCGGGTGCCGCTTCGTATGGGGTTGTACCTGATTCATCTTGATATTGATGCCGCTGACGGTTGGCTTGGAAGTGTAGAGAAGTTTTCGGGATGGAGGAAAGGTGATATTGACGCCTCTGCCGAGAAATGGAGGAAATGTTCTGCATCGAAGAGAACTCCCATGGCGGGATTTCAGTCGAATTTGCAGTCTTAGAAGGCCGTATCGGAGAAATCTCAACTGTATCAAGGTTCACCGCAACGATGGCCGTGGACCGGTACCAAAAGGTGACCGTGTGGAATCTGAAGGCTCTGTCGTACATTGTCATCTCCATTGCAGTGGATGGCTAATCGATTGTTATTAAGTTTTTTACAGCCTTTCGGCGTGGAAACTCTGTTATTTGTCTAGGACAGGAAGGTTACGAGATGAGCTTTTCGTGCTCTAGGCTTGTATGATGAATAAGTTGGACATTGAGTGTAGGTGACCAAATTATCAACTAGAAAAGAGCTGCATCGTGAGTTTTGGTATTCTTGAAGACAACTTCGAACCACAAATCTCACAGAACTCACAGCCAACTTGTCATTGACAAGCGACTTCTCGGCCCGTTGTGAAAATAGCTCAGACACTTTGGCAATGGCAGACCAGCGTGTTAGAAGCGGCATGTAAGTCACTTCTCCCGAAGCACCTTGCGAGTGCATCATCTCTAGACAATCTCTCAACCGTCAACACAATCAACAACGCGTATCTTCAGCGGCAGCGGCTGAAACACCAAAAATAAATGTATGCAGTTTGCCACGCGCCGCATGAAGGAGCGATTGACAATAGATGTGCGGACTGAGGGTGTCTAGCCGGTCGAAGCACTCGCATACATGTTGCCACCAATCACAAGAGGAAGGTTGGAAATTGGATGCCAAAACCGCCACACATCGCGGGGCTGAGCACCTAACGTCGTCATCTATTGATCAACGACGGGCGGAAGACGAGCAGAACGACTCAACAGCATCGCATTTTAAACGGCCACCCAAGTGACGAAGTACGTTTCACGGAGATCAATCTGTGGTAGATCAGGGCCTGCAGCCTCTGAGGAAGTGTCCCGCGACTATCTCGTGGCCGCAACGTTGCGAGACCCCGGAATTCGGAGCGGGATTGGGGGAGCAGGTGAGATTCGGCGACCAGTTAATCAAATGGGACACCAAATTGCAGTTTTGCTGGTGTCTCACGAAATAAGGAGATGCAGCGGCCGCTGATTGCCCCGAATGCACGCGAGGTGGACCGATGTAACACATCTTCGAGTAGCTTCGAGAATGATTCTGGAACTCGCAGCAATGTTTTCGAAACCCACGACAACCCTCGAGGACCAATCCTGAAAGCAACGGTTAGCCGCTGTTTCATACGAACGCGACGTTGGCCCTCGTGATAGAAACAGGAACGCGTCGTCAATAGCAGATCCGGAGATGAACACGGCGAGTGCGAGGCAGCCGAAACGTCGGGAACTTTTGGACGTGGCTCATATGCTTAAATCAAAGACACACTAGTCGCTTCCAGAAGAAAAGGGGGCGAGATTGGGTTACGTCGCATAACCAAGCCAGATTTCGACGCCAGTGATTAGTCGAGAGGTCTGTGTAGGCAGACGATGTAGGCGTCGCGAGGCGACCATGACGGAAATTGATCACATCTTTTCGTGTCACTGCGACCCATTCGACATGATATTATGGAGTTGATGACCAGTCGATGCGTCGTCTGGCACGGCGGCCTCGTATGACTCGGCTCGGGCGTTGTCCGCGAAATCGGCGGTAAGTCCGCCTGAAGATCCGCATCGTTTACGGCAGGTCGACCGAGCTCCAGCGCCGGTTCCGACCTCTTGTCATCACCGTAACGCCATGATTTGCCCGGCAAGTAGGACGTGATTGAGGCTGCGAGATTGAACTTAACGGGTGCCGTCTCCAGTGATAGCGGCAGAGTGGCGCGCCAGCCTCCCAGGTAACTGGTTCCAACCAAGCCGGCTTTTTTAAGAGTGTGGTTGCGTGTTATGCGTGAGGGGCTTCAGCAGAAGGCCCCTTTAGGCCGCAGATGCACTGTGACAGGAGGAGAGTGGCATCACAGCCCGTCATCTTGGACGCTAGGAGAATAGCTGCAGGTCGAGCCCCCGCGGCCGAACACCTTCTCGTCTCCAGGGACATTTGTTGGTTGATGGATGCGGGGGCCGTGGTGAGCAGAGCCCTCGGTCTGAGGAGCGTTTGGCCCGTTCAGGACATCCACTCCGTCCACGTCAGCAAGAGGTCGACTGGGATTTCGTGGAGGACATTAGTAATGTGATACGGACAGAGTTGCGGTACCTGACTGATGGCTGCGCTTGCTGTGCCACACGAGCACAGTTCTCATGATCGGAGACGGGCACAATTGCCGCAGAACGCCCAGCATAGCCAGCCACAGGTCGCCTGGGCGTTGGCATCCTGTGACGATTTTGACCGCTTACGGTCTTGCTTGCGGTGGGGGACAGGCCAAAGGGACGGTGATTGGTGGCGTAGACGGTATTAGTAGCGGTCGTGTTGCCGTTGGGAGAAGGGTGTGCGTGAGAAACAAGGCTTTTTGGAGATTGACTCGGACCCGACAGTCTGGCATCGGACAGTGCGAACACAAGATGCAGAGTCTGGCGAGCGGCGAAGCGGGTGATGAAGCAAGATTTGACAACCCGGTCTGGACCAAGACGTTGAGATCCGACAGAGAAGGCATCGGGCAGTTCCCGACATGGGAATTGACACGGGACTCCGCTTGTCAGATCCTGCGGACAATCAACGCCGACCCCGGAGAGTCGCTCTCGGCTCCAAAATGTGCCAACAACGAGATGCCTCCATATCCGTGCCTCAAAGCAGCACATTTGGGGGCGATAGCATGAACAGCCGGTAGTCGGCTAGACCGACACTGAACATTAGTAATGCGTGGTACAGAGTCGAAGGAAAGTCGCTCTGCCGAAGGTAGGGGCTCTCAAGAAGTTGAAGAAGCACTACTCGCCGATCTGCGAGGCAGGAGGTGCGGGAGAATGTCTCAATTGAGGACCGATTTTATCACCAGCTCGGGCTGCGAGAGAATCAAGTTAGAACCACGCGAGAGAGAAGCAGGCTTTGGAGGGCGACCAACCGGAACCTGCTGGGACACCGAGAGGAAGACGCTGAAAAGCCCGTCTTTGCCTGAAATGGAAATGCCCATTGCTGGTACATCTTGATTGCAAGCGCTGCGTAGGCGATGGCGTGCCGCGCCGTAAGGGCAGGGCAAGGTATCCTACAATGCCTGCTCCAAGGAGTGCAGGTAACGAAATGTCACCGCAGACTGGAGGTCTAGTACTAAGGCGATACGGTGTCGCTATGCCTCGGCTCCCATCAGTGATGGTAAGGGGCCTTTGACTTCCGCAAGATTGAAATGCAACTGCGGATAGACTCATCAGTCCGCTGCTTGGCTGCGTACATGGGCAGCGCAGGACTCGGTTTCAGGCCAGGGCCTCGAAGGACGGGGCATTCCGTGTGGGCAGGCGGGCAGCTCAGGATCTCAATCTCCACTGTATTGATGATTGACGGTGCGTTGGCAACAAGGTGTCCATTGTTCAGTGAAGGAATGGCGGACGATTGCGAGGGACGCAGCAAACGGGCAGATTTTCTTCTCCGGAGTCCGGGAGATGCAGACGCAGGGCGGTGGAGGCGACAAGAAGTGATCTGAGGCGGTCCCGAACTGTTTTCCAGAAGCGTTCAGCGTTCGTTGGGGATGATGCAGTCGACCCAGTTCCAATCTCTCAGAGCACAACGACAGCGTATCCGGTGCTACCGACCCATGGAAGGGGCTTCGAAGGGATGTTCCAAAGGGCCAGCCCAAGGTACTTTTCAAGACAGGCCGTGCGTGCTGAGTACGGATATCAATCCATGGATGCTCTGTACGAGTGTACGTAGTAGTGCTGCGTCGAAGCCCCCCGGCCATTGCAGTATCTGCACCCAGGCCCGCATCAGTAGCGTCAACAGCGCATTCCAGCCTCTGGGATTCTCCAGAAGGAAGCTAGAGGAGGATTTTTGGTCGGTCGCCCACACGTGGGTATGCTTCCCGTTTGACGGTTCTTGTGGGTTGAGTGAGACTGCGTGTCGTTGGTCGTCAATTCAAGGTGTGGAATCCGTATCTGTTGGTGCGTGAAGTGGCAGGAGTCGGGCGTCCTGACGGTGCTTATTAGGACAGTTCCCCGGCGCCGCGGCCGCCATGGGTGTACCCGTCAGTGGCCCGGCGCGGCCCCAGACACGACGAGGGATGAGGGACGAGCGAGAGAGATCCCCGCAGGATGGCATGGCCGAAGTGTCTCGTGAATTGCGTGTGGTGTACGGTCCCGTTTTGCGCAGCTGGCAGGAGAAATAAGAACTCGTGTGCATGGAGCTTGGCCGGGACATGGAATTGTGAGATGGTAGGGCGAGTTGTGCTTCCCAGTGTCCAGTATATCGGAGTCGTGTTCGCCCTCCGACAAGTGCTGGGGAGTCGTGATGGAGGGCAGAGAATGACGGGAGCAGATCGACATGGGCTCATGGGTGGCAGCGAGCAGGGGGTCGTTTTCCCCATTTTCCGCGAGAGGTTAGAGCGTGCATGCCAGGTCGCATCGCATTTTCATCGAGGGCATCCACCGCGGCGTCCCAAGTTCCAACAAGACGCAAGAGATGTCGTCTGATTCGCAGGCCTGCTTACTGGGCGCAGGAGGAGAGCATGCGCAATCTGCGCGCCAATGGAGACTTTTGTACCGCGTACCATCGCCGTGCGCCCACCATCTTGTCTGTACTGCGTAGGCGTTGGAGGTAAGGTAATGCATGCGGGTACTGAGGCGAGCTGAGGATGGTGGTGGTTGTGGTTATGGTGGTGATGATTTCGAGGAGGAGGAGGAGGAGGAGGAGGTACGAATACTCGTCAGTAGGCGACAGTGTCTGACGGTTTGGCCTGCTTATGTAAGAGGATACGGTACCCGCTTATGTAACGCAGATACAAGCAGAAGTATCCCTCTTATTCGTCTCTCGTACTCTTATGCAACCTCCAACCGTGTCCATCCCACGTACCCGTCATCCAAATCTTTTTATTTTCAGTTATTCCCACCCGGCCGAGTCCTCCTCGATGCAGTGCGCCCCCAGCTGTCGGCCAATGTCGCCTCCTGTCTTGCCTTGGGCGTACCCATGATCCCGGTCCCTGTCCCGGTCCCAGTCCAGTTCACAGTTCACAGTTCCCTGGTATCCCCGTCCCTGCCATGGTCCCTTGTCCCTCGTCTTCGTTCTGAATCCTGGGCGGCGTGGGCGTGGGCATGGCAAGTGGAAAATGCAAAGTGCAAAGTGCAAAGTGGGCTAGGGGAAGCCTCAGCTCAGCCGTTTCCGCGCCTCTTGGTGTGTTCCCTGGCCTGATCAGCCAGTTCGACTCCTTCGACGAACGCCTTCCCACACCTGCTTGTGCTGGATTCCCGTCTATCTGGTCTCGACTCTGGTATTTGGAGCACCTACAGCAACTTCGGTCATCAGCAGCGCAGCAGCATCGGCATCACCACCTCTATCCTCTCTCGCTTAGCCACTGCTGTCTGCACCTCGTCTGCGGATACCGTCTCGTCTACCGTCTCGTCCACCTCGTCCACCTCTCGTCTACCTCGTCAGAGTCGGCCTTCGCGTCCACACGACAAGCCCCAAGGCTCCAATTTCTCTCCCCCATCCATCACATTGTCCGACGTGGGGCCTGATCCTGGTCCCCCCTTCGACCAGACAAGACAAGCCAACAACTGCTCCTGCACATGGTACTTTGCGGATGCCGCCTACAGTCCTAGTCGTCCAGGCTGGCCCTCGTCTTCACCCGCGCTCTTCCTCACTCGTCTCGCCTCTCCTCTCTCGCATTCTTCGCCTCTTCACCCTCAACTTCTCGTCCACGCCGTTGCGACCAAATTGACAATCCAGAGGAAGCAAGCCCTCGCAAGGATTTCACCGCGCCCCGTTGGGCATTGTAGCGACTGCATTGTCCAGACGCTACCACTACACCTTGCGGTGCGGACTTGTTGGACCAACGGCAATTGATACCCTTCTCAGCTGGTCTACAACCACTCAATCCATATCCATCCGTCTGCCCATCGCCCGACGTTCGGTATTGGACCCTGTCTAGTCGACAGCAGCTTCATATACATACATCAGCAACCCCCACCGTCCGCCACCCTTTATCGTTTTCTTCCTTTTCACTCTTTCTACGCTTCCAGCGCCCGACTTCGCCGGTGCTCTCCCGCTCGTCTGCAATACGCCGCCCGGCCGACACGACCTGACCCGAAAGACAATTCGCACTCTCTGACGCTCACTCGCATCCCGCTGCTGCACTACACAACACTCTCCCGTCCTGCATGCGATACCGCGCCATCAGCGACGCCATTCCGTTTCGTCCAAACGAATCCATCCTTTCTCTCCGCTGATCGCTTCTCCCGGTTCCTGGGTGCCGCCGTCAGACCGAGTGTGCTTGGTCCCAACTCTGTGCAAGGATCTACCCGGTTACGCGACTCTCGTCTCTCTCATCGACCGCGACATACCTACGACGCCCCATCACTTGCATGTTCCCCGCCGCCGATAACGACTAGAACTGTCTCAACTACGCGCCTCGACCGGTGGCCTGGACAGGGAAAAAAGTAAAGGGAACGATTTGTCTTTTCTGCTACGACTCTTGGGACCTTCATCCGCCAAGGAAACGCTGCTATTGGGCAAGACACAACCACAAAAGAGCCCCTCTCTGCTGCCGCCGCCCAGTCGCCTGTTCTTCTTCAGCGTCCAACATTACTCACGACCGACCCTTTGTCCTCGTCCAGGAGCTCCCGTGGACATGATCTGACCTGCATCCATCATCCAACGCCGGTTTTCTGTCGACCACTCACGTTTGCCAATTTGAACCCGACCTCACCTCTTCCACGCGCCGATCACATTGAGCGCATCCGGAGCTGAAAGTCTCTTTCCCACTCTCAACTCAGCCAAAGGCTGGGTACGGATCTGAGACCATATCCACTCTGTGAGTCCGCTCCGACCGCCACATCTCAAACCGAGAACGTGGATTTCGGCCTCGCGCCGGAACGGGCGTTGTTGCTAACAGGAAATCTGCTTTTAGAAGCACCTAATTGCCTACTTTCACCATGGCCTACCACTCTGGTCACCCAGGTGAACCTCTACCTCAACATCAAGGATACGAAAATCACGACGAAATGGCTCAAAGGCACAACTCGTGGGCTCCGTCGCCGGCATACGGCCAGCCCAGGCACGCCGGAGAAGCCTACCACTACGAAGCCGAATCCCCGCGTCTTCCTCCCCCGTCTGGGCTTCTCAACGGAGGCTCGCAACCCAGGCCAATGTCACAAGACCAGCAGTACCGGCCAGACTACTATCAGCAACCCCCATCCCCGAGCTACCACCAGCCGCCGCCGCAGTATCAGCATTATCAGCCGCCGCCTCAACCGTCCATGGTCCACGACCCGTATCGAACGCCAGTGGCTCGGTATCCTACTCAGGAGTCGCCGCAAGCCGCCCCGCCAGCCGCCAATGAGCCGTATGATGAGTTTCGGGAAGCAAGAGAGCAGCACATGATGATGCGGAACCAAGCTCCAGCCCCGCGCGTCCAGAACAGCAACTACGACGGCAAGGTCGCCATTCCATTTACGCCGCCCGGCCTGAGAATCCCCGCGGTGCGTTCAGGATCCGCCGTTCCCGCTGGCGGGCCGTGGAGCGCCACGAGCCAGTCGGACAGGGCGGTTAAGATTGAAGACCTCTGCCACGGCGTCTCGAATTCTGTGAAGAACGAGTTTGCCCCTGACCAAAAATTCGCCCCGGATCAGAAGTTTGCACCAGACCAGAAGTTCATGCCAGACCAGCCCGCACCGCCCCCGAACGAATACGAAATCTTCTTCCGACAGCAGCCCGTGGCGGCGAGGTGCTGCGGCTATGGAGAGAGGGACCGCAGAGTGATCGACCCGCCGCCAATCGTCCAGCTGCGGATCAACAACCCCAACCTCACGCCAGACGAGATGTACGACCGAATTCACTTCCCGTCGTACGTTGTCCACTGCAGCATCTGGGACAAGGAGGGCACCAAGGACGAAACCGACATGCCGCCAGAGTACGTGCGGCCGGGCAAGCGCATCATGGGGTCGCTGGTCTCCTCGCCCTTTGTCGGAAACGACGAGAACGGCCAGGAGGGCTGCTTCTTCTGCTTCCCGGACATGTCGGTCCGCACGCCGGGCCACTTCCGCCTCCGGTTCTCCCTCATCGTCGTCCACCCGACCCACAGGAGCCGCACGGCGCCCATCAAGTCCACCATCATGAGCGAGATCTTCCAGGTCTACAACGCCAAGGACTTCCCCGGCATGCAGGCCAGCACGGAGCTGACGAAGCGTTTGAAGGAGCAGGGTTGCCTCATTTCTATCAAGAAGGGCAACGAAAAGTCCGGTGGTAAGTCACGTCGTCAAGATGACAGCGATGAAGACGACGAGGAGGGCGGGTCGTCGAGCAAACGCAGAAAGTCAAAGAAGCAGCGGTGAAGTAACCGAGCCCCGTTCAGCAGAGCATCGAAGATCTTCCGACAGTCGAAGGGAATAAATTAGGAGGTGGCATAATGGGAACGGCGTTGGGAGTCGGGCTACATCGGCGAATACACGGCCATGCTTTTTATGAGGCTCTCCGGGAGCTGCTCTTACGCACGAAGACGAATGTCGTCATATCGGAACAGCTGTCCGGAGGCTGCTATTTCCGCACGGGGACGAGTGTGCGATGAGATGGTTGTCATTGACGCAACACCGGGGCGATTATCGCGCCCTTTGCACGGGGACGAATGTGCAATATCTGATCATCATGGCAACGCAACGCAACACCGGGCAATTTCTACGCCCCAGCAAAGGACCCGTCCAGACCGAGGTCCAGATCATGTTCATTTCTTTTGTCCATTTTTTTTTCATCCGTCGATTCTATACACCATTTCTTCGTATCTATTATACCCTTAGTGGAACTTTATGGGTCATGATCATGGAGAAAAGGAAAGTCCGTCCGTCGTCCTTTGGGGCCTGGTATTTATTTTGTGTTGCATCATCTGCGGGAAGAGGAGAGGGGGGCTCATCATGTATAGAAAACCGTCTTACGCCCGACCGGGCTACAGAATTTTACTGTTGCCTCGCTAGGTATCAGAAATTGAAGTCGGAGCGCCGCCTTTTCTCGGACACGTTGATTCGCGAAGTGGTTTCCTTGACATGGTACTGACGTTGCAGAGGCACATGTGACAACCACCGCTCAACCTGAATTGTATGGAGCCGCAGCCAAGGGAGCGTCGATCAGGACACACAGCGTCGCCGAAACACGTGAGACTCGCAAGAGGGAGAGACCTGACTTAGACATCGGCCCATCGCCGCGTCGCTGGCGTCGACGATCTGTATCCGGGCACCGGGCCATCACACAAGAACTAGAGACTTCCTCGGTTGTCGACTCCGCGCCAGGGCCGAGACATACAAGGACGGACTCGGTGTTGTATTGTGAAGAACGTTTACGGTTTGTTAAACGAGCATTCCCCCTCGTTCGTCGGGGTTTTTCCCGCTGCCCGGTACCGTACCCGTACTCTTCGAAAAGATCTGCATTTTCCAGAGGGAAAATCCATTCACGTTCCAGAGGATGGGGGGAGTGGAATTTTGTTGTGTTTTGGTCAGGGTTCATGGGTCTTTTGTTGTCTCCGCCTCCGGGAACCGGGGCGGGCGGCGAAAAAATAAAAAAAACTCGCGACGGGACAGAGATGGTACGGGCGCGGCGGGCGGCGGCTTTAGACTTTCGGGTGATGGCGACATTTGAGATGGTTCTAAGATTGCGTTCCCGCGTGCCCGGCGCGCCGTGTGGCCCTTCCCTCACCTCCCCCCTCCTCGGGATGGGACAGCAGGAATCTTGGTGTTTGAGAGAGATGGAATGGGTTCGTCGGGGGCGACGATCGAGTGGCTGGAATCGTTGACATCATTGACTTTGCTTTTTTTTTCCCGCTCTGCCCCTGGTCATAGCTTCTTGGAAGCTGTTTTCCGTTTTTCGACAATGTCAATTGACGTTCTTTGAATTTATCGAATCGTGACGATTCTGCGTGTCTCTCGCGTGTCACACAGAACGTGGCAGTCCCTCGTTTTCGATTTCTCCAGCACAGACACGATGCCCTCCGGCCCGCGCGTCGTCTACTGGTTCCGGACCGACCTCCGGCTCCACGACTCCCCCGCGCTCGCGGCCGCCCTCGCCCTCGAGCCGGCGGTGCTCTGGCCCGTCTTCACCTGGGACCCGCACTACGTCTACCGCGCGCGAGGCGGTCTGAACCGGTGGCAATTCCTGTTCGTGAGCTGCCACAGGTCACGTTGACAGACCGATCAAACCATGCTAATCACGAATCACGCAGACTCGACTGCCAGAATGACCTCTCGGAGAGCATCACGAAGCTCAACCCCAAGTCGAAGCTCTTCGTCCTGCGCGAGGGGCCGCAGACGCTCTTCCCGAAGCTGTTCGAGGCGTGGAAGGTGACGCACCTCGTCTTCGAGAAGGACACGGACGCGTACGGGCGGGAGCGCGACGAGGTCGTGATGAAGGCAGCCGCGGACGCCGGCGTCAAGGTCATTGTGAAGAGCGGGCGGACGCTGTGGGACAGCGACGCGGTCGTCGAGAAGCACGGCGGCAAGCCGACCATGTCCATGTCGCAGCTGCAGGCGGCTGGCGCCAAGGTCGGGCCCATCGCGAAGCCGATCCCCGCGCCCGAGAGCCTGCCGGACCCCGGGGAGATGCCGGTCGATTTCGAGCCGACGCCGCCTCAGACGAAGCCGGATTTCAACGCGGAGCAGCGCACCGAGGGGGACTCGGCGTATAAGAAGATTTCCGGGCCGAACGGCGACTTCGCGATTGAGACGATGGAGGAGCTCGGATTTCCGTCTGCGACCACGCCGCACCGGGGAGGAGAGACGAAGGCGTTGAAGATGCTCGAGGAGATCCTGGCGGATAAGAAGTACACCGCCACGTTTGAGAAGCCGAAGACGAGCCCCGCGGCGTTCGAGCCGCAATCGACGACGCTGCTATCGCCGTTTCTCCACTTTGGGGCGTTGTCTGTGAGGGAGTTCTACTGGAGGGCGAAGGAGATCATCGACGAGTACAAGGGCGCCGCCAAGGTGCCGGAGAACCTGCTCGGCCAGCTGCTGTTCCGAGACATGTACTTCGCGGCGCACGCGGCTCTGGGGTACAAGTTCACCCAGACGGCGAACAACCCGTATTGCCGATTCATCCCGTGGCACTTGCCGTCCAAGGTCGACGCCAAGACGGGGCTCGTCACCGGGGAGTATCACGTTGATTCGGAGCAGGCGGACGAGTGGTTCAGGAGATGGAAGTTTGGCATGACGGGGTTTCCGTGGATCGACGCCCTCATGCGGCAGCTGCGCGAGGAGGGCTGGATCCACCACCTCGGCCGTCACTCTGTCGCCTGCTTCCTCACCCGTGGCGGCTGCTACATCGACTGGGAGCGCGGATGCGAGGTCTTTGAGGAGTGGCTGCTCGACCACGAGCCGGCGTGTAATGCGGGTAACTGGCAATGGCTGAGCTGCACCGCCTTCTTCTCGCAGTACTTCCGGTGTTACAGCCCGGTGTCGTTTGGCCAGAAGTGGGACAAGCACGGGGATTTCGTGCGGCGTTGGGTGCCGGAGCTCAAGAAGATGGATGCCAAGTACATTTACGAGCCGTGGAAGGCCCCGCTGCCGGACCAGAAGAAGGCCGGGGTGCGGGTGACAGGTCGCGGGGAGAAGGCGGAAGAGGGAGTGTACCCGAAACCCATGTTCGACTTCAACGAGAGGAGGACGGCATGTTTGAGTGCGATGAAGCAGGCGTATCAAGTCGGCCTGCACGGGAACGACGATAAGGTGCGGGACGGCAGCTGGCGGAAGCTATTTGAGGGTACGGACACGGAGATGATGGACGAATTCGAGAGTGACGACGGCGAACGCGCGGACGAGGCCGATGAAGACGGCGCCAAAGTGAAGGGAGATGAGATTACGCCGGCCAAGCGGGCTGCCGAGGAGGGCAGCGCCGAGCAGCACGCCGACAAGAGGCGAAGGTCGTAGACGTGTGAATCTAAACCAAACTTCATGCTTGGATCTCTGTTGCGAAGACGGCCCTATTGGAGCTGCAGAGTGACCTCGTTGATGTCCAGGGCTCCGGAATAGACATTGGGTTTGCAGTGGTCTGATGCGGCATCCGCGCCAGTTGACGCTTTCGCAGTCGTTCGTCTGCGCCGCCAATCAGACGTCGAGACGGCAAGTTGGCAGTTACCGGGGACATGGATCCGAAGGGAGGGGCTGGAATTCGCGCAGGCTCAGGGGCCGTGGTTATTCTGGGTCTCCATGGCTGTGTGATGATCTGATCCCTGGCCAACCAGAGGAGCTTCCAACGGTTCCCTGCAGCATTTGTGCAGCGTCCTGGATAAGAAATCTTGTCCCGCGACTGGTTTTCCGAATGAGGGAAGCGCTGGCTGTTGAGCTGTTGAATGGAAGGGATCCCTGCTTAGATGGTGCTTCTCGAAATCGACCTTGGATGATGCAGGTGTCTATCCGTAGGCGCAGTGTAACCGCAAAGGGAGAGAAGTTGATGCATCGAAGGCGCGTGGAAGTTGTTGATTTCCGTTTGCGTTTGCGGTGTTCCATGGCGATTGAGGTCATTGTCGATGGAGCCATTGTCGATTGAGAAGACCGGCATTTCGGAATCAAGCTGCAATATTCCGCACTTGGCATCTTAATTCTAGCAGCTTCCCAGCCAGGGAGATACCTCATTGAGATCTCATAGCTTCGGAATAGGTTGAAAGGCATCCAACGGTCAATCATTGTAACGGAGGACTACGTTGAAATGGACGACAAAGGTGTTTGCGAATTGCTTCCAGAAGTAATCCGCCGTTGCGCAAAACTCGCTGACTAATGAGCGCAGAGAAGCACGGATCCACCCAGCGGACAGATCTGGCCAATCAGGGCTCTCAACTGCGGAGGCAGCTTCCAACGCCACGTTGTGGCTGTTAATCTACCACCTGCCAAAAGCGTTGCGACATGAAAGGACTGATTGAACGGATTCGAGGGGACAGTTCTACATGAAATCTCGATTCAACACATATAAGAAACCCGCTGCCTCCTGTTTGTTCTTCTCGACATCACTCACAACTACATTACCAATACCACAACTACAAACACACCACAGCCATCAACATGAGATTCAATCCGAACTTCATCTCTCCCGCCGACATCGTTAATGTTCGCCCCGAAGCCGGCGGAGATCAAACGGAACTGGTATCCAACCACAGAAACTTGACCGTCAGCCTCCGACGAGACGCCGCAGACGTGCTGCCCAGCACCATCCTCGTCAGCCACGGCCGCAAGAGGGATGCCGTCACCATGGTTCTGAACCGCACGATCCGCGTGCCCGACAACAACGACACCAGCCTGCTCCCCCCGAGCCTCGGCCATTTCCCCCTCTTCAAGATCGCCGACTACGCCGAAAAACTGCCCCAAGACCTCACCAGCAAGGGCGGCATCTTCTTCCCCATGTACCAGCGCGAGGCCATGTGGATCTCCTTCTCAGCAGAAGCTCCGTTCGCCCTCAAGATGTACGTCGGCGGCGTCAACGCGGTGTCGGGCTTCCCCATGACGGAGAACGACAAGACTAGGGAGAAGAGGGAGAAGATGCTCAGCAGCGGCAAGTCCATCCAGGACTACCTGGTCCTCCCCGAGCAGCCTTGGCTCGACGGCATCGTCACCGAGGACGGCAAGATCCGCCAGTTCGTCGCCGAGCCCAAGGGCAACGGCTTCTCCGTGGAGGCCCAGGTCACCGGCGAGGAGAAGGTGGGAGGCATCCAGATCGAAATCATCCCCATCAAGAGACACTTTCCGGCCCAGTTCGACGTCCGCTACGAGGACAAGGAACAGAAGGTCATCGTTCGCACCTTCAACCTCGCCGAGAAGGGCCTCACGCGGGACAGCACGTGGGAGGATGTCAGGGAGCGCGTCCGAGACGAGTTCGACATTCCCATGGAAGAGCAGGTTCTCTGCAACTACAACGTGAACCCCACTGGAAAGTCACCTTTTGAACCTGACATGCACTTTATTCACGACGTCCAGCTTGGGGATGACTACTTCCCGCCCAGACCCTTCACCCTCGGAGTCGAGCATAGGCCTTTCAGGCCGAACGTTAGATCCTTTGCGAGAGGAAGGGCAGCCTTCACGACCATGTCCGCCTCCGCAGCTTCCCCGATGGCTGCGGCCGTCTCGGACGTGGAGAGCGCACCCGCGCCCGCGAGCGTCAAGGAAATGGGGCTCGCCGCCGGAGGTCTCATCACGCAGGATATCATTCCTGACCCGCACCCTGCCGACGTGTGGGATGTCGAGGCTTCGGTCATGTTGAATATTTCCATCCTGGACACCGACTCGTTTGCTGCCGTCACCGGCCAGCCGGCTCCGAACACCCCCGTCAGCGCCAAGGACTACGCTCAACACGGCTGGCCTTTCTTCGAGCTGTGGGGAAAGGAGTCCGGCGGCATCAAGGGCGAGTTCAAGGAGGTGAAGAGCGTGGCACAGTTGATGCGGGAGAAGGCCGAGGCCGAGGGCAGGGAGTTCACGGAGGAGGAGACTGTGGCTTTTCGGGTCGCGCGCATCGGACCCTTCAGGAGCACCTTCCGTCCTGTGCCGATCATGTGCCAGCATATTGGTTTGAGGTGATGGGGTTGGGCGTGTTGAGGATGGAAGAGGTTATGATTCACGAACATAGTTAACGACTCGATGATGCAAGCTTTTTAGGTTGTGTCTTTGCACAATAGAATGATATCAACCAAATGCTCTCTCTCATACGTGACTGTGCCATTTACGAGTCCCGCGGTATCTCCTGAAAATGCAAACAACACCAACGACAGCTCCTAAGCACGCAAGGATGATCCACAGACTGTCAAGATGCACATGATCCGATAGATAATTCAACACCTGCCCATCCGATCCATGCCACGACCGTCCAGCCGCGTGCCCGACCATCTTCCTCGCGTACGTCTCGCTCAACAACGCAACCTGGGTATCTTCCTTACCATACATCCACACGTATTGTCGGTACGCAGCCGTAAGCATCAGCGGCCCTGTAGACCAAAACACCCGCAGATACGGCAGCAGAATCCTCTTCGACGTCGACCCGCCGCGCCGCTTCGCCTCTTGTAGCACCCACAGAAGAAAGTCCGACTCGTGCTCCGCCATGAAGAAGTGGTTACTCAGACCGGCATCACCTCCCGTCGGCGCGAATGCCGCCTGGAGACCGAGGCGTTGCACGCACCTCGTCGCCTCGACGGAACGCGGGTGGACGTCTAGGTCGGCGTAGACGCCCCCTTCCGCGTGGACAACCACCAGGCGCGCCATGTCCGCTCTTTGGATGTTGTGGTCGTAGCCCTCGTATGTCGGGAGGAGCCAGGTGTAGTTTGTTCGAATCAGGCGGAGGATGTCGTCGTCCGTCCAGAGTTTGACGGTGTAGTTTCTCGGCTCGAACGTGGCCTTCCAGGAGTCGTGGGACGGTTTCGCCGGGTAGGTCGACACGTTGGCGGTTTTCCAGATCTGGTGGATTGTGTTTGGGATCGTGGGGAGGGTCGACGGGGAGCATTTGTCTAAAGTTGGGATCGGTTGATTCGGGAGGGTGAAGTCGTTTGTGTTGGTGTAGCTGAGTTGGTGGAGGATGAGGAGGAGGGTGAGGGAGGCGATTGTGAATGTGAGAAGTTTCAAACAGTTTCCTCGGGGGACTGCCATTGTGAATGATGATTTATTGTTTTGCTCTGTTGATGTCGTCTTTGAGTGAAGAGGCGTTTTCTCTGGCTTGGAGGATAAGAAAGAGGGAGAAGATAAATGATCTAAAAGAGTGACAACTTCAAGTGTAGAAGAATGACGGCACATCTATGGTTGCCTGTGAAGGAGAGCTTTTGGGATATTCCGTTAAACTTGTGGGTTTCGTTGAGTAAAGCAAGTTGTTCAGAATCAGGAAAAACAAAGAGATTGTTCTGAGAGCCGCAAACGATGAAATCGTGGTATCTCGATGGTAGAAGGGGTATCAATACAAATGAGACAGAGATATAACGAACGGTTGAAGGAATGCAGTGTAAATCAAGAACCACGCCGCTTGCCAGTAGGTCGATGGAGAAGACAGACTCTATTCAACGGGAAGTTGTGAGATCAATTATACGAAAGCAAATCACGTCTTGAAACGACACCCTCCCACCAACACCATTTGCCCTATTTCCACAACCCACACCTGGAGACTTCCAACTGACGATCTCTAGACTCTACGGTCGACATCCGGGGCGCAGCCGCCGCAGTAACGTTGCTACGTCCGTCCGACTTTAACCGGCCGAGGCCGTCTGCTGGCCAGTGCCGTCCGAACCCAGGCACCAGCAATAGGGATCCCGGCGCTGTTGGTTCAACGCATTTTACCCACGAGTCAGAAGCTAATGTCGACTCCCTGCGGGCCAAAATCGCAGACGTGATCAATCTTGATACGAGGTCGATCGGGCGCTAGGTCGCCTCGGTACGTTGGCAGCTGCGGAAGATGCCGAAGGATTCAGTTGTCTTAGTCTCTGAGAGCTAATGTTGGTTTGTTGCCCACAGTCGGCATTCGGGATCCCTTTCCCGTCCGAGGAGATTGACAATATTGTTGGTCTCAATGTGTGAATGATTGCTTCTACGGTCACCGAGATACTTCACGGCTCGCGAGGCCGTCTTGGCGACGACTTGCGTTAGTCTTCATAATAGCCGTCGCAATACGAGCTGAAGTTCTGCTGAATGCTGAAGACTGAATGCTCTTGAGAATTAGGGGTATACCAGGATGCCTGCACCTATATCCAGCATCGACGAATTAGAGATTCAATCTCTTCAAAGACAGCCTTACCGTTGAACAACTCTAAAAACAGACTTTCCGTTCTGATGTAATTAGAGCAAGTAGTCTGAAGTCTGAGCTCATCACTTCGTTAGACGCGGAGCGATTATTCATACAATTGGCCCGCACCCACATTGTTGTAACGCATGAGTTGAACCCACTCAAGGCAGCAACATTTGTACCCCGGCTCAAGGCAGCAGCATTTTTGCACTCAATCTCTCCAAAACTTCGAAATAGGGCTGTGGCATCTTTACTCCGCGGGTAGTGGGTATTTGGACTGCGCCTATTTCTTGTGTATGCGTCTACTAACGAAAAATGGTAAATATATCCCGACATTGGCGTCCATAGGCTGAGAACAAATGCGTCGGTCAGTTGTTTCAGGTCCAATCGATCGTTTACAGCTCCTTTGAAAAGTTGAAAAGCCCCTTTGTAACGACAACCTTTCGTTGATAATTGGTTGCTGCACTGTATTCAGCCGCATAATTGGAATCTTTTCTTTCAATGAGCCGTCATCGAGAATACAGAGCATCAAGCTCCGACCAAGCAGAACTGTTGCTCTTACACAGCAGCTTGCTACTTCCAAGCTGGAAAATCGGGCTATGCTCAAGGGAGGTCGTATCCAACCGCCCGGAAGTGCTACTTACAGCAACACCGCCCTCCTCGTAGCGCGAAATTTGATTTCGCTGATAGTGGGGTTGTCTCAGTAGTCACAGTAGCGGCAGCCAGATCGCAGGGCTTAACGTCGTAGAGGTTCAGAACCGGGTTCAAAGTCTCAACAGGAAGCTCGGAAATCGAGCTGAATGGCCGAGATGAAAGAAGAAGTCGCGCAAAGACCCCCAGAGGCGGTGTCCAGGTCATCATGATACAGTCTACTACATTCGTCTTAGCTCCTTCAGCTTTTGTAACCCATGATTGTTCAACTTCATGTTGTTTCGGAAGATCGAGAGGGGACAAGCCGAGAGAAGCGTAGGTGGTAGTCAATACGCAGCATAATCCAAAGCTCTTCACGATTGAAGCAGAGAAGCTGAAGTCTATGTGGTTTCACTGAGATGGATTATACGGAATAACTCAGTTGAACAAACATTTACTGCCCAGTCGACGCCCATCAGAACACAAACAACGATCTCGGTCTTTTCTAACTCCGCTGTTCTTGGCTTCACCCGTACAGCCATCTCCGTTGCAATTCGGTCATCCCTGTTTTCATGTCCGTCAAGGTACGTCCCTGTGTTATATCATTGGGTAGCGTCCGGCTTAGGGGCAGGTTTGGTCATCTTAATGTCCCTAGATGGTGACAGAGGTGTATTTTCCTCGGGCAAGGGGTTTTAGCACCAATTAGAGGGGCTAGAAGAAAGAGTTCGCCCAGAGCGCTTTTGCTGGCGACTGGGATGAGGAGGCGCTGGGTACTTTTACCCGCTTCGAACTAGTACGATGAAGCTCACCGAGAGGAACGGAGCTGGAGAGGAGACAGGTGGATAAAGTATCACCAATTTCAGTATGACATTCACACCACGTACAAGTCACTCGCAGTCACTTCTAGCGCATTCAGCCTCCGAGCTTATGTATCCGCCTGTTGTTGTAGTCTGATGGATACGGAAATACTCCGAAGTTGAGTAGGGCAAGGATTCGGATGAATGCCAGGAGTGGTCGGCAGTCAAATACGTTAACTTTACGACGACCCGCGTTCCGATCTGGGAGCTCAGGGACCTAAGCTTCAACAGGGGCACCGTTTCGAAAATGAAGTAATCGTGAACAGCATGTGAAGGCAGCGGTAGCCCAATCGTTTGGCTGGAATACCGAAATATCGGGAGACGAAGCATATTCGGCGCACGGCCAACTACCCTTTGAGCGTTATTGGCGATTGAAAATACACCTAGCTTAAGAAGCAGTTGTGTTAGGTGACGCGAATGTCATTGCAATTAGATTCTGACAGGCCGGGTTAGCCCCGGGTCAGTGGGTCTGGACCGCCGCTCGAGCGGGGTCCAGGAAATCCGGAAGGGTCGGCGTTAGTGGAGACTTGGCCCCGCCTGTGTCTCCGTGGCTTCGGGAGGTCTTCGACTATCTTTCACTAGCGCGATAAGCACGCCCTCGATAATTCATGATCATTCTCATCGAAGTCTTCATGTTCGGTTTATGGGCAATTAGTTGGGGTCAAACGCAGCATCGCATCGCCCAGCCGCGTCCGCTGCCTGACCAAGCCAGGCGCTTTCATCAAAAACATGTGCCGGCCTTTTCGAACGATCTCGCCAGCGGCTGGATGAAACCGCGAAACGAAACTTTTCCCGTACTCATGAGAGGTATCGCGGCATACTTTCGAAGGGTCTCGACGAGGGGCCCAAGGGCATGAAAGTTTGGGTTGAGGGGGTTCGAACCTACGACGAGATCTGTGAATGGCCTTAGGTGAGGGGTCGACCCCGAGTCTCCGTCGATTGAAGATAATAAAGAGGAGTGGCAGCTTCCAGGTAGTGGAGTTGGTGGATGAGTCCCGATGGTAGTTTCAGCTCACACATTCTGCTCGCAACCACTAATTTACTCATCCCAACACAAGAACTCCATCTCACCAGCAGATTGCCGTCAAGATGGGAATCGTTCAGAAAGGCGACAAGATCCACGTCCCCGCCAGCGAGCTGCTCGGCACCAAAGTCACTGTCGAGTGGCAGCAGAACCTGGGCAAGCGTTCCCAGGACTACTACTCAGTCACCTTCGTCAACAAGAGCCAAGGTGAGTTCAAGAAGCCGCGAAACCTCACGTCTCTGACATCGACCACAGGAGACGAGAAGAGCCTCCTCTTCATCTCCACCAGCTATGTCGACTCCTTCAAGAGCAAGAAGGTCTCGGGCGCCGGCTGGTTCGACTGGCTCATGTTCTGGAGGACGCCCGAGGGTGACTACACCGTCATCGTGGACGACTCGTTCCAGTACGGCCAGAACTCCGACAAGTCCTCGCGCTGGCTGGCGTACCATGACAAGAGCATGAAGGCGTATCAGGTCAGTGGGTAGTTTCTTCTTCGATTGATGGTTGCTTACCTGTCTTCAGTGGCGATTCGTTGCGAGCATGAAGTCCATGGCTGGGAGTGAGTTGGCGAATATCGGTGGTGGTATTTTCGAGGCGGAGACTCACGTCGATGTCAGTGCTCTGGCTGGGATGATTGGTGATCCTCTTCATGACTTCTAGGAGGCGTTGAGTAGTTCTGTTTGGAACTTTGGCCTTCACAAGCAAGTTTTCGCTTGCTCCGCATGATTCTCGCTCTGATTGCTAATTGCGCCTCAACGGAGTGACATGGGTCAGTGATGAGGAGTGTTAAGTCAGCTCTTAGGAGAGTACTCTCAATTCAGCCAAGTTAGGTCTCCTGATCTGAGTCTCGAGGTGGAATAGGAACAACATGTTTGAGCGGAAATTTTCCCTATCAACTCAATTGAGCCCTCGTAACTTTCCCTCCCGCGGTGAAGAAGCACAGCCCGATTCCGAGGTCGGACCGGGTCCTCAGTCCGCATATCGATCCGAACCGGATAACCCGCGAGGGCCGAAGTGGATCCGCACGGAACGTCTGAGTACCGGAAGACCGACGCCTTGGAAATCTTCATCTATTCACGCAGTGCCAGCGAGACTTATGGTTAAGACCCCAAACTACGCCGGTGAAGGTAAATCAATCTATTGGAGATGGAATCCTTGATCAATCGCCGGCATGCCAGCCCGGTTTACGATCGACACTGGCCCTACCCACTCAGGAATGTAGGTCGCAGGACCTCTGCCAACATGATAGTTGGCTGCAGAGTGCTCCGGCGAATCACTTAAACCAGACCCATTGAGGCAATCTCGACATTTGAGTCGCAGGTGCTGCAACCCTACGTCTGCAAGTGGCCCTTCGCCGATGAAGCCCCTCATCACCCCGGCCCGCTCGCTGCAGCCAAGGCGCAGTGGATATCTCATGGGCGCGAAGTATCGCAGCCTGCTGCTGAATTTCAGGCTTTGCACAATCAAATGGGTAGCTTGAAGGTCCATGTAGGCTGGTGATTGCTTCTGTGGCCCTTGCCACCAGAACGACAGAGGTAACAACGAGATCGTCTTTGGCACATACTTACAATGGATACGTCAGAGATGTGGGACCTTGGCGATTGAAAGAACCCGCAGAGACGCGGCATTCGCAAGGAAACCTGCACAAAGGTCTCTTGGTCAGGCGTAACGTGCAGTAACTTAACTCACTGCCTCGACAAAGTGGGGCGAAGTTGGCCGTCTTGGCCTGATGTACGAAGACTGCATCTTCAAATAAGCACGTCAAACCCAAGGCATAGCACTCAACCCCCAGAATTATCCAAACCTGGCTCCCAGCACGCGGCCTCTTCGCACCCAAACGCCAAACGCCAACATGAACGACATGGACCTATCCAAGCTCAACCAAAAGACCCTCCAGGTCTCCCGCGGCTTCACATACACCTACTACACATCCCCTGCGCAACCCTCCAAGCCCACCCTCGCCCTCATCCACGGCTGGCCCGACACTGCCAAGCTCTGGGCCGGCCTCATCAACTCCCACCTCCTCCCCGCGGGCTACGGCGTGCTCGCGCTGGACTGCCTCGGCTACGGCGGCACATCGAAACCAACGAACAACGAATCATACAGCTACCAGCAGATGGCCACCGACATCACCGAGATCCTCGACGCCGAAGGCATCCCCGAGGTCGTTGCCCTCGGCCACGACTGGGGCAGCGGCCTCGCCCAGCGCCTCTACCACTTCTACCCCGCCAGGGTCTCCGGGCTCGTCATGGTGAACGTGCCGTACATGCCGGCGACGGCGGACTTCGACCTCGAGACGGTGAACAACGTCACCCGCGACGCGTACGGCATGGGGATATTCGAGTACTGGCACTTCTTCAAGGCGGAGGACGCCGCGGGCATTTTGAACGAGAACCTCGAGGCCGTGTACAGCATCGCGTTCGGCGACCCTGAAGCCTGGCCGGGAGTCTTGTGCACGCCAGATGGGATGAGGAAGTGGGTTAGCGAGGGCCGGACGCATCCGACTCTCCCGTACGCCACGGCCGAGCACAAGGCAGACTTCATGGGCCGGCTCGGCGAGGAGCCTGGGTTCGACGCGCCGCTGCGGTGGTACAAGGCTATGGTGGTGGGAGTCCAGAATGAGGCGGAGAGATCAGTTCCCGCGGAGGGGAATGTAGTTGAGATGCCTACGCTCTTCTGGGGCGGCGAGCAGGACTACGTGTGCCGAGCTGCTGGTCTAGAGCCGCACGTCGATGCTGGGCTGCTGCCGAAGTTGAAGACTGTGACGAGGGAAGGCGGTCACTGGGCGCTGCTGGAACGGCCGGCTGAATTCGGTCAGGACGTGGTTGCTTGGTTGCAGGAGGCTTTCTAGGGCCAACCTGGCGAAGTTGACGGGGACTGACAAGGTTCAAGAGTTAGATAGTTGATGCTATTCCGACATTACTTGTAAGTTCACAATGGGTCAGTATTCTTCATCTGGTACTATTGTAAGCCGACATTCACGCATCAATCAAGGTGTGTAGCGGCAGCATTTGGCCAAGTGTCTCTCATTCAACCTATCGGTAGTATCTAGAACTCCAGCCTCTATCTAACGATCATTCCCATCGGGCGTGTGAAACCAGGTCTGCCTGGGTATCATCACCCCGTGTGCGTCGTCTCTGGCCGAAGCCACGTTAGTCTTCCTCAGGCGTGTGAAACCGAGTCCTCCTCGGTGTCATCATCCTGTGTGCGACGTCTCTGGCTGAAGGCACGTATACCCGTGCCTCGCCTGGACTTGCAACATGACTTCCTTGGTCTGGCTTGCATCCAACTCTGCTTCAACTACCTAGTGGTCATCCCGACCAGTTTTCGCAGGGGTGTCTCAGCCCCATCAATGACTGCTCATGCAGTTTCGGCAGAGTGACTTGCACTCGCGGCAACCGATGCTTGAGCGGCAAGGGGAGTCGTCTTGGGTGCGATCCTACGTTTCGTAGGGATCTGGTATTCGTTCTCTGCGTAGAATCTAGGCCAGTGCTTCTTTAACCACTTGGGATAACCCTCATCCAAGTCGTCCTGATGGATCAATTCCCTGCAAGGCGGCATGTTCAAGCCAAGCTCATCCCAACTCGGACGGGCTGTAGAGTCTAACATATATACTGATTAGGATCAGATGAGGTATGATTTGAGGGATGATGTGAGGATTGATAGAATGGATAACTTACCAAGCTTGCAATAAGCCATCTTTAAGATGCAATACATGGCGTATTCCCTTGAGCACCACATTTTCCCAACGCGGTGGGCTTGAATGTAGCCTGCGTCATGATATTTCTCAAAAAGCCCCTGGACGTCAGCATCGTCAAAACTTTTATGGAACTTGAAGCAGAACAGAGCCCAAAGCTTCTGACATACACCACCCTGAACGCCGTTGTCCGGTGTCCAGGTACGAGCGCAGTGCTTACCCGCTGTCTCAATGGCAACGGATTCGGGCTTCGTGACGGCATTCGATGGCTCCTGATGACGAGGTCTATCCTGGTCATGCGAGGAGTTCGAGCTCGTGTGGGCGTCCGTCGCACGAAGCATGAGGCCGAAGTGTTCGGCACCATCGAAGTATTCCTCAATGGTGCGCATGAAAAATGCGACCAATTGCTCGCGGTCGGTTGCCAGTCCGGTTCGGTTTCTGGAAAGAAGAATGGAGAGACCATCAGTTATCTCAGATGTCTCCAAGGCAAGACAGTACTCCTCTCTCATGTAGTCGAAACCGAGCCTGGGCGGCGACGCTACCGAGTCCTGCGATTCAACGATTATGATGAAATGGCTGCCATCTCGGGACTTCAAGGTCTTTCTCAAAGCATCTTCGATGACGTCAACATGGCCGCCTAACAGGTATACGCCAGCTTGATACATCAGCACAACAGACATTGGGTCATCTTTTCGTGCTTCCAGCGATAACTCTCGGAGGTGTGCGAGAATCGATCCTCCTCGCTTTTGCGGCCTCTGCGCCTCTGAGTCACCGTGGGCTGAGCTCTTCGGCGGCGCCATCGTGGTTGATGTGTCGAGGTGGTGGTGTTGGTGGCGCGTTGTTGTGGTAGGAAGGGAAGGAGCAGAGGAATAAAGAACGTTGTATTTTCTTTCCCACCCCAAAATCGCAAAAAGAACTTGTGGGTCGCTTGTAAATCTAAACGAGCGGCTTCAGCCTTTCTGAAAGGGAAGGGGAAAAAAGGGAAAATCAAAACACTTTATCAGGCAGGTGCGGCACCAGTCTCTACGCAGCCGGTCTGGCCATCAACCGCAGTGAGACGTTGAACTTGTAGTCAGGGCTTAGCTTTTCTACAGATACAATGGTATTTTATGCATTACATCCCAAGTAGCAACATGACCTATGTACAAGATATCTGATATTGGATCCTCGAGATACGAAAATGTTTGGTTAGGTAGCCAACGTCTTTAGCCACGGGCTTTGCTAGACAACGCTATCTCACGCGTATTACCTACGCCGGGGATTTGGCCGCGATCGTAGATCTTTGAAGGCATTTATCTCGTGTTTCGTTAACTTGGCAGTAGTTCCATGCGTTAAAAGTGTCGGGAGTTGAATCATGAATATCCAGCAACACCCCACATCCTCGCCAACATATGGAGTTTCCTGCATCTTCAGCGCCTCATGTGACAACGGCAACTCAAATCGCGTATCATAGCTTGGCAAATAGCAGCCCATGTCGAAGGATGGCGGACATATGATATGTCCGGCGAGCAGACCCGCCTATGATGTAAGGATGAGATGCGGCGGGCTTAAGAGAGACATGTCCGATCGCGAGGTCATCAGCTCGCCCTATGTGATTGAGAAAGACGCCATCTCGATTGTTTATACAACGCCAAAACACCATGTCCACAACTACCATCATCTTCGGCGCAACCGGCCAAGTCGGCTCCGCCGCAGCCCTCGCCGCCGAAAAGCACGGCGCCAAAGTTGTCCTCGCCATGCGCGACACCACCAAGGCCCTGCCGCTTGACTTCAGCCGAGTTCAAGCTGATTTAACCAAACCCGATACCGTGTCCGCCGCCGTCTCCTCTACCGGCGCTAAACGCGCCTTCATCTACCTGGTCGAGGGCGCAAACGCAGAAGAAGCGAAGGGCCTCCGCCCGACCATCGAAGCCATGAAATCCGCCGGCGTCGAACTCGTCGTCTTCCTGAGCTCCCTCGCCGTCAAGGGTGACATCTACGGCATCGGTCCCGAGCCCAGCGTCCTCGCTTGGGAACACGCGCAGGTCGAGATCTCCCTGCGCGAGGTCTTCGGCCCAAGGGGCTACGTTTCCCTACGGCCGGGGTACTTCAGTAGCAACTTGCTGCGGTGGGCGGACGACATCAAGCAGGGCGAGTTCAAAGTTCCGTATCCGAACGTGACCTGGGACTTCATCGCGCCGCAGGATATCGGCCGGGTGGCGGGCTTGGTGCTCGCGAAGGGCATCGATGCCGTGGATGGACAGAATGCGGTTTATCTCTGCGGGCCCAACATGATATCGCAGGAAGACGCCATCAAGACGGTGGAGGAAGTGACCGGCAAGTATATCAAGGTGATCAAGATCGGAGACGCCGAGTACTTGGAGCTGTCTGACAGGCAAGTGCCGAGATCGGTTGGGGAGGTGCTTCTGAAGTCGATGGCGGACAGGGCACAAGGAAGAGCGGATGATATATTCTCGCCGGCAGTCTATCAAGAAGGCGTTGCGAATCTCGAGAAGTACGGAGGGGCGATGACGACTCTGAAGGACTGGGTGAGGCAAAACAAAACGGCTTTCCTTGCCGAGTGACGGCATCGTGAGGATTAGACTAGTGATTAGATGATCTATACAACGTTCTACCTCTCATCATGTTGATATCAGTGCCCCTCTATGCATCGCCAACGTGTTTTCTTCCCTTGAGGCTTTATGAAAATTTAAACGTACTTCTCCCGTCTATAAAATGTTCACTTTTCACCCTCTCTCTCCCATTTTCTTCTTCCTTTCAACATTATATCCCATCACCAATCTTCATCCTGCATCTTGTAACCCATCATACTTCATGTATCCCTTTCGCCCAGCCTTCCTATTCTTTCCGGTCGTGTATCCCTTCCACTCATGTTTCCTCATTCGCGCAAAACCCACATTCAGGTGCCGGAATATTGCTCAAGTCTTCCTCTTCAGGCATCCCCCGAGACTCAGATTATCGGCTTACAGGAGCCGGTCTTCATCACAGTCTCACATCCCCAGAGCCCTCAGTTTGTGCGACCAACTGGCACATGGTGCCTTCATGGTTGCGTCGTACCCACTGCGGACAGATCAAATCCACGCGTTTGCTATCAGGGTGCTCGAACAGTCCATCCCTGATGCACATGCTGGTGTTGGCTGGGCACTCCACGAGTGTCCCATGGCCTTCGCCAGCAGAAATGCTCCTCTCAAGGACTCTGGCTTGCCAGAACTGGTACATATTTTCCTCCCATTTTCCAAACGATGCCCGAAATCAGTGAAACCCCCAGTCCCAAGTCTTGACCCCCTTGTGAAATATTCTTTCGCGGTCCCAGGCTCAGGCATGTCCATGACCTGGCAGCCAATATATTTTTTCCCGTGCCAGGAAGGGCGTGCTTCAAAGAAACGTCCAGGGCCTGCGCAGCGAGAGCTTTGTCGATCAAGATCTTGGTCACATATGTGATGTAAACTCCGAGGCTCATATCGTGAAGTTGAGTATCGTCTCTTTCGCGGAGCAGGACCCAGCTGCCGATGGGGGACGCAGCGTTGGCCGTTGGCGACAAGGGTTTGCGCCATCCTATCGGATTTCGTTCCAAATCTGCAATGATCCATGTTGTCCAGCGCGCTGTCTTCAGTGGAACCGGCGAATGGGATCGATCTGATGACCGTCGACCGCACCGAGACCCCAGAGCAGAAGGTGTTTGTCCCGAACTATTGATCAGGCCTGCATCAACAGCGGGTCATCTGTCGAGCGGGCGAAGCACTGGAAAACCCCGCGTCCGCTTCTTCCTCCTTCTTTTATTCGCCACTTTCGTGAGACATTTCCATCGTCGCCACGACGTTGTCAACTTGAAATCGTCCGAGAGATTGAGCAGCTCTCGCTCGAAACCTTGATGGCTGATCAATCTACCAACGCAGCCAGCCCGCGGGCGACTGCCTCTGACGCTGCGACGACGACTTCGCCCGCCAGCCAGCCACCTGCGCATCCTCACCCTGCCAACCAAGACATTGCGGCCCAGCCAGTGGCGACTGACGAACCTATTGAGGCCGACGATGACAACACGGTAGATTTCCTTCGACTCACGTACAGTCGACTATGCTGAATTGCGCCTCAGACCGACGATGCGTCGACAATCGACGAGCGCCTGTAAGAAGCCTTCCTCGTACAGATCTGCCACCCGGTGCTCATCCATTAGGTCGGAGTACACTGCGTCACTGACGTCGAGCGTTGTCGATTATCCCGAGGAGTATGGTCGTCGGTACCATGCGTATCGCCCAGGCAGTGAGCATCCCCGAGAAAGGTCCCCAGGAGCCCATGATCACCAATCGCTAACCATGTGAAACAGCTTACGTCCTACCCAACGACGAGGTTTGTCTGCGTCACGAGATGGGCCCAACAGTTGAAAAGGAAAAGTCGCGTGTTAACGAGATTTAGGTTGAAATGGAACGCCTCGACATGGCGCATGCGCTGATGGTCAGGTCGATCGGGAGCCGACTCTACCTCGCGCCTCTCAAGAAAGATGAAGTGCATCGGATCCTGGACATCGGAACAGGCACTGGAATTTGTACGACCTGCTTCATTTGATGCCCATGGTAACTGAGACACTGACCGTATCGCAGGGGCTGTTGAGATTGGTGACATTTTCGGCCATGCCGAAGTTATTGGTAACGATCTGAGCCCTATTCAGCCAGAATGGTATGTTTCCATGTCGTAAGGAAGAGGTTCTGTGACTGAGACCTATGTTTATAGGACACCTCCGAACGTGAAATTCGTGATTGACGATGTCGAGAGCGACTGGGTTGGCCATGAGAAGTACGACTTCATTATGTGCAGATACATGGTAAGCCCATGCTTCCCACGCAAAACCTATTTGTTCGAAATGACTAAGGATCAATCGAGGCTTGCTCCATTCTAGACTGGCCTAAGCTGGTGGAGAACATCTACGAGTAAGTTATGTTGTCTCCGCGTGTGAAAGTACTTTTCGGGGTTGTCATCAACCGCCAGGATGGTTCTGACTAGTCCGACCAGCAATCTCAAACCCGGAGGCTGGGCAGAGTTCCAGGATATGTCTACTGAGTATTATTCGGACGACGGATCATACACCGACAAGCATGCCACGTGGGCTTGGAACAAGTCCTTTCTCAAGGCTTGCAACATCCTCGGACGTGACCCCTGCCCCGGGCCTAAGCTTGAGGGCTGGGTGAAGAGCGCCGGCTTCACGAATGTCTTCCACAGGCGATACAAGGCCCCGATGGGCCCCTGGGCTGCGGATCCCGTTTATAAGGATATTGGGATGCTCAACCTGGCGCAACTTTTGGAGGGACTGGAGGCTTTCTCGCTGAGACTGTTCTGCGGCGTGCTACAGCGGACGAGGGAAGAGGTCCTTGTCGAGCTGGTGAACGTCCGCAAAGAGTTGAAGCAGAGGGCTTTCCATGGCCTTTTTGATCTGTAAGTCATCAACGATTCGTTCAAAGGTGCTCAAGCTAACTTGGTTCGCAGTCACGTAGCTTACGGACAGAAGCCTCTGGAGGAATAGATCCAAGAGGTCTCAGACTTGCATTCGTTTCAATCAACCATTTTCTGGATTATTTGTTAGTATTCAGCTTAAAGTTTGGTTTGCTCTCCAAACGACGTCGCTGCTCTTGTACAAAATATCGCAACGATATAAAAGACGTCAAATCAAACTACAGAAGCGTTTCAGGCGTTATGAGAGCCGCAATACAGAATATAAATAGCCACCAAAGTTGCAGCTCATCGTCGATCATCCTCGGGAGTCCGACATACGGTACGACGCTGACATCTCGTCAGCATCTCTGACGGATTTTGTCGCCGTCTTCTCAGTCCGAGGTCGCGAATGACATGTCCGGAATTCAGTATGAGCTCTCGTTTGAGTTAGAGATCAGCATAACCCAGCAGCTTTCATTCTTCAGCGGGCTGCACGTCAGCGCGGCTGGCCTGGTGAGATCACGCCACAAAACAGACGATGAACAAATGACGACTGATAATTGGGGGCGACGAGTGGAAAAGGCATTTAGTATAAATCTGTAGAGTCGATGGCGACTTCCACTACGTTGCGTGCAATCACTCTCGCGACAGTATTCTCGTATCCCCACGACTTGGACAGGACCGGTATTTCACGCCATCTTTCGTCTGCCAACAGAATTCCCGCTACGAGAATTCCAAGATGTGTCAGGGTTTCAAAGCCGTCATCTTCGACCTCGGCGGCGTCCTCTTGGATTGGGACCGTCAAAATCAGCCGATGATGACTCGGGATCAATTTTCAGCGATGATGAACTCGACGGCGTGGCACAAACTTGACAGAGGGGAACTCACAGTCAAGCAGGCGTGTGAGGTAAGTGGCGAAGGGTTAGTCAAGTGAAAAAGGCTGAACCGTGGTCAAATCACAGCACTTTAGCACAATGCTAGGCGTAGACTCGGCCGCTGTCGAGGCATCCTTGGAAGAAGCCCAAAAGTCATTGAAAGTCGTCCCGGAACTGCTGGCGACAATCCATGATCTGAAGACCTCAAACAAGAATCTGAAGTTCTACGTCATGTCCAATGTATCCAAAGTAAGACAACACCATCAATCATTTCTGGTCGGAACCCGCCCAAAGAAACTTCCAAGCTAACCTCCAACCCCAGGAGCATTTCGCAATCGTCTGCCGAGAACTCGATGTTCCCTGGTCGGAGTTCACCCGGGTCTTCGTCTCCGGGGTCGAGGGCATGCGGAAGCCCGAGCTGGGTTTCTGGCGCCACGTCCTGGCGCAGATCGGCGCGAGGCCGGAGCAGACCATCATGGTCGACGACTCGGCCGAGAACATCTGCGCGGCCCGGTCTTTGGGCATTCGTGGTATGCTGGTGGATAGTAAACATCCCGAGAAGACGAGCGCTGCGCTGCGTAACCTCTTACAAGACCCCTTACGGCGGGCTCAGGCGTACATGAAGACGAACGCGGGTAACCACTTTTGCGTGGTTCAGGGTCATGAGGGCATTACGTTCAAGGATAACTTCTCCCAGCTCATGATATGGGGGTTAACTGGAGATGAGAACGCTGTTTCTCTTCGATGGCCTTCTCATGCAGAACAGACTGGGAAATTGGACTCTACTGCCAGGGACTCCGAAACCAACGGCGAGAGGGACGATACACAGCCTACACTCCCCAATGGAGACGTCAACAACGAAGTCGAAACCGGCCTCTGGAACTTCTTCTGCGAGAAGCCAATCTTAACAACCACAGACTTCCCCCCGGACGCCGACACAACCGCCATGGCATACATCTCCATCCCCTCACCACACCACGGACGCCTCGCAAACCCGGACATCGTCCTCGACGAGATGCTCTCCAACTCCGACCCCGACGGCATCGTGCGGGTCTACTTCTCCACCGACAGGCCCCGCACGTGCCCGGAAGTCTGCTGCAACGTCTTGCGAGCCTTCAACCGCTTCGGCCGGATTTCCGACCCCCGTCTGCAGGCGACCAAGGACTGGGTGGTCGACTGTCTTAGGAATGACGCCTGTCTTGATGGGAGCCGGCATTACTCGACGGCAGAGACGTTTCTGTATTTCGTGGCGCGGCTTTACGATGAATGCGATGAAGGGCCGTTGAAGGGGCAGCTGGAGCTAGTTAAGGAGAAGCTTGGAGAAAGGATCCACGTGCCTGCCAACCCGGCGGCACTTGCGCTGCGGCTTTCTGCTTGTCAGATTGTAGGGATTGATCCAGGGCTCTATAGAAAGGACTTGAAGGCTTTGATGTCTTTGCAGGAGTTGGACGGAGGTTGGCCCGCGGGGCATTTCTGCTGGTATGGCAGGACAAGAGCCAAGATCGGGAATCGTGGTTTTACCACGGCTTTAGCTATGAGTATCATGCAAAAGGAGGAGAATTAGGACTAGCACAAATTTCGACACAAGATGCAATCATCGAAATCTCTTACCTTGCGCTGGTGGTCATATTCATTTGACTTATTTACAAGCTGGATCCTTGAGATACCCCCATACACGAGTGATGAGGAGAAACCCGAATGGAACGGTGTAGGTCCCCGGCGGATCGGAACGGTCCGTCGTCATCCGACATGGAGTCCCGGACGGTTGAGTCCGCAACCGAGTCTGCCGTGAATGATTAGTATCCAAACTCCGCTTAAGAACCGACCTCTGTGCGGAAGAGCCGACGCCTCCGGCGTTCTTCAAATAGATACAAGGAGGGCTGGTGTTCTCCTGTCTTTCCCCATCTCGTATGCCTCGGCTTCCCCGCACGACATCGTCATCACAACTTTACCCCATCTCTAAACTCCTGTCTCCTCAGTGTTCCCGCGCAGGCCAAAACAATCCGGAGCTCGTTTCCCAATTGAAGTGATACGTGTTGGGGATATAGAACCCCTCGTACCTCGGCCGACCCACCAAATTGGATTTCGCAGCTCCCTGCTCGCTTCATCGTCTGGTTGTATAAGTTGTCTCTCTTTTCTCGCATCATCACCGCCCATGACAATTGCTCTGTTCACAAGATCAGTCCTTGTTGCACAAAAACGTCCACAATGAGTTCCACGATCGCATCTCAGTCCAGTTCCTCGGGTGCGGACATCCAAAGTATGATCGACCATGTCGAGGAGCACGGGTACGTGATCATCCCCAACGCTTTCACCGAAGCGGAGCTGGAGGAGGCCCACACGGAGCTCCTCCGTTTAGCGGCGGACGCCGCTTCTGCCGGACCGGCCGGGGGCGACCGAGCCGGCCGCAACGACTTCGAAGGTCTCAACACCAAGCGTATCTACGCCCTTCTCAACAAATCTCCCGTCTTTCAGAAGTTTCCCATCCAGACCACACTCTTGGCGTTGAATGACCACTTTCTCGACTCGGGGTATCTCCTGAATTCGTTCCATAGCGTGTACATCCAGCCCGGCGAGGCACCGCAGATGCTCCATCACGACGACGGCTTCGTCACTTTACCACGCCCTCATCGACCCTTCGGAACGGTAAGATTGCATCTTCCAGCCTCGAGCATGTGTCTGACAGGTTGATAGGGAGTGATGGTCGCGATAGACGACTTCACCGCCACCAACGGCGCCACAGTCGTGATTCCCGGCTCGCATAAATGGGGCGACAAGAATGACCAGGCCCCGCGCCGGGAAGACACCATCCCAGTCATCATGCCTCGGGGCAGCGCTGTTTTCTTTGTCGGAACCCTTTGGCACGGAGGCGGGCAGAATACGTTCGACAAGGAGCGTCGGTCGATGACGATACAGTACTGCCAGCCGTGGATTCGGCCGCTGGAGAACCAGATTCTCGCCGTCGAGTGGGAAAAGTTGGAGGGAATGCCGCGGAAGCTCGTTGATATGCTTGGTTATGGCGTCGGGGCGCCGTTTATCGGGTATGTTGATGGGATTCATCCGTGGAGAGTAGTTCAGAGGCGGATGAAGGAGCAACGAGAGAGCCGTGCCGGTTTGCGAAGCGGGAGGTTGTAGAATGAGCTTTGAGGATGTAAGGAATTTCTCTCATGAACCGTTTGCAATCTGAAAGAATTCCATTGTCAGCAGGTCGATGTTATCGTGTTTCCAAAGCCTTCCATTTGCTCCGAGTCCACAGGTCTAAAAGAAGGAAGGACGGGAGTGATATGGAAGGGGGCAGGTTGCGCCTTCTGCCGCCTCGGGTGACAGGGCGGGGAGGTTCAGCGCAGTCTTTGCGAGCTCCAGGGCGCTACTAGGTAACTGACAGGGTCTTTCAAAGTCGACCGCCTTCCCCCTTTCATCCCACGCTCAACACCTCACTTCTTCACCAAAACAACCACCTCGCAGCAACCCACAAACGAGCATCGAGGTTCATCATGGACGACCCGAAAGACCCCCTACACGAGCAGTTACAGAGATTGCTGACTGCTGTCACCCAAGCAGAGGCACAGCCCGAGTATTTCAACACCGCTCGAGGCCTAGCAGATCTGCGAAGATTTGTCGAAGCCGCGCTCAGCAAGTCGACGATCCTTCGTCAACAAGAAGCCGACCTCGCTCGTGATAGACAGGCACACGATGATAGCGTCGACTCCGTCTTGAAGAAGGTCAAGATGGCGGTCGAAGCTACCGGTGTGCGAGATGCCGTCACCGCGATGAAGCAGAGCATGGGCAATCCTAACGAAACGAATAAGCCGGTGGCTACGCTCTCAGTAGAGGGGAGGGCAGCTTTGGTGAGAGATGACTCCACCAATCTCAACGATATCCTCCCTGGGATTGTCGAAGGCGCAGTTACCCGCGCATTCCAAAACTCTGCCGAGGCGATAACCAAGTCCAGTCAGGAGGGGAAAACTGTCGTCACTGAGCTAACGACGAAGCTGGAATCGTTGGTTGAGTCGAAGCAAAGGCTCGAGAGCAAAAGCACCCAGCTCTTGGGAGAGCTTGAAAGTATGAGAGCGGACCGCGATCGCTGGCAAGAGCAAGCATCCCTGAAAGAGGCCACATTGGCACAGGAGAAGAAATCTCGAGAGAGAATCGAGATCGAGCTCGAAGCTACGAAGGTGAGGATAATAACAGGCGAGGCTTTGAAGATCATTTCTAACAGGGCGAAATAGAAGGATATCATTACAAGCAGCGTCAATCACTCGTCAGCCAAAGATCAGCCGAGGAAGAGACTTCGAACCAGCTCATCGACAGCGGACAACCAGCTCCGCCAGCAACAACCTTCATCAGTGACAGTAAAGGAACGAATGGTGCTGAACAACCAGGACGAGAGAAGAATTCCGGCGGGATTCGCCGACCTGCTCGGAAATCTGTCGAACAACCTCGCTGGGTTTAACGTGGTACAGAGAGGAGTGGGAAGTCTGATGCACACGACGACATTAAAACACATTGGGCCATTATTGTGGAAGTGCAATGCATATCCTCAGCTCAAGGACTTTTTGGAACACACGAGGCCCGGGCTGACCTACTGCTTCTCGGCCGCAATGAACGTGGGATTCGGCCCGCAAGTTCCGCCGATCAAATCACCAATGGACTGCGACCATCACGTGAATAAAAAGTATTGTCTGTTGGTGGTGTGCCGATCAGAAACTGGCAATCAGTCGGGAAAGAGCTTTACCTTCATGGACAGGTCTAACTCTCTGAAAAAGTAGTCATTTCGAGATCATCGATGAGGCTGGCTGCACCGTATGGCGCAGCGAATTGCATTTATTGTCTGTATGCACCCTATCGGTCACGAATAGACACACAAAGAATTAGAAAACTGTTTTGATCCGCGATGGATGTAACTCTTCCAATAAGAATGCCTTACGTGCAAATTTTCGGTGCCTTGGAGGAAGCCTTTTGCTGCGTTTTGATCGGTGTAGTCGTCCTGGGCATGCGCGCCGGTCTTTGATTGGCCAAAGGCTTGCTTGTGGGTGGAGCCCTAACCGACCGGCCTCCCCTCCTCGGCAGCCGTCACTTCCATATTATCAAAAAATAAGAGGGCAAACCTGTCGTCGATTTTCTCTCTTCACATCAACCATCACACAGCCACGATATTCGTCACGACGATCATCATGGCCTCCAACAACGACAACCACAAGAAGGCGAGCGAGAAGACGGAGGAGAAGACCAACTTTCCTCGCGCCAGAGACTGGGTTCCGTCTTTTAATGACGAGACCCCGGACTGGGCGAAGGACAGCAAATGGTCGTCAACGGTGAAGACTCTGCTGACTGTGGTGTTTGGCACTGAAATTACAGAGCAACAACAGGTCATATTCAAGCCCAAGATAGAGGCTCTCGCGAATGAGCTCTACGTCGAGTGGTTCAAGACTGGACACCATTTCATCGGCCTGGAGTTCGTCAAGTATCAAATCTTGGCGTGGTTCTGGATGGAGCGTAAGTTTAGCCCTCTCCTCCGCTCATGCAACTTTGCTGACAGTCTTCGACAGTGGGCCACACCCAAGAAGAACTCGACGCGATGAACTTGGCGATTCCCGTATCCTACATGAGGGACGCTGACCTCGGCTACATGGAGTTTTTGATGGCCGAGCACCCGGAATTCTACCATGCCAACAAGTGGCGGATGCCGGTCTTCAGGCCTCCAGTCAAGTCGGGACCGTCTGCGTCCAATGCAGCACAGTCAGCTCCTACAACCACTCCCGCGGCTCCCTCTGCGTCTAAGGCAGCAAAGACTAGCCCCGCTGTCACTCCCGAGACCGTGAATTCACCTGCGTCCAAGGCGGTGAAGCCCAACTCATTCCCTACTACCAACATGGCGGCTGCATTTGCGTCCAAGGCAACGACCCCCATAACCTCAACAGCTGCGTCTAAGGCAGCAGTTCCTCCACTCATCGGCCCAAAGCGGGAAAGCTTTGCGACCGGAATCCAGGCCTGCCAAAATCAACTCAACTTCAGCACGGCGGAATCGAGCACTACGCCTCAGAGTCAGGCTCAGGCTCAAGTCTCTGGTATCAATAAACTAATCGAAGCTGGAAGAGCCGATCGGGGGGAGCACTTCATCAGTTGTGGTCTCTCCGCGAATAGTTTGGAATTTGACGGCTACCCGTTCGAGGCGCGGCTCCCCAACAACGTCCACAAGGACAAGGCCATGGCGACCCGCCTGTTCAAAGACCCCAACGTCATGCGACAAGTTTCGACTATGCTGGATTCGAGGCTCCGCATCGTCTGGACAGAGCACAACCGTGCAACGTTTCTTCTGGCCATCCCGACTTCAAATCACACCAAGCTGGACGACGTCGACTATCTCTCGGTCTGGGAAATCCTGGTCACCTACTGCGGCATGTTGGAGACGAACCCAGGCTCTCTCATCCCCCTCAGCGACTGGTTCAGGCACTCTTTAGAGACAAACGCACTCAGAAACGTTGAGAAAGCGAAGGTCGCGATGGCCGAGCGCAAGCGCAGACTTCTTGAGCTCGAGTTGCGTAAGCAAGAGGATGCAGCGAAGAGTGCTCTTGGTCAAATCAAGAGCAAGCAGACGCGTTCCGTCATGGAGTGGACTATTCAAAGGTGCATGGAAACAAAAGGTGCCGACGGCGAGAGATGGAAGAGACTCACCGATCTCTGGATGTACGCCTCGCTCATCTGGAACAACACCGGCGTGCATCTCTCTTCAGAGGAGATCAAGTACGCCATCCAGCAGGCTTGGTCGAACTACAACGGCGACGGCAAGAAGGCAGAGAACACCGCACATGCCGCCAGATGGTTTTTGAAGGTCGGAGACTTGTCCAAAAAGTTCCTCGACGAGGTCGGCTCTGTGGCTGATGTGCTGAAGGAGATGAATATGGACGAGTCGGTACCCGGTCTGGACATGGCTGATGATGAACTTCCCAACGACGTCTAGGACATTTACCGGGGAATCTGGCAGTCTTCCGATGTTTCCGACAAGTTAGAAAAGTCTCGTCAAAAAGACTAACTTTTGGGCATATGATATTCGGGATGGAAGACTTGGCATTGGCGACGAATAGACTCGGTCTAATCGAGGTCTTGGAGGATACTGACGAGGCCTGGTCTAAGCGGGCGCTCTGGGGAATTTGGGTCCAGGTAGATGGCAAGTCTACCCGGTCAGGCTGAGGTCAAAATACAGTCTGTTACAAAAACAAGAATTGCTGCCTCTCTGTGACTGGGGTTGTCTATGGTGTGACATGTATGAGAACAGCGCAAATCTACGCCTTCGATGACCAACGCGTTCCGGGTTCCAGCTCGGGGTCCTCGTAATTATAGAGATCATGAGCAGCTCTGAAGATTGACTCGAGGTGTCGTTGCAGTGGTCTGAGCTCTTTAAAGCAGCGGCAGATGGCGGTCAAGGCTCACCCAGTCGGATCCCCCCCATGACAAGCTCCATTTCCAGGTTGGGATTGCACTAGGCCCTTTTGGGAGAAATCCCCTCGCTGCTGGACATCCGATAGCATCAAAACCTCCAACGTCAATTGGGGAATGGCACAATCATAAATCAATTAGGTTCTCGCGACTGTTGCAATCCTGAGGTGCAGATCGAATTCCACTGCGTTTGAAGATTCCAGTGAATTTTCTTTTGATAGGCGCGCTTCAACACGTGTTGGCGCGGGAAGAGGTTAAGCTGTCCGCCAAGATCACGAATCGATGCCAGTGCTTTAGCAGCTTGGCACAGCTACGAACTATGGATTGATAATCGGGCTACGGGCAGACTAATTTCGTAGGGAGGCTCCTGTTAAAGTATACATCACTTGGTGATGGGCGCGCGTAGAGATTTCACATGTTTACCGACGCAAAGAGAAACGATTGCCTACTGAACTGAACTGTATAATACTGTATTGATCGGCCTGGCTAGTCTAATGATCCAGACAGACAAGAGTACCAGGTGAGAATCCAGTTGATCCGGATCTCACTCTCTAAGTTCTCGATCGAAAGAGCCCCGTCCACAACTCCCTCAATGACTCTGCTTCCGATCAGAGCTGCTCATCTACATTTTTGCCTAGTTCCCTTGGCCGAAATGGCTGTCGCCCCTGTTATTGTAGCCTCCTCTGCCTCCTCTGCTGCTACTACTGTTGGTTTCTTGATGAAATAGACCGCCGCCTCTTCCTCGAGAAGGGTTGACCCGGCGTCCTGAACGAGTGACAGAGCCGCCGCGAGAGGGCGCATGGTAGTTGTTGGAGAGACCGTACTGAGCTTGAGGCGAGGTGTTGAAGCCTGCCGTGAATAACAGGGCCTTCTGGTTGAGTTTGGTGTTGCCAGGGACATTTGACATGTTTGGCTGCTCTGTCCAGTAGCTGTCAGGACTGCCGAGCTGAGCTGGTGATTGGGGCTGAGGTTGAGCTTGGGGGTCGGGTTTGATGTAGCCAGGAACACTTGAAGTCTCAGGCTGCCTTGCGCAGTGGCCGTCGGCAATGCCGTGCTGAGATTGTGTCCCGGGATTGAAGTTGTTTTGCGGTTGAGCTTGTCGCTGTGAACCCGGCGTTTCGATGGACTCGTCTTGATGACCGAAACTCTCTCTCATGGCTCGACGCGTTCTCATGTGGTCGGCCTTGACTTCTTCGGAGTCCTCGCTGAAGCTCGGGACATTTCGCCGACTCTTGTGGAGCTTTGTTTCGTTTACGAACACCATCTTGATGTGGTCGTTCTCGCCAATGTCGGAGGCCTCGACCTTCTCGCAAAAGCTTTTCCACGCCTCCCTTCCCTTGCCCAAGGACAGTTGAGATCCCTCCGTACTCATTGCGAAATCGGTCACGCCCTCGGGGATGATGGGCATATGGCTTGAGGTAAGGAATTCCTCAAGAAATCTCTTCCCCGTTTTGGCGGCTTGTGGTGAGCGCATGTCGTCGCCTTCTTCTTCTCTCTCTCTCTTCCTCGATCGCAGATCGTCGTCGGTACCCATGTTGTGTGAGGTGGTGGGTGTGGTGATGGTCATAAAGAAAATTGGTTGAGGGAGAGACAGGGAAGGAAGGTGCGAAACCCTCCAAAGGAGTTTTGTGGGCCCCGCCGAACAAACGTGCAGTCAACCACAGGATCGAGCGGCCACGCGAGTTTTCACAGCCCCCCCCTTCGCTGAATGTTCGTCTTTTCGACCTCTGACGATTGTTTACACAGCGAGAACATTCAATCAAGGACGTGGATGATATTCAAGTGGGTCGTTACCGAACAATCGAACAATGGGAACTAGAACTTGCGGGTCAGAGTCGGCGACGAGCGTTGAAATACAGCAAAACTCATCCTCTAGCACGCTGAAGTTTGCATGAAGGAAGTGCTCTGAATCCATGAAATTTTTCTTATTCTGTCTTAATGTGCTAATTTCATGGAAAGCGTCTGGCCCTCTTTCTGTCATGCCAGCACAACGTACCGCAGTAAGCAGTCGATCAGGGACGAGGCCCCATCCAATAGCTCTTCTACGAGTAATTACCTTTCCGCCAGAGCCAAGAAGATAACTATATCCGCCCACCCTTTCCACTGACAGTTGACTTCAACGCTCTGCTCGAGGATACTCGAGCACTGTATTGCAGAAATGAGACTCCTAATGGGTCGTCGGCAACCTGCTCGGTGAGGTTGTTGGCGGCTGGAGCATGCTTGGAACTCGAAGTTTGGACTGGGTCCACGAATCGAACGTCAGCGCGATTCAGCAGGGCCTGATATCGCGAGATTGCGGTGCTTTATGTGGCGTTGTAGCAATGGGTACAATATCGAAACATATTGAAGTACCTGCCGCATAGAAGTGTCAATGTCGTCGTCTCTGGAACCATCATCGTCGCAGGCTAAGAGGAATGATTACTCACCTAAGCATCACCGAGGCTGACCAACAATCTGCTTCAAAATGTAGTCCCGATGTATTTCTGGATTGCCCGTTGAATCCACGATAATGGCGTTGTGCTTCGGACGGCACGGGTTCTCGATCCATTTCTTGAAGAGACTGCGAGAGTCTTCGCCTGCACGAGCCTGGCGTGCCGCAGCAGGGGGACAATCGACACCAGTTCGCTGACTCCTCATCGGGTCTCGCGAACGCAACCTTTCATCCAGTAGATCGATGTCCTCGACCTTACACTCGACGTACCAGTAGGTGAAGCCGTGCTTTTCCGCGAGCGCGGATCCTTGATCGAGAACCTCTTGGAAGTTGCAGGTACTGTCGATGATGACATCCAGGCCTTGTTTCATAGCGTCCTCGGCGAATGACCATTGAAGATGATAGGCGCGTTTTGCTGCTTCGTCAAATTCCATGTCGTTACACTCAAGAAGGGCGGACCTGAAGACGTCATGGTCTATGACCAGTCCGCCAATGGATTGCCGTAGTAGCCTCGCCAATGTGCTTTTCCCAGAACCTGGTGCACCGGACATCTGGATGAACAGTCGGCATGACCCCTGTGAGCTTTGCCTAGAAGTCATTGTAGGGGGATAGATCCGGGGTTCGTAGTCTTGTTGTGTCTTGATGGGTTGACTACAGATGTGGTGGATACGGAGGCTGGTTGTAGGTGTGGTATTTACGAACATTGCAGTGTGGCCGTAGATTAAGGTATGGAAGAAGTGTGAAGCTAAGAAATTGGAACCTACGGATACCTAGGCGAGTTGTCAGGAGGAGCACCTCCATGTCGGTGGTGGCACTTCTCGCTTCTGAAAGAGTCACGTCACCAATCAAAACAGCGGGGTTCACTCATGAGACGTGGACGACAGGGTTTGGGTCCACGTTACCTTCCGTACCTAGGTTCCTGGCATGCACGCTCCCGTCCGTTAGCGTATCCGTTTGATCCTGAGAAGGTAGCTTTCAGCGTACGCTGAGTCAGCAGTATGACGTAATATCAAATGGATAAATTGTCGAGGTGCACCTTACGGATAGCTTACTTAGAAAGGCACATTTGACGAACGCCAATGGACTTCAAAATATGAGCTTTTCTGATACTGAAGTTCTCTCGACTTGGTAACTGTTTGCAATCTTGGGCCCAGGACATCCCCCTCTGCTCCGCCCACTTAGCCGATTGCCCACGCATGCGTCTTCGATCTTTTCGGCCCTTGCCAGATCCCTGACCGTTCCCCCTTCCCTCAAAAAGCACCCGCTAACTCGGAATCAAAACCCAAGACCTCATTAGCAAGGAAAAGACAATGAACGCCTATGTGATGAACTAAATACTAAAAGCCAGAGCAAAGACGCCCAGCCAAGACTCCCAGTGACATCACCAGTAAACTGATGCGCCTTTCAGCGGCAAGTCACGTCAGACGCGGGACCATTTACCAGAGTTTCTGGTCGACACGACGGTGGCGCCATTGCGCCGCGGGGATGGCGTATGCCAGACTGTTGAGGCGAGCATCACAGGGCACGTCTGTCAGCAGCTTGTGATACTCCTTGTCTGAACCGTAGTGGTAGAAAGCCGTCTCGTCGCCGCCATACGCAAGTTCGACTGACGGGAAGATGGCCTGAAAATCCTTGGCATTCTGCCATACGAGATGCGAAGCGATTCCGTAGCCTTGCTTGTGGCTCAGTTCGATCCACTCATTCCGGTTCATAAATCGCGGGAGCACTACATCAATCAGAAGAGGACTCATCCTCTCAGTATAGTCGGATTCTTTCCAAGATATTTCCTTCGCCAGGCGGTGCGGGACGAAAAGTCCAGTCGTCGTTCGGAGCAACTTCTTTCCCATCTCATGCGACGCAATGCCTCGGAAGCTCTTGGCGAACAGTTGATCGTTGATAGATTCGACGCCATTAACGCAAACCCTCCAGGATGAGGTTGAACCCGTGGTCGGTCTCTGTATCGCTAGAAGACACAGATCATCTCCTCCCAGAGTCAAGGGTCGACTAAGCAGAAAGAATGAGTCATTTTCGAGGACCCAGCGCCCGGCCTTCGGGAAGGGGAGTTGGTTGGCCTGCAGAAGGGCCAGTTTCAGGGGAGAAATACCGAAGGATCCAGGAGAGAGAAGCTTGTCGTTATCCCGTGCGCTGTACTGAGAACGGGACGATGATCCTGTCGAAGAGATATGAACAATTTTCAGGCCATCGATGACGTGCTGAGGCACCCCGTTGTCTCTGAAGAATGCAGTGGTTCTTCGTGCTGCCGCTGCAAACATGTGAGTTTGGCCCCTGACACCGTTGGATGGGTGAATTAACACGCAAGAAGATGGGTCAACCGACGCAATCGGATCAGTCGATAGGTATACCGGTGTTCCTTTGGGTAAGTAGGATCCGGCCATCTCGCGGAAGAGCTTCTGGGTTGTGGCGGCCGACTCGAACTTGACAGAGACTTCTAGCACGTTGTAGGGCAGACCTTCGTCAGACGTCTGTAGCCCGAAGATGGTGGACTGGATCATCAATGCTCCAAGGTCTGCGCTCTCAGATATGGCCTCAGAATCCGACGAGTATTCCGAATTGTCGATAGAGAGTTGACCGATTCCGTTTAAGAGGTTGAGCATATTGTTCAGCTTCTCGAGACCCATCAAGAACAGAGGGACCACCTCCCAAGGCGTATCCCGTCCCAGTGCGCAGGCGCAGTCGGCGACGAAGTGTGCCGCCTCACCCAACCTCACTCTGAGCTCAAAAGATTTAGTGCCCTGGGACTCGACTTCATCGATCCATCGCCTCACTATTGCATTAGAGGCGAGCTCCGGGATCAGTCGATGGGCGGCGCCGGTCATGGTATCTGAACCAGGATGCTGCTGAATCTCGAGCTGATATGATTGGCCATCAGCTGACATGTTGTAGAGCTTCTTTCTAATTTCAGAGAAGCCTGTCAGAGAGAAGAGTAGCTTCGAGACGTCGTAGGCATAGTCGCCACGCTCGAAAATCTTGTCGTCGGAATGATCGAGAAGCGGAACACCACGAGGGTCAATAAGCGCAACGGGCTCGTCTTGATCTGGGTCCAAGTGACTGAGTATGTTGTGGATGTTGAGGTCGCCGTGGATCTCGTTTAAAACGGTCGGCCCAATCTTGACAAGCTCGGGATGTGCTTCCAAATTCTCCATGACGCAGTCGAAACCCATCAGAAGCTTGCCATTCAGCATGACTGACTTTTGATTGAGGATCTTGTCGAGCAATTCGTGACGCTCGCGGGCGATCTTGACACGCCTTTTCATTCTACCAAAGTGCGCCTGCTTGATGAAATCTGGGTGGGCTTTGTCTCGGCTTTCGGTCCAGACAGAGGTTGCCAAATTAGAAAGCAAGTCCACGATGGCGGCCACCGCCGGCTTCGCGCCGACGTTGGCAAATATCAGTTCTCCGAACGAGTGGCTTGGGATGTATGGGAACACGAGCCTGATCCCGCTCTCGGTATCACTGACCTGCTGGGGTACCACGAAAATTCCTGTGTTCTTAACGGCGTTGCTCGCCTCCAAGAATATCGATTGTCTTCTCAGCCATGGTGCCCCATTGCCATCGATGCCGTACCCCACAGCCGTCTTGTGAACCGTCAATCTGCCGTCCGCTCCAGGCACCAAGGTAACGCTCGCAGAAGATCCGCTCTCATCCAGAGCAACAGCGCTGTCACTGCCTTTGCAGTGACCATCGCTGCGTGGGGAAAGGACGACTGACTTGCCGATGACCGCATCCACGAAAAGCCCAGCAACAACAAGCTCGTCCAGGCTCCATTCCCGCCGCGACTTGAAACGGTAGAGAACTTCGTCAATGGACACGTTTTGCGCCTCTAGGTAGGAAATCGGTACGAAAACTTTCGAGTGAACGCTGCTGTCATTCAGGATGGGTACATCTAAATGCCTGCGAAACTTGGACCCAATATCGACAATATCGGCCGATTTGCCCAGAGACGAGGCGCACGTCAAACCAGGTTTCTGCTTCGCTTCAAGGATGATCGAACCTTTCTTGTGGATGTCTTTAATCAAGAAGCAGATCCTCTCGACCGTTTCGAGGCTGATGTTGTTGTAAATGGGCAGAGTGACCGAATTTTCGGCTAGCAGTCGACTGAACTTGAGGTCTCCTCCCACTTCGCCGTACTGAAGAAACCTTTTCTTAGTACCAATGCATGGCATTCTGGCTGCGCTGCAATGAACGTTCTCAGCCTTCAGCGCCGCGCAGAGGTCTTCGGAGTTGAGACCAAAGTCCTCAGCCCTGATGAAGACGCTGACTTGATAGTGATTTGTTCCCAGACCGTCAGGAACTTCCTGGAAGATGATGCCAGGAATGTCAGCGAGTAGATGACGGTACATCTCGCCGGCTGATATACGCGTCTCGAGAGCTTGTGGAAGCACGTCCAGTGCTCGAAGAGATATGAACGCATGAACCTCCGCCATCGTTTCATGTCGCAAGATACCAGTGGAATGATTCTCCAGTACACTGGCCAAAGGCTTTGGACAAACGATGACGCCACCCGATCCTGCCCCTGTAAAGACCTTCGGATAACCCAGGCTGTAAATGGTGGCATCGGCGATATCGATCGAATGAGGCTTGCCTTTGACAGCGCCGAAGCTCTGAGCGCTGTCGGAGATGAGCTTGATGCCGTGGTCGTCAGCGAGCTTGCGAAAGGTGTTGAGATTGCACAAGGTACCGAGCCAATCAACAGTGACGATAGCTGCGGTGTTGTTCGAGATACATCGTTTAGTGGCCTCCGGTGACAAGAGCCATGACAATGGATCGACATCCACAAAGACTGGCTTGAATCCCTCATCAATCACAGCTTCGGCAGTTGCCCCGACCGTGAGCTGAGGTATAATGACCTCGTTGCGCTGGGTATGCCCATAGGTAGCGCGAATTCCTTTCAGCACGGCTCGAAGTGCATTCGTGCCGCTGGTGACGCAGAGTACTGATGTCTTGTTGAGATCAAGTTCCAGGAAGTCTCCGATGCGGCGTTGTAAAGGGATGCGGTATCCTAGGCTAGAATTCCCAACGCCTGGCAGTAACTTGGATACGAAACGCTGCTTGCTGGCACGGGTCGTTGAGTCTTCACAGGCTTTATTGGCGAGAATGGCATCGACCGCGCTGTAGTCACCCTTGGGTCGGTAGCCTTGAGGGGATATCAACGGCACAGGATCGCAGGGAGAAAACGCTGGGTGGCCTCCCAAAATAGCCAGTTGACGAACGGAGGCCATGATAAGCTTCGAAGTTGGCCGCTGTGCAGGTGTCGATGATGTCTGCTGCCGTATCAGTACCGCAATGAAATGTGGAAGACCTCCTTGTCTAAAAAGATTGTAAGCAACAGTTTCCAGAAGATCGCTTAGAATGAGGGGTCAGAAGTCCAGCGTCATAATGACTCAGAAGTGAAGCCAGTGGAGGTAGACAATATTTTGGACCTCGGGGATGAGGCTTACTTCTAGACTTTTGAACTGGTGCTCTAGAACTGTAGAGACACAATGGTTTTCAATACGATTAGGTATTCTAGCTAAGCCAGACTGGTTGAGGGTACCCGTTGCACATGCCGTGTCAAACTCCTCTTCCAAGCCTGACCGAACCGCGAATGGCAACACCACAGCATACCTCAGGACATACTGTTCGACGCCATTCACACCGGCCTTGGAGATGGCCATGCACGCTTTATCACGGCTGCAGCCATATTCAGCTAGTAAACAGTCAAGCTAACCCGTCTTGACTGGCAATGGGCCTTCGTGCGAAGTAACAAGCCTCTCACCACTTGATAATCGAATGACAAGAATTCAGGAGCTCAGTCAGCGGCTCCCGGCCTAATCACATAGCATTTATCACTGAGTATTGAAGCTTTCATGGCATCCCCTGAGCATACACTGCTGCAATGTGATCACCCAATGTTAGTGTAGCCATAGCCTGTAGACTGCACGGATATGAAGCTAATTCACTCATTTGTACAATTGCCATAACTCCCCCTCCCTCTACAGCAGAGTATTGACCATCTAATCGATCCTCCATAGCCGACGCAGCAAATCTATATCCCATGGTCCTCCTGACTGTGAGCTGGAGCCCTTGATTATAGTACGCGAATCGATGAATACCGAGAGGGACTTGAGCCTTTTGCGGGTCTAACGGACGAAACCAATGTACCATATACAAGACCAAAAGCAGTTAGAGATACGAGGTGACACTCATCTCGGACCTGAGTGTTGCCTGTAAGGGTTCGCAGGCTACCGATGTTTAGGCGTGCTGCCTGAAGTTTCTGTGTTCGAGTGTCACGACTACGAATGTCACGACCAATATTTCGGTGAATAGTTCGTATTCTTCGACACACCTTGGGGGTTTATTCCGTCGCACCGAGCGGACGCGTCGCTTCCTGAAACACATTCTGAATGATGATGGTACTGAGGGAGGTAGGAAGGAAGACACCGAGGGACCACATCATCATAAAACTCTCATTCACGGTAGCGTGATCACGCCGTTCGATGACACCTGGCGATGTAAAAGCACACTTGGTGCCACTATTCCTCCTCCAAGGGAGAGTATAGGCACAGGCTATGTAGTGCAGTTGGGGCCTTGGTAACTAGATGGCAGCCGTGGTACAAGTCCCAAGACACCTAGGACCATACGCAGTAGGCTGATGCGTAGTGTGGGTTTGGGCGTCTCCAGTCTAGCCATAATCGTCTTGAAAATGGCACTAAATGCTGTGAAGGATATTGGTGGTATGACGAGATGGGCGCCTGCTTCGCCTGTGGACTCGAGTCGGACTCAATCATCGGAGTCGTGGTACGTCGGTCGTCTGCCAACAACAATTCCTGGCTGTGTAGTCAACGACGCTCTTCGAACTATGGGTATGAGCCCGATGGATTTAAAGACGCCAGATTTGCGTAGGTTGGAGACTGAGGTCACGTAGCCTAGAATTTTATACGAAGAGATGGGATTTTCCAGAAGAGCCCTTGCACAAGACCTGATGATGATGTTCGAACGTGAACGATGTGTCGCTGAAATTTAAGTGCCTACGGCCGCGGTCCTGTTGGCATGCGAGCGTCAATAGAAGCGGGCATGGTGATACAAGCACAAGCACACCGCACAAGTAAGTTGTGAAACATTGGCGTTTCCCGTATTGTCCTCTTGACGAGGCACTGACCTATGTAATTATCTACCAACCACGGAGGTAAAAGATGTACCCGGCTTCAGTAAGCAGGTCAACTTCAATCTTCTTTGACGGCCCACCGCGAAGCGTGAGGAAGTTGTCCTCGCGTTTGCCGCAATCCCGATCAACGAACCACACGACATTGCGTCGACTCGTGTGTTTGATAACAACGGCCTGGGGCCATTCCTCAACCTTGACAAGGTAAAGTTTATCCTCACCCTCTCCCACCATGACGCAGTTCTCGTTGACCTCGTTGGGCGTGAAGTTACCCATAATCTCTTCGGACGCTGCCAGGACGTCAGGCTTGTGGTTATCGAATTCGACATCCCACCTCTTCAAGACGATATTCAGCATTGCCCATAAGGCCACGCTCGCGGAATCCTGCTCCCTCGATGGGAGGCTTCCTAGACGGTTGTTGACGACCGATAACAACAAGTCGATGACCGACATGTTGAGTTTGGGAACTTGACTCAGGAGCTCCGTCAGTCGGCGCATCAACGCAAGGTACTGATTCCCATTCCATTCGCTGTGAAGGATGACATTGGGCAGCCTCAGGATCACCTCGATGATGGTGAAGTGGCTGTAGTCACTATCCTGTTGAGCCCGTGTCCATGTGCCTTCGACGAGCCACGGCTTGTGCACTCCGGCATCGACGGTTGCGAATTCTGCGTCCTCACGAGCGATCTCCCGCATCAATTCTTCCGCCATTGTGCTTCTCCCACCGAGAAAGAATTCCATGTATCTTTCACCGAGGCGTCCTCGTCCTTCCTTTGTCTCGTTGAAGTCTTCCTCGAGCTGGTCTGACGTGGCTTGGAGCTCTTGCAAAGTCTTGGCATGGCTAGCAGCGTGTTGACCCGCCGCCTCCAACTTCTCGTTCAGTTCAGCGATGGTATCTTGAAGTTCATCGGACTGCTCTTTTGCGTGCTGTTTATCTTGAACCGCCGCCACCAGCTTCTCCTTCAGTCCAGCAATCACAGCCCGGAGCCCGTCCGACTCCTCTTTCGCGTCCTTGGTGGCCTGTTGCTTGTCCTGGTTGAGAGTGGTGACGTTTTGACGCTCCGCCTTCAACTTGTCGTTCAGTTCATCAATGGTAGCTTGAAGCCCATCCGACTGCTCTTCTGCTTGCTGCTTCTTTTGGTTTGTGGTAGTGACGTCTTGACGCGCCACCTCCAGCTTCTCGTTCAGTTCATCAATGGTAACTTGAAGCCCATCTGACTCCTCTTCTGCTTGCTGTTTCTTCTGGTTCGTGGTAGTGACGTCTTGACGCGCCACCTCCAGCTTCTCGTTCAGTTCGGCGATTGTAGCTTTTAGGCCATCCAACTTCTCGTCTAGTTCGACGATTGTAGCTTTTAGACCATCCGACAGCTCTTTCGCCTTCCCCTTGTCCTCGTTCATGGCAGTGACAGTGTCTGCGTGTTGTCGTCGTAGCTGATCCATGTTGGCATTGCCGTCGTCTTTCGCTTCTTGGAGTTTATTCTCGAGACCCTTGATCGTCTCCTGGGTATTCATACTGAGTCTCTCCAGATCCCTTCGCGCAATCTTGAGTTCTATACGTAAGGCGGTCCTTTGGGACCATAAAGACGCCTCCGAACGTCCCCATTCCTCGCACGTTTTCTGCAACTCTATCAGCTCATCTGATGCAGCTTTCAGGCTAGCCTGCTGCGTCTCAAGCGACTTTGACAGTCGATCGATTTGTTTCTGGGCGCCCTCAAGTTCGACTTCCTTGGCCTGCCGCGTTCTCGTCTCTTCTTCCGCCGCAGCGTTCGCTTTTTCAGCGTTCTCGATAGCTGTGCTCTTTTCGATCCGTAGATTTCGGACGAGGCAGTTGAGTTGCATGCAGTAATCCTTGTAGGTTTGGTCATCGGAAGGGCTCTGCGCGTCTTCGTTGCCTGCGTCGTCTTCTCTGTCGTCGTCTCCATCGTTGGTGTGTCCGGGCTCTTGACTACCCAAATCTACCAGGCGCTGAATGGTTGTGCGTAGAGAGTCGTTTCTTTGGCAGACCTGATCCAGTTGACGGACTCGAGAGCGCAGTCGCTCATTCTCCTTAACGAGGGACGAGTTATCGTTCATGAGTCCCTCAATAGCAGCATTTGACTCGTGGATGACGCCATTTCGTGCCTGAATGATATCGTCTTTCGCCTGCAATCTGCTATTGAGGAGACTCGACTGCTTCTGTGCCTCACGTTCTGCCTCATCCTTCTCCTTTTGATCGTTCAACAGAGACGTCTCGTTTTGCGATCTCTCGATGCCATGTTGATCTGCACCCCGCTCTTTGTCGCCGTCGTCGTCTGGATACGTCGCCATGCCTTGGAAGGCTCGCAACACCATGTTGCACGACTCGTCGTCGTCCCCGAGCCTTTGACGGAGCTCCGTGGAGATCCCCTCGCTTGAATTGATATCGTTGAGAATTGGTTGTGCGAATCTGATGATCTCCGCCAGTAGGCCCGGGCAAATGGTCTTGTGCTCACGGCCGTCCTTGCTTGTCTCGGTTTGGACACTGGCCCAGATATCTTCGGCAGCCTTGACGGCTCCCGGAATTTCCCGCTCTAAAGCCTCTTTTTGCTTCATTATAATTCTGTAGGCGTGAAGGGTTTGACCGCCGGAGACGTCGCGCTCGCCTTTGAACAGCAGCGGATTTTCGGCGTCGTATTTGAGGGTAGCCGCGCGATCGGTGTAGTTGACGCGCAAGCGGTCGAGGTATTCGTGGATCTCTTTGACGTTCTCGCCGCTGTCTTTGATAACCTGCGGCCGATTCATCATGAAAGAGAAAGCATTTTGGGCGGTTGGTGGCAAGGCCATTTTCGCGGTTTGCGGGTGTTGTTGTTGTGGTTGGGTGAGGTAGGCAAGACCGGTGGTTGAAAAGTAGCGGTTTGGGTTTGCATCTGCCCCACCAGGTCCTTCACCTTCGATTAAAGCACTCAAGGCCAAGCATCTTTATTTTTGATCTTTCTCGCTTTTCACGCCAAGCAATCCATCTTCTTTTCGCCTTTGTATCCCTTTGCCTCCCTAATAAATGCCGTTGTTTTTCCATAGGACGAGTTCCCTGAACAGCACGTCAGCTAGACTCTGTGACGAGGGTCGAGGCCATCATTGCGAAAGTTTCTTGCCCCGGGCGTCGGTTGATCTGTCTACCTTCTTACCAGGCGCTGCCAGGATCATCATGACGGAATACACCATGCTTGTTTACTGCCGTTCTCCCAAACATCTCCAGGGCTGCATAAGGTCAATCGTCAATCTGATCTACGCAAACTACCGGGTACGACGACGGGGCCTCATGCACGTGGACTGGGTGAAATAATACTAGGGCATTGTATTGCAACAGGGATACCAGTCCTCGTAACGGACCACTCGACCATGTGCAGCTCGTAGTTGGGTATCGAGTCGGAGAGTCCTATACGCCGGTTGTTTGGTCCGCACCCGGGCTTGAATCCGAAGAATGCCAATTGACAGATCTCACGGCCTCACTTCGAGCAAAGGAAACGATTGGGGATCCAGCAATGAGTTATTTGATTAATCTAAGACTATTGACTAGCCATCGGATCCCATACAACTCAGCCTTGAAGGGCTACCAAATGGGTCATCCTCTCCCTCGTCTCTGCTCGAGAGAGCGGGCAACTTGTCTGAATCCTGAGATGTGCTTTCTCCCGTAGAAGACGGAATTACGACGATGTCTCGAGACGCAGACAAACTGGGGCTACGGGTCTTGCGACCCTCATTGCCTTTGCGTTGATCGCGTTTGCCGTCGTCCCCGGTACCGCTCGCCTTGTCTTTTGGTCTCGACAGCCTCTTGGGCGGCCGCTGCTCATCTTCGGAATCCTCCACCTCTTTTGCCAACCGACGGCCCCTGTCAGTTGACTTGAACGTCGACTGGAGGCTCGAATGGTCACTTGATGGCCTTGGCCCGGTCCCCGGTCGCTGTGCGGATTGCGGCGGTCGCATTTGCACATTCGTCGTCGCCTGAAGCGTCGAAACCTCTTGACGGGTCTTCTTCACTGGACGAGGTGGCATTCGGAATCCATCGGTGCTTGGCTGGTCTCTCTTCTCTGCGCTCGTGACAGCGTTGACCACTGGACCGGAGTCTGCGTTGAAAAGTTCCATCATCCTCTGTGTCATTGCTGTCGCTTCCGGGCCCGCCCCCTGGGCTACCCTTGCTCTGAACTCGGCGCGACTCTCGGATGTGATAAGCAAGGTGCTGTTAATTGCGAACGTATACCAATAGGTATGTGTGTCCATACGCGTCAATCTCCCATTTCAATCCGCGTACGTCGACTTGAGAACGGGCAGCACGTCGATATCTTCCTGGTCGAAGATGCGGATGCGGTCCATGTCTTCTGGAGCCCTGCCGCGCATTCGGACTGCCGCCATCAACACGTATGTGCAGGCTTCCTCGAATGTGGGATGCGTCATGCCTCAGAGGAAAATCGTCTTGAGAACTTGCAGAGACTCCAGCGTCTTCTTGTCGTGGATCGACGGTGTGAATCGTACACGGATCATGGATGTATCTCAGTGAGACCGCGCGCACGAATCGTGCGATGTTTTGCGTGTTCGGAACAAGAAACCCACCGCATTTTTGTCGATCGTGGCTAGAACATCAAAGCCAGTGGTGCCTCTGATCTCGTTGTTGATCTCGATGAGTTGCGACCTCGCGTTGAAGCCCAGGGGCGACTCTTCGACTCCTTCATTCGCGTTGTTGTCTTTTCGCATCGCCGGGAACAAGAGAAATCAGAATCTGGACCAAACAGTCTTCTCCGTAATGTCGCAGCCTTGGAGGCCATCGAAGCCGAAGTATGCAGTTCCAATTGCCGTGGAGATGAAGTTCTTGAGCTGGTCCTGACTTCCTTCGGCCCTTCACGGTCCGGCTTGCCACGAGAATCTGACGATGGGGCTCTGCTCCATTTCTCGAATACTGTCTTCGTTCTTGTCCTTGGTTTCACCCAGGTCGAAACGGAAGTTCAGGTGTCTGATGAGAACCATGAAATGGTTGAGAACTGCTAGCCCAGTTTGAACTCCCGAGGCCTGCGTGTATGGAGGAGGGATGGCGCTTTGCAGGAATGGATTTTATTTCTTCGGCGAGTAAACTCTGCCAGCGCAAGAAACTTCCTTCGCCGGCATATTATTGCAGGCTGTTGCGGAGTTCCACGTCGTCAAGCACCAGGCATCAACAACGAGCCATCCCTAGTGCGAACGGCGCACCCGGCGTTCTTAAAGTCCCAAAGCATTGGTTCCGAGTCATACAGAGGCCATGAAGTCCAATTAACTATAGAGTCTCTATGGATGATGTGCCATCTGGCTTCATTTTGTGAGGTACCTTGGACGTCCTACACAAGTCTCCGGCCCTGATACTAAGGTCTGGATCTGCGTGTCCTCAGTTGACCTGACCTCAGCCCTCGACATCCATCCTTTTCTATTGACATTACACCCTTTCACCAAATTGCACCGGGCCATTGGGCTTCAATCCCAACTCTTGAAAGGCTTCGACGACTGTCGCCGTTGGGACCGTCGTTAGAAGACGGCCCTTATAGATCGACTCCTCCCTGTCCGTGAAGAAGAAGAGGCCGAAGCCTCCTTTCATGCGATCCCAGTCCAAGATCACATCATCTTTGTCGCACATCAGCGGCGTTTTCGACAGAACGCTCCATGACCGAGGCCCGTCCAAGTAGACGACGCGGTGCAACCAGGCCTTGACCATCAAGTATTCAAGCTGTCCCATGAGATCCATGTCGAGACTCTGTTCCGGGTCGATCTCTGGCTCTAGGCCCCCTTCTCTCAACTTGAGAAGGATGGACTCGGCAGTGACATGAATATTCGTACATTGAGCCAAGTCGATGGTCAGATTTCCGGAGTCCGCTTGCCGCTGACTTATCTTCGGATACCCCAAATAAAGCCGGTAAATGGCCAAAGCCATCCAAATAGCACTGGAACGGATTGCCTCGACGGGGACATCTCGACATTCCGCCAGGATTCCGTTCGTAAGCTCAGCCTCCCAGCGAAGCCTGAAGAACGCAGTGGTGCCTTGGAACCGCAGGACAATAGCCACAATTTGGACGATAGCAAGGCGCAAGACAGGACTTATTCTCTCGTCCGAGCAGTAGCCAAGAAGGATCGCGCACGAGACGTCGTAGTCGGTGAGGGCGGACCATCGGCAGGTCCACCGACCAAGTTCCGTAAGCTTGTATGTGACTTTGATTGGCGCCTCCGTGCCCACAACTCTTTCCAGGCAGCCCAATACAGTAAGATTTCCGAGCGCCTCATGCAGGCCGTTTCGATTGCGTATGAAGCATGTGGCCAGACGGTCGGTACTCAAGCTCGGGTACTGAACCAACGCCCAGAGAATGAAAGCGTCCAGGAGCTGATCTTCGAATACTCTGTGTTCTCCTAGATGTTGAATTTCCTCCATGGACAGCTGGGAATGGATGGTCAAGTTGGATGAGACACCCTCATCTTCCAACGCCCGTTGGATCTGTTTGTTGAGCTCGCTCTTTGACGCGAGCCCGACCGCGTTGACGACCCTTGAGATCATAGGATCGAAGCGTTTGACAACTCTTTCCTTGCATAGCACCAAATGTTGTACACCATCCGGAAGCCTTGATTTGGACGTTGAGAACGCGGGAAGCATGACTACCGCACCGGTATCAGTGGCCAAGGGCTCTTCGTCACCTTGTACTACGAAAGACTTGACCGCCAGCTTGGTCAACCTTTCGTGGAAGGGGTCTGGGCGATGGCTCAAGTTCGTCGGGCCCAAGGCGTCATAATAGACACCAGTTCTTGTTCTCTTGAATGGCGACTTGGTATTGGACGCCTTGTCGTCTTGGAGGCCGTAATCTTGCGATATGACCGTTGCTGCTTCTTGCAAGAATCTTTGGTAGTCGGCACGGTACACCTTCCATTTGAAGCTGCCCGCTGTCGGCTTGCCATCGAGCTGTGGAAGTTGGAATGTAGCAATGTCGACTTCATCCGCATCGAGGAAAACGGACACCATTTTGCTGAGGCTTTGGTCGATCGGGTTTGGAGATATCCACGCCACTCGAAGGATCGCACTCTCTGACCAGTCGCAGATCAACTCCGACAATTCCATTGCCAATCGGGCGTAGTTGAAACCGAGTGTCTCGTCCACGTCGATGATAAGGAGGTGTTTGCAGTCCAGAGTACGGCCTGGAAAGACGCTTCGAAGCCCCTTGTAAGTTGTAATCTGCGGTAAAGAGTCGTCCTGCTGCTTAGACCAACAGTCCGCGACTTTTTGGGCTTCCTCCCGGCTCCGTAGCATGTATGATGTCGTGTGGTTGTCGCACTCTTGTCCGGACGTTTTTGCCGCAATCATCTGCTGGAGGGATTGGATGAGCCGGGCGTCTTTTTCACAGCCCGGGGGTGTTTGGATGTGTGCCAATCTGACGTTTTCATCGCCGTCGAACCATTCTCTGATCTTGTACATCTTTTCGCTCCATTCTTTCGGCATAGCCTGGTCGGGGCTCGCCATGTCTGCGGCTTGTTGTGTTGCTGACCGAGTTGTCGTTGTTGTGGTTTGGAGTGGTGTTTGTGGGTATGCGGGAGCCGTGGGAATTCAAGACTCTGTAAGGTACGTTCCTGCCTCAAAGGGCGGCCACTGGTACGTTGTACTGCCGAAAGGTTTATCTCTCCCAAGGCAGATTAGATAATAAAAATCCAATGTTCTAGAAGGGCGCCTTTGTGCAAATTTTTCGTGTGGTGAAAGACGTCTTTGACGGCGATTCAAGGTGTGTAGTCGGTGCAGGCCGTTTGGTATCCACTTTTTCCCGGCATCTTTCCCCCAAACACCAACATCTAACACCATCCCAATCCACAACATTACCAAGATGGAGTCCATTAAGCGTCGTGCCGACGACGACACCGTCAACCCCCAGCCTGCGAAGAGAAGAGCCACTGCCTTCGACCTCGACTACATCCGGTCCGCCGAGTCGATGCGCACCGGCCCTGGCGCCTTCAGCTGCAACTTCGACTTCGACGGCCACCGCAAGTTCGGACTGGCGGCCTCCCGCGAAGACATCGTGTCCGAGTTCGCAAAGCAGCTGGACCGAGTACCCGGCAAACGCGTCCGCATCGTCTTTGAGGGATACGACGACGACCAGCCGAACACTACTACCACCCAGCTCATTGAGAGGACGGCCAACCAAGATGCTATGCATAGTCAGGCTCACGGCATGGAAGTCAACCGTGACGTCCGACCGTCTCAGAGTACCAGCCACGAGGGACACAAGGCCATCCCGAAGACGGAGAGGCCGGAAGACATCTTCGATATGATTCGCTCTGGCTCTATATCTGGGTCCGGACCTCCGCCGGTAGAGGCCAAGCTGGGAGAAGGAGGTAGCCTCGAAGGTCTAGTGAACGCATTCGGGGGGGCCAACCCAGGCCGGCACACACAATCATACTCATCTTTCAGCTACATCAACCATGACGCTCTGAAGGGGATGAACTCCCCGGTCGTCGATGGACGTTCGTCTCCTGACCACGATCAGCCCGAAGGAGACCTCTATGCCTCTGCTCATCGCCGGATTCCTGATCATACCTCCGAAACTGGCGATTCGACGTCTATGGCGGACCAGAAAATTTTGCCCGATTTCTTTGGTGCCGCCGTCAATGAAGAGGTCTTCCTTGGTGGCTACGGCTCAAGCTCCTCGACTCCTCGAGTCTTATCATATCCGTACCACCGAGATGAGCCCGCCGAGCCGCGGCCGCAGACAGCAGATAGCACCGGCAAAAAGTTCATGCCCAGGAGAAGATACAGGTGCTAGGGAAAAGACGGGTGGCAACTGTGTACACGTCTTCGGCTTTGATAGATCTTCAAGGGCTGGTGGAAGACTTGGTGAGAGCGGATGGGGCAAACGTTGCTGACCGTGGGTAATGCCCCTGCGACCTGTCGACTAGACTTGTAGTCATGCAATAGAATCGAAGCACCATTTACATCTCGTCGTGAACGCACTGAGTCCCATAGCTGGAACATGCGAATAGACAGATTGCTTCCTCCACAGAGCCGAGTCTCTCTCACGTTTAAACCAATGTTTGGCCGCCGGTCAGTAGATTTACCTCGCCTCAGTCCTGACGTCCAGATATCATGGTGTCGCCCGCGAGGACAAACACGACCCGACGGATCTGCATCAGCAAAACGATGACCGGTCGTACGAGCTGGATTCTGCAACGGGTGAGCCGTTGGTGGCTTGCACAAACCCGCATGAGCGGCAAACAGGACGAGCTCTCGGCCAATGAACTGCGCATATCACTAATCCTTCCGTCCCGGCATGCTGATCGTGCATCTGCACGGCAATCTTCACAGCAATCTTAACCCACCCAGAGGCAACACCGCCAAGATCTTCACATTCAGGGACAGCATCATTGTTCGCAACGACTTGTATTGATATGACCACTACAGGCCGTCGTCTTCTCCCCTCTCTCTCTCACTCCTCAACGTAAACCACCCTCTCTAATAGGTATCTACAAGAATATGATTAAGATCCGCACTATGCGAAGATTACATTTGTACCGCATCTCGTCGGATGCTATGCCGCTGCACCCCAGCGAATGCCCGCCGTAACCCGCCAACCGACGCCCCTTCGGCGTCGGCTTTTATCTTTCCCATGACAGTGATATAAGACTAAATATGAACTCCGAGCCATAACTCGAAGGGCCCAGCAGGCAGAATTAAGAAAAATGTAGAAAGAATGTTTGGGGTATCAAGGCGCTCGCTGGAAAATCAAACAAAACATGACTCATAACCGTGCCGCACGTCGGGGCTCATCCAAAATTGAAGGCCACCGCGAGGGCCACCAACGCGGTCGTGAGAGCCCACGAGGGCACCGACAGCCCGGCCATGCCGACAGCAATCTGCAGCGTGTCGTTGACGTACTCGGGCCCGCAGATGGTGTTCACCTGCTTGGCGGCGTCCACGTACGTCGACGAGATGGCGAGCCGGCGGTTGGCGGTGAAGGTCTGGTAGATCTCCATGGTGCGCTTGAGGCAGGAGCCGCACGTTGGGTTCGCGCTGCCGGGGAGGGTCATGTTGAGCGGGAGGTAGTAGAAGTAGACGTTGGACGGGGTGGTGAGGTTGGTGACGGCGTTGGCGAAGCAGTACATGGAGGTGTCGGGGTCGGTGAGGCAGGTGGCCTTGTAGAGCATCTCGTACGACTTGAGGCCGAGGTAGGCCTGCATGACGATGGGGTTGCCCGAGTCGTAGTCGGAGCCGCAGTTGGCGTCCATGGTGAGGTTGCCGGCGACGCCGTTGAGGTACGAGGTGCAGAACGCGACGTCGGCGCTGCAGGTGGCGTCGAGGACCTTGACGATGCTCAGGAGCTGCTTCTCGGCCTCGAAGAAGGACCGCGAACCCTGGGCGTGTTAGTGTTTGTCGTGTGTCAACGGGCGGGGGACTCACCTGGAGAAGCATCGACAAGGGGTAGCACTTCTTGAAGTTCTGGTTGGTGAGGAGCTCGTTGATGAAGCGGGGGCACGAGGCGCCGTCGTTGCTGGTGAAGTTGAAGGCCAGGCTGGTGTCGAAGGGCGAGGGCAGGGGCGAGGCGGCGGCGACGGTGGTGGCGGGGACGGCGACGGAGATGGTCAGCGTCGTCGGGTCGTCGGTGGCCTTGACCTTTTGCGTGGCGGTCGGCGTGTCGGTGACGCTGTCGTCGTCGCGCTTCCTGAGCTCCTGGTTCGGCAGCATGGTCCAGCGGCCCCGGATCATGGTCGGGGTGCGGTCGTCGACGATGAGGGCGTCCAGGGGGGCGATGATGGCGGGAGGCGTGATCTGCGCGGGGAGCGCTTCAGAGAGGGATTCGGAGGCGGCCGAGACCAGAGAGATGACGGTAAGGAGAATTATGAGCCATAGTGACCGTGGCCGGCGGGAGGATGGTGAAGACATGGCGGGGGGCGTCATGAAGCTGCGAGACGCAGGTGTGAGGAACAGGACATAATCCTGTGATGCGATGTCCGACGTTTTTGACCCCACGTTGATCGGCGTCGATTGTCTGTAGTGATCGACGAGATCACGCACGCGATGGTGGATATATTATGGCACCAAGGAAAAACAAGACCACCACTCCACTGCTGCAGTTGGTCTGTGTTGGTGACGAGGTGACGAGGCGATTCGGCGGGTAAACGAGTGATCCGCTGTCGACACCAGTGAAGGAGTCGATATGATGCTTGATTTGAGTCGATCTGAAGTGTCCGTTGGCGACGGTCGGCGGCTGTCGCGATCCAAAGTCCTACTCGTCGACACGATGATTAACCAATTTCGTGGGTATTAGGCCGGTCGGTGTCGTCCGTATCGTCGAGAGCTCAGGCTTGGGTCGACAGGAAGCTGAGGCTCTTGGAGGGCGGCGACGATCCCTGGAACTGGCTGGGGGAGAGGAAGAGGTTAAGAAGGAGAAGCAATGAATGGGAGAGACGGGATGGGGGGGAAGCGAGCAATATTGGCTTGGCTCGCTCGCGTGGTGGGAGGCAGAGGAGAACAGGGGTCCAGGGGAAGAAGGACTCTGACTGTTCAAACGAGGACTTGGAGGCCCAAAAGGAGGACGGGACGAAGGTGGAAGCAAACAGAGAGGGCCGTGTCTTCAATGGTGGGTGGATGCATGGACGGCATCTGCGGTGGGTTGGGTGGTATTTTGCGTCGAGAAGGGAACCTTGGAAGAGGTTTGGAGACGATTCCGCTATCAAAAACCCGGTCCCAGACGTGCCTTGCGTGCCTCTTCTCACCCACCTGGGACATGCACACGCACCGCAAGAACTTGGACTGGTTCGTGAGGTGTGGCCCCGTGGTCCTGGTCCAGGTCAAGGTCCAGGTCCGGAGCGAACAGGGGGCACGGAGCAGGGGGCCAGGGGCGAGGCATCACGCTAGAGGCAGGGCACCGGGAGGGGGGAAAGGAGGAGATTTGGCGTCAAGCCACTCAGCTTGAAGTAGTCTATCACCAGTTCTGGGTGAGGGGTGACTTCGCATTCCTCCACTTCTTGCGATGCACCAAACATGGAGACACGGGCAGTGTTGCCCAGTTCAAGCCTTGGAATCCTCGAAGCGAAGCTTGACAGCTGCGGTTCCCGGACTGCGGGTTGACGTCGTTCAATGCCGCTTGATACGACTGACTGCGTTATTATTTGGGTGAACCAGAAACAACCTTATTATCAGCACGACGGCCAAACGGCCAACTGGCGGTGACTGGCCGATACGACGCAGCCCGAACAACAGTGCCACGCTGCGGCAGCAATAGTCAGTCAGATCAAGGTCGCGATGAATGGCTGACAAAAGGAAGCGAGCCGGGCAGAACATGCCAATTCGTGGTCTAGAACTGCACAGTCACGACAGGGTTGCAGCGAGGGATGAGCACCTCGCCCCGTTGATTGGCGGCGGGTTGGAACGGGCAGCACGTCAGATGGAATATTGTCTCTGATGCTTCTCCTCTGTCTGGAAGACGGCCAGCGGGAGATGACCACTCTCATGCCCGTATCGGGAGACGATGGAGAGCATCCGCATCCCCTGGCGGTTGTCGTGCTCTCTGTCTCCAGTCTCCGGGCCCTTTGCCTTTCCGGCGCCGCATTGCGCTCCAATGTCCGACTGCGCCTGAAGTTGTGGGGGGCCGATTCGTCTGTCTTCAGGTGGGTGATCGACGCACCTGTCACTGCCAAAGGACTCGACATTCGAACTGGAGACTCAAGACTGAGGTCTTCCGCTTCTATTTGCGGTCGGTCATCTGCGGAGATCGACTGCCGCTTCTCGAGAACTTCCTGTTGTGCGCTGGAAGAAAACGCAGCCAAGCAGCGAACCCCTCGCGATGGAACGCGTATCGCCCCGCTTGCGATATTATCCAGATGCAATGACATGCACAAGGCCACATGCACATCCCGGATATGCATAAAGCAGATTGGCTGTCCTGCACAGAGATTTCAACGGCCAATCACAGCCGCGTATGCCCTGGTGGATGCCGTTCATTGGCCCGAGGGTCAGCCCACCCCCACTTGACGGCGCATTTCCTATTTGTGCCTCTCGCGATGCTGTACCCTCGTACCTTACCATCCTCACCTCGGAACGCTGAAGCCCCGGCTCTCCTCTTCTTGTTCATCTCGTTCTTGATTCTGCGTTCCATCCTGACGTGACGGGAAACGACGGAACACGACGCTGTCGACATTGATCCTCCCGGCTCAAGGTTTCTCGGCCCAATATCTGATGGATCCCAAAATAGCGACCTCCAACGGGGCCCTCCATGGACGACGTCTGTTCTCTCGAGGCCGACAAAAGAAATCTCTGCTAATTAATCACTTCCGTGCGCTTCGATCCAGACCAAGATTTGACAGCGCTCCGCAATCCGAACCCCATCGCCTGAGTCGTCGTCTGCTCGACCTGACGTGGCCCGAATAAGGCATTTTCAGCTGCCTCTAGCCTCAATCAGTCTCAATAATCGACCCACGCTTCCATGCGTCGTTCTGCAGTCTTCGCCAGCCGATGAATGCCTCGCGAGAGCTGTCATTTCATGCAGCCCGCACCAGCCAATTCCAAAAGATTTTCACTGGAATCGGCCGGATCTGCAAGGCGCTGGCCTGGCTGCTGGGAACCCAATCACGTCGTCCGTCTCCAGCTGTTCATTTCCTGCCACGCCGCCCACGAGGGGTCCCTTGCCATCAGCCGCAGCCACCACCAACCACGGCGCCTGCAGCGAAGAACCCTACCATCCCCGCGCCGTCCCCGTAAGGCCGACAGAGACTTCAGACGACAAGAGTCAGTCCAGCATAAACTTCATCTGCCGTCCAAAGTCAAATACACGACGACATCGGATGGAGCGGTCCGACCAACCTACCGCAACCGCATCCGTCGGCAATCAACACCATGGCATCCCGCAGAAAGGATGCCCCCTCCAGCCTTCGAGAAGCTGTCAACTCGACTCATTTCGTGAGACTCCCAAGTGGTGTCATTGTCTCATTTCCCAGCCGATGCGCCGGTGAGCCGTCAGGAATGCCATCACCCGCCGCCGCGTGTCTGACTGCCACACGGCCTTGAGGAAACGGCCTGTCTTGGTATTGGTCCGCGGCGTTCGTCCCCAAAGCCCATCGACGCGGCTAGCGCGAGGTCTATCGAGCTGTGGCTTTCGCGCTGCCTCTGCTAGTCGACGGGTACCTGCGCCTCCTTGCATACCATCCGCATAGCGTACACGCGGGCGATTCTCAGACCTCTCCTATGGGTTGTGCGACCACAGATCGCGCAAAGTGTGCGGCAAGCGCCCGCTCCCGACCAGTCTGGCCGTCGAGTGATATCATTGCCCCTTTTCGGCTTCAATGGTGGACCTGATTACTGGAATCCGAACAGGCGCGCAATATGCGTTACCAGCCCCTCGGGAGGCCAGATATCCAGCCGATATTCTCCGCGCACTCCAACCACGTTGACTGGGTCCGGACCCATGGACAGCTGTTGTGGTTGAGTCGAGTGATTCACCTCGGCGCTTGTTCTCAGAGCGTGGAATATTGTCCGTCGGTTCGCACAGATGTCCCACAGACACGAGACGGCTGGGGCGACGTTGCTCAGCGACGGTCTGTTGCAGCTTCGCCTTGCTTGCGTGCCACCCGAGCCTGTTACACCGCTCCAGATGATGCGCAACGGCGGCATCAAACAGTGACACGGGTACTCAACACGAAGTAGCGAGACACAGTCGCCGCCTAAATCCTCCGCCGCGTTCCGGCGTGCGAGCTGGAATCCGGAATCGGCGTCTTGACTTCGATTTTAATTGCAGACTCAGACAGGTTTCACGGCGCAGTAACGCACGTCTGACGTGGGCAGCGAGCTGCGTTGGCGCCGACGACGTCTTGATCCACTTCTAGAAGCAGCTTGCACAGGGAGACGACGACTTCGCCTCTGTTTGACTCACCACGATCGATACGAGCCATCTTTGGAGACGCCGCCGAGACAACAACAGACTCGAGCTGATGCTTCGAATCACATACTCACCGCCACCCTAACGTTTCAGCCACCGGTCTGCCCAGATGCCATCTCATGTTTGTGGACAGCTAGGAGGAAAACAACTCGATGATGTCTGTGATGCACGGCGATCGTCCGTGGTGCCCAGACGCAAGGACCGATAGACTCCACGCAAGCTCCGTGTCACCGCCGCGCGTCCGGGCCGAGCGGGTCCAGTCCGGGATTCCTGCCCACGGACCATAAACAAATAGGAGCCGGGAGCGCGCTCGTTGCGGTTGAGGCTCTGTTGAACGACCTGAAGGAATTGGATCCCGCGGCTATTTATGTTCTGGAAGCGAAGGATCACCCCCACGCGGGCAGCAGGCCCGGATAGCGTCATCGAGCGGAAGCAAGTGCGCAGTTCGTTGAAGAGACGTAAAGAGATGTCTGTGGGTATTCATCAGGTCTCAGGCCAGGATGCCGGAGCTCCCGGGGTCGAACACCGCCGTTTGGATTTGTTTTCAAAGTGAGAAGAGGTTGCTGCGCGCAGCCGTGCCATCAAGCGATGCTTTCGAAGATTGTGCTTCCGTAGTGACGAGGCTGCCATGAAGACTGCTGAAACGCCGGTGATTTGGACAGCGTCTACCCTTGAAATCCTCTTGGGGCCGCCGTATGCTAAGGGCGCAGCTCATGTCTATCAACTGCTGGACAAAGCCATCACAAAACACCTCAATGTATTGATCATCACAATAAAATGAGCTCGCTGGAGCCCCTATATCAGATACAAACGCCTGGGTGCCGATTTGATTCGATTCGCACGACTTGTCTATGTCTCTTATAATTAATATACTTCTCTGAACCGGCGCGGCCAGCGCACCGAAAGGCTCCGCCAAAGAGTTACAAGGAGCAGATCTGTCGAAAAGGAACAGCCACCGCGTCCGATGACTGAGGCATACGCGTCGAGGCTTGGTCTCCCAGACAAAGTGTCACTTAGTCCGCGTACTGGAAGCAGAGACGGCCACGAAGGGAAATAACATCCCGCACAATCAAATCTTCTCCGAGACCCCCCATCCACAGCACATCATCGAGGCTTGCCGGCGTGAATAGTCGGACCGGCATAATCGTACTCGCGCGCCTCGATATCCATGTCCTGCCACTGAGACCAGATGCGATCGATCTGGGCATGGTGTAAGAAGAACAAGGGCTCTGTCGTCATTGTGAGTAACCAGTCATCGCGGATTCGAACAAAGACTGACCGTTCGGGGACGTGGTCGGCGTCATATCTCCGCCGATGGAAGAATGGATAATGCCGTGAGGACCCCCTTCGAGCTTCCAGCGGTAGTCCTCGTAGGTCGTCTCGGTCTGCACGGCGGCGATGGCGGTGCTGTTGAAGTACTCAGCCGCCCGGGCAGAGGCTTCGTTGTCGCCGTCCACGAGATTGCGGAATAGGCAATGCTCTTCCTCCACCAACTCCTTCAACGACACGGCGATGTACGAGGGCCGCAGATCCTTGAACGGCCCGGCGGTCACGCATCGCAGCAACCGGCCGTCTGCCAGCGTCTCCGTCTTGTTGTCCGACCCGTCATACCCGAAGCCGAACTGGTCCGCAAAGACGGGGGATTTGTAGAATTCCATGGGGTCCCGCGTCCAATCCCAGTACCTGCCCGTGTTAGACATTGCCGAACGAGATATCGCCCTTCAGCGGTCCTACTCACGGGACGGAACCCTCGTAACCGCATTCGTGCAGAGCATTCTCATACACGACGGTGAAGTAACGATGCCACGGCAAGAACGTGGCGATGCCGTGGACTGCTGCAGTCAACACTTGAACCATCGGGGCTCTGATATTGTCTCCCACGTACTGATTTCGTTGTACTTCTGATGCACGAAGGGGAAATCGTCGTACAGCGAAGTCGGCAGATCGATCTTGGACGGCTTGGTCTTCAGGCACAGGACCGCGTCGATGTAGCTCTGGCGGTTCTCCTCGCTGAGATCGCGCCACTCGCGGCGGACCACGGGTGCGGTGCAGCGCGCAGGATCGGGGTAGGTGAGCGCGGCGGCACCGGCGAGGCCGAGGAGGAAGGATAGGTGTGAAAAGAGCATGATGAACCTGGTGTGCTTGGATCTTGGGTTTCGTTAAAGGTGGTGGTATGTTGCAGAGACCACGTCTTTATATGTCTACAGCAACAACGGTGCCGTGCCCGCAACTTCAACATTTTTCTCCTCCCTCCTCAACATGGTACGCAAAGATCACATCCCTCGTGTTTCGTCCCAGACGTATGTGAAAATGGCAACTTTCCGGCGAATCTTTGCCATATCAAAAGGCCATGCCGGCAGATATTCTACGAGATACCACAACGGCCCGCTAGAGGTCTTGGTATCCCCACGTTATACGAGCCCCGTTTTGCAGTCTAAGCTCGTGATCGTGGATGTCAGAACGTGCTCTAAAAAGTCGTTGTTTCGATGGATCGGAGTTAGGCTCTATTCAAACAGGCCCTTGAAGTTGTACGGATTCGAAAGAAGTATTCTAGACTTACGCTTCGGATACGACTTATCGATGGGCTACAAGAGCAAGCTTATTTTTCTGGAAAACGAATACTTTTCATCATGTTATTGATTCAGTTCGTATGAATGCAAATCGAATGGTCATCTGGTCTCAGCAATCGATGTCACAAGCTGAAGGGAGTTGACTGCGCCGCTGTTGCGTCCCAACCCATTGAAGAGCTGGCCAGCATAATTAATACAGAGTATGGATTGTTGCTAGCATCATTAGCAAGACTCTTGCTGTGTGATGCTGTTGGTTGCCCAGGCCAGCTCGTGACGATCGCAGAGCGCAAGTTTTATCGACTGCCAAGTGACGCCAAAGCTACAGAAAGATCCATCTCTTCCTTATTATTTTGGTCCAATAGAATAATTCAAATCCACCTGGATCTGACCGAAACGGGGGGTATTTACGGGTCTGTTTTCGTATACGACCCACGCGGTGGTTCTTCCGTTCCGAAGCGAATCCTTGAAACCCCCGGGGCCCCTTTTCCCATGCTGACTACCGGTCAACGATCGTGCTTCGAGACCAATCCCTCGCCGGGCCTCGACTAGACGATGAATTTTCTCAAGACCTTGCCCGAACGGGCTTTTGTGGCTGTCGTGGCAGGGCAGGCTCTCTCCATCACGGCCATCCAACTGTGAGTTTCATCCTCATCATCACGACTTTCCACTGACCATCTTCAGGGCCGCACTTGTAAGCTACCTGCACTGGGTCAACCCGGTAGCATACCAAGTGCCAGTGACGTACGTTGTCCCGATGGCATTCGCGATAAGTGCGCTGGGCTCATTGTTCCAAGCCGTCGTCGCGGTCGACTCGTGTCGCGTGAAAAACAAGTCGCAGCTCTGGGCGCAGTGCATCATCAACGCCTGCCTCACCATCACCCTGGGGCTGCAGCACGACCAGACCAAAAACGCCAACGATCGCATCGTGAGCGGCTATGACATGTACCACCACCCCTTTGCGAAGGACGCGCACTCGTTCTGGAACATCGCGCACCCCGTGAGCATCACGTCGACGGCCGTCAGCGCGGTCTGCAGCATCGCCATGATCGTCATCGCCACCCGTCTCCACGTTGAGTTCGCCTGGTCGGTGTATGAGCAGATCAGCCCCGATATGCGGATGAAGAGGAGACATAAGCAATACGAGGTGCGTTCACGCAGCAGATTGGCGGTGTGTAAGTGTCTGACAACTTCAGCAGACCTTCCTGGTCTTCCTCAAGATTTCGCCGCTTTTCATCATCCTCTTCGTCATCGTGTACAGCTTCGTCGAGGTTCACTACAAACAGCCCGAGTTCGCTCTGACGCTCGCCCTCGTACCCGCCATCCTGATCCATTCGGTCTATGCCGGCTACTGCGCGATGAGGGAGTACGCAAAGAGGATGTTGCTGGTCATGGTACGTGTTCCGAACTCTCATCGAAGTGCATTGCTAACACCACAACCTCGCAGGCGGGCCAGCTCGGGATCATGGCATACCTCAGCAGCCGGATCTGGTTCCTCTTCCCGGGCGACGGCTCGATGAGCGCCGAGATGATCTTCTTCGCTTCGCTCGGGCTCGCCTTCACCGCCGCGTCTCTCGTCTCCGCGATCCTGTGTACGCTCGGCTTCGGCCAGGGCCTGAAGAAGGTGCTGGTGCCGGGACGGGACGGGCAGCAGAGTTCTTCTTCGCATTTGATGGGCATGGAGATCCGGGAACCGCCGAACGTCAATCTTTCCGCGTCGCAGTTTCATTCTCGCCGCTTCGATCTCGAATAGCTGGGTTGCTGTTTCGTGCGATCTAGACCGGAAAGGTACCCGGCGGCTGCAGGACAGTTGCGTGCGAGAAGCAAGGTAATATAGACCGGTGCGGAGGGACCATCACACGAGGAGGAGGGAGGTATGCCATCGAGCCATGCGCTCGCATGATGAGGCTCCTTTCAAGCTGCTGATACAGCGGTGAACTCAGCCCTGGCAGTATGCTTTGGCCTCATTCGGTGGATGCGCATCACGAGCACACATCGTGTCCCTGACGAGGTGACCTGTTGAAGAAATGCTGAACCAGCAGACACCTGTATCCCATCAAGTACGATGTTCTCAAGTACGTATATGAGGGGTGAATAGCTGCATCTTTAATATAATTAAAAACTTTGTAATCGGCGAGTTTGGGGTACAAGAGGAGAGTGTTCTGTGGCGTCGCTCGGCACTCGATGGGATGGCGAGAGTTCTTTGCAGCTTGTTATTCGCATGAACTCCTCACGCATCTATCTAGGTGAAGCATGTCCATGTGATCAAAGCAGCGGCTTCGGCTTCTGAGCAAAGCAGATTGCGTATTTGGCCATCATCATCATCAAGACACGGACGATGAGAGATGTGGCCTGGCAAAGAATCTCCAGACGCATCCGTCTGCGTCAGGGCTCGGTTCAGATAATACAGCTCGGCTACACCCTAACGATGGAGGCAACCTCTATAACCACGCGACTGACGCCGATTAAGAATCTCATACATATTTCTTGTTGACACCGATTGTTCACGTGTCTTCAGACCTTGGGCATCCTCACTGTTACTATTCGAGGAGAACTTCTTCGCAAAATTCACCTCTGCTCAATCAAGTAATGAACGTTGTTATCTACAGTAGTTCCGCACTGGAAAGCGGCTTCTTCGCTTCGGTTCTATCACCGCAGTTGTTCCCGTAGACACGTGTCTCATACAGCTCTGTTTTGCGGTGGGCGTTCCCAGTCCAGGGTGACCTCGCCCTTCTGTCTCTTGCTTTGGCGTAATTCAGCCCAGCTCGATACCATCTTTGTAATCGGATTGCCTTCCGCGTCTGAGCTGAGGAAGGGCGGTTCGGGGGGTGGGTTAATTAGCGGCCAGTCGATGGGGTCCTCCGCTTCCGTATAAACAGAAATACGCTTTCCTTCTTGCCTCCGCTGTACCCATCGATCCAGAACCGACCGATATTCCGAGACGGGGCGATCGAGGTGAACGTCTTGGTGTTGGGGCCACGTATCCAACGATTGAACGTCGGCGGGATTCTGCTGGTCATGGGGCACCTCCCTGAAATGCTTATCGCGGGTGATGATCTCGTACAGGGTGAAGATGACACCCTTGACGTCGTCTCGCTCGTTGACGTGCCCGTCGCCTCCAATGCGACCCGAGTGGTTGAAGTCAAACAGAAGAAGGTTGTCGGTCGACGGATCCACCAGCAGATTCCGTGCGGCGATGTCCTGATGCACGATGCCGTGCTTGAGGTTGAGGTCGTCCACGACACGGGTCAGCTGCTCAAGCCATTTGAGCTTGAACACACGTGCTCGGTTATCCTCAATGGTGCCGCCGGGGATATAAACATTCGTGAACCCGACAACGTGACCGTCGAGTTCGTCAACAACGAGTCGGTCGAACTTGACGATGTTCGGATGCGGAGGAAGACGCATCCACAAATTCATTTCATGCCACAGCTTGTGCATGAACTGGTAGAGAAAATAGTATTTGAACACGACCTTCTTCGCGCCGCCGACGCCAGGGTGTGCCTGATATGACACGAGATCAACGTTGGGACATATCCGGTCGATTTCCTCCAGGTCGGAGCGGGTGATGGTTCGGAGACCCTCTGGCCGCTGCAGTTCCTCTAGAGGCGGGTAATATACGCAGGTGGTTTCGTCATCTTCGGGGTCGGTGGAGGTGGAAATCAGATGTCCGTCGTGAGAGACGTGAATCGCGTACACGTCAGGCGGGAGGGTATCGATGTGTTTCTCCAGATGTTCGATGGCCAGGTCTTCGCTGTCCTGTTCTTCGTCCATGGTAACGGCGATCACTCGCCTCTGGTCCCAATCGAGAATGTGCCAGGTGCTAGGCCCACCCGGCTGGATGAAACCGCCGGGGGCAAAGTATCTGAACTCCGGGTCGATCATGTCTTGGGAGCGTGGTGAGGGTTGACGGTGTGAAGATACAGGAAAAGCGAAGTGATCATAAGTGCGGGGTACGGCACAAGTTGATCGCCTTGAATGTAGACTTTCTCTACTTAGAGTGGGACTCACTAAATGTATTGGATGTGTCTCAACCGCGCGACACGACCAACAACAGGGGCCGTCCAACATGCAGCCTCTTGACAACTTGTATCCAACAGCGCCCTGAAGGCGGCCAAATCAAACTGAGCCGTCAGGTGAGCCGGCTGCACTCGAAAGATGAACTGTGTTGCCTCCATGACATGGGGAGAAAGGGCAAAGGTTTCAAAGAGTCATGGGCCAGCTGCGTCCAACCAGACAACGTCAATGCCAAGTTCACCCGAGAGTATGAAATACTTGAGCAGCAAGTATTATCACGTAGAAGTTCCGCAGTACACATAGCTCTGCATCCCGCGTTTGGTCTCCTCATGTACGTAGGACAAGGTTACCGAGTCGTGTGACGTATAAAGTCGCTCCCGAGTTGTTGTGTTTCCCGGATGAATAATCTCTCGATAGAAGTGACGAAAGCCGACTCCCCTCCAGTCTCAGCCACAGCTTACCGCGTCGGCTTTCCTGGCCGATGAAGGACATGATCAACATGAATGCCATGCTAAACTCGAATGGACTGTTGTGTTCTTGGGACGAATTCTGAGCGAGGACTAAAGAGCGCCTTGACGGGATGTTAAATACTTGATTTCACATGCAAGCATGGCGTCTTTCCAAGCACACGTCCAAGATCAATCACGAGGTCACATGCAAGCAGGCCATCGCAGAGCTCGCCCATCACCTCGATCCAAGACATCGCAGGGTATACTTAAATAGAGACAAACGTCAACCTACAACGGCGTAAGACGAGCAGAAGCCGATGACTGAGATACCACATCTCCAAGAAGTCACTGAAAGCAGAAGCAAGTCAAACGTGAAGTTGTCACCAAGGCCAAAACCGTTCATAGCAAGCAACCCCCGGGCCGCCGTAGCCAGAATTCAGGAGACGAATAAGCAGAAGCGTATCATCAAGAGAAGATGACGATGAAGAGTGGCGACTTCAAGTCTCTTTCAAAGGATCGCCATACCATGAGCCAAGTGCCAGCCCAACACAGGACGGTCGCGTGTCCCTTTCTGATTTGTAACACGGGACCAAATCACCATTACCCCACGGAAACTCCATGTGCGTTTTTCGAAGGGACTTGGTGCTGACTGCTACACAGCATCTACTTATATGGAGCTCGAATCAAATAAACTGCAGAGTTCTTCGACACATATGTTGATATTTTCTCCTCTTTTATAGTCCCTCCCGCGCTGTGAGACGCCGAGCCTCACATCCGAGTTTGTCAAATAGCCAAGGTAGAAGTCATTATGCATATGATGGCCCAAGTCAAGACATCGTCGAGATCGGCTACATGGCAGTAGTACCAAGAAAGTCCCTCAAAGATGGCATACGTCACATTCTCACGAAGCAGGTTTCCCCTAACTGAAGCGGACCCCTCTACCGGGATGGCCAAGCCTCACGATATGAAAGCAGCACGGAATACACAGGCGAAGATAATGAGAGACGATGAGACGCGCCTGTCTGGGTGTGTCAACGGAGGTGGGCAGTAGGGACGAATCAGCCGCAAGACTGAAGAGCTCAGACGCTACTGGGAAAACGCGCAGGACCGCAAGGCCACGGATGAGGTCACGCGCTGTTGAGACCTCTGACGATGAGTCGATGTGAAGTTTTATGAGAGAACATGTCAAACAGTCGACTTTCAACTTGTTGTTCTTCGTTGCACCATCCAATGGCTCCAGTCACAGTACACCGACAGTCAGCACTCCAACCTCAGTCACCCACACTCCCAGAACGCATCAATGTCTTGAGTGATTGGAATTACATCTAAAATAAGTACCGCAGTACTATAGGGGGGAGGGGAGTCTAGTTCTCAACCCTTAAACCGTCTTCTCTCTTTCTCGTTGATCATCAACAAGACCCCCTTTTTTGGTCTCAGTCGAACAGTTAGCTGACCCCGACAACGGGAGTATCGTGGCCCAGTTCTATCGTAAATCGCAAAACAAAACGCCCAAACAATGCAGCAAATCGACGTGGATCGGTCTTCGATCCGGATATCTCTGGAGACGAACAACGCAATTGGACCTCCGCTGACGTATGCACTTTTTCCCCTTGCAAAAAAATCAAATTCTTTCAGATGCCTCCCGGTCTACTGCCTCTTCTCCAACGACTGCAGGTTCACCAGCTCGGCATAGCGGCCGTTCTTCTTCATCAACTCCCCGTGAGTGCCCTGCTCGACGATGCGGCCCTGGTCGAAGACGTAGATGATGTCGGCCTTCTGGATGGTGCTGAGGCGGTGGGCGACAGCAATCGTGGTGCGGCCCTTGGCGGCCTTGTCGAGGGCGGCCTGGACGACGTGCTCGGACTCGGAGTCGAGGGCGGAGGTGGCCTCGTCGAGGAGCAAGATCTTGGGGTCGCGGATGAGGGCGCGGGCGATGGCGATGCGCTGCTTCTGGCCGCCGGAGAGGAGGGCGCCCTTGCTGCCGACGACGGTGTTGAAGCCCTCGGGGAGGGAGACGATGAAGTCGTGGATGTTGGCCTCGCGGCAGGCGTGCTCGACCTGGGCGTCGGTGACCTCGGAGGCGGCGCCGAGGAGGATGTTCTCCCGGATGGTGCCCTGGTAGAGGGTGGGCTCCTGGCTGACGAGGGCGATGAAGGAGCGGTACTGGTTGACGTTGAGCGTGCTGATCTCCTTGTCGTCGACGTAGATGCCGCCGGAGAGGGGGTCGTAGAAGCGCTCGAGCAGCGCGATGGTGGTGGACTTTCCGCAGCCGGAGGCGCCGACGAGGGCGACGTACTGCCCGGGGCGGACGACGAGGTTCAGCCCGCGGAGGACGGGCTGCTCGGGGCGGGTGGGGTAGCGGAAGTGGACGTCGCGGAACTCGAGGGTGCCGTCGACGGCGTCGAGCGGGGCGCCGTCCTCGGACCAGGTGTCGATGGTGGGCTTGCGGTCGAAGAGGATCTTGAGCTCGTTGGCGGCCTGGTGCGCCTTGCCCATGTCGGGGGCGAAGGAGAAGATGGAGCCGGCCGACTGGGCGCCGAAGATGACGGCGGAGAAGCACACGAAGAACTGGAACATGTTGTACTCGAGGTCGGCGATGAGCGTGCCGCCGTACCAGAAGCCGAGGGCGAAGGCGAGGAACATGAAGGACTGCGACGCGGCGAAGAGCAGGCTGGACTTGAGGACGGACATCAGGCTGGCGCGCTGCTGGACGGCCAGCGAGGCCTGGTACTGGCGGATGACGTCCTTCTCGCGGGTCAGGGAGGCGACGGTGCGGATGGCGGAGATGGCCTCGGACGCGTAGCTGGCCGAGTTGGAGTAGGCCGTCTTGGAGCGGCGCTGGAAGTGCGCCAGCATCCAGAAGCGGAAGAAGCCGCAGCCGATCAGGATGGGAATCGTCGCGGTGCACACCAGGGCCAGCTTCCAGCCGATGGCGATGGCCAGGACGAGCGCGGCGACCAGGGTGGTCGTGACCATGAGCAGCGTGCCGAGCGTGACGCCGCTGAGTCCGGCGAGGTGGGTCGTCTCGGTCGAGAGGAACGACGTGAGCGCGCCGGCGGTGTTCTCGTCCTTGTCGAAGAAGGAGACGTCCTGGCGGAGCATGGTGCGGAAGGCGCGGTCTCGGACGCGGTGGACGAGCCTCTCGGAGCACTTGGCGAAGAGGATGCCCTGGACGACGAAGGCGATGAACTGCACGCCGGCGAGCATGAGGTACATGGCGCTCCAGAAGTCGGAGTCCTTCTTCATCTGGGCGGCGTTCTCAGGGGTGACGGGCACGGAGAGGGTCATGATCTGCTTGGCGAAGAAGACGGCCTGCGTGGGGTTGCCGCCACCGCAGATGATGGAGAAGAAGAGACCGACCAGCATCAGGTGCCACTCCTGCTTGTTGAACGCGGCGATGACCTTGATCAGCGTCCACAGGCTGTACTTGACCTCGCCGTCCTCCTTTCGGCCCTGGAGGGCGATGCTGGAGAGCGACTTGGAGGTGGTGCTGCGCTGCAGCTTGGCCGCGATGTCGTCCTCGGGGTCGGCGACGAAGCCCTTCTCGGAGACCCTGGACTTTTTGCGGATGAGCTCGTCGTCTTCGGCGTCGATGGCGGCCTCCTCGTCGGCGTCCATCTCGTTGACGCGGGCGATGTTCTGGGCGCTGACGAGGTTGTAGTAGGCGCCCTGCTTCTCCAGGAGCTCCTCGTGGGTTCCCTGTTCCACGATGCGTCCGTTGGACATGACGACGATGTTGTGGGCATCCTTGATCGTGGACAGACGGTGGGCGATAGTGATGGTGGTGCGGCCTTCAGCGGCGACCTCAAGGGCGGCCTGAACCACGCCCTCAGACTTGGTATCGAGCGCGGAAGTGGCTTCATCGAGGAGGAGGACTGCAAAGGTTAGCTCGGTTTTGTGACGAGTTTCATCATGACTCACTCTTGGGGTCGGACACGACGGCTCTGGCAATGGCAATACGCTGCTTCTGGCCACCGGAGAGCAGGAAACCGCGCTCGCCGACGTTCGTCAGGTACCCCTCGGGAAGACCGGTGATGAAGTCGTGGGCGTTGGCCATCTTGGCGGCCTTTTCGATCAGCTCCTTCTGCTCCTCGTCGCTGGCGTCCTCGTGCCTGGTGCCGATGAGTCCGTATCTGATGTTCTGGTAAATGGTGGTTCCGAAGAGTGTGGGCTCCTGGCTGACGAGAGCCATCTGCTGGCGCAGCCACCTCAGATTAAGAGTGCTGATGTCGTGGCCATCCAAGAAAACCCGTCCGCGGACGGGGTCGTAGAAGCGCTCGACGAGACCGACGATCGTGCTCTTTCCGGAACCAGACGCGCCGACCAAGGCCGTGGTCTTGCCGGCGGGGATAGTAAGGCTGACGTCCTCCATGACGGTGACCTCGGGACGGGACGGGTAGATGTGCTTGATGTTCTCCAGACGAATCGTGCCCTCGAGCTTCTCGATCTTCTGGCCGGCATCGCTGGACGGGTCCAGGGGGGAGACGCGGTCGATGGTGTTGTAGATCTTGGCGGCGGCGGCGATGGCGGTGGTGAAGGCCTGCACGTTGGGGGCGACGTTGCCGAGGTTGAAGGCACCGATCATGATGGACATCATGATGATGAGCACGTTGGACAGGGGGATGTGGTCCTCGATGAGGAACTTGCTGCCCTGCCAGAAAGCCAGGCCGTAGTTGAGATACAGGATGGTCATCATGAGACCGACCATGACACCGATCGTCGCCTTGACCTTGTAGCCGTAGAACTCGGCCTTTGTCAGGTGCTCGTCGTACTGCTTGGCCAGGCGGTCCTGGGTACCAAAGGCCACGGCGTTGCGGATGGAGCTGATGACCTCGTCGGCGAGACTGCCCCCGTGGGCGTACGACTCGATCGAGTGCTTGCTGTACTTGACGATGAAGGACGACGCGCCTCCCATGCTCAGGAGCAGCGCGACGACGGTCGACAGCAGGATGAGCGTGAGCTTCCAGTAGTGGATGAAACCGATGACAAAGGCGGAGATGAAGGTCGCGATGGCGGCGAGCGTCAGGCCGACCTTCTCGGAGATGCCGTCCTGGATCAGGTTGGTGTCGGCCGTGATGCGGGTCGTGACCTCGCCGGCGCCCAGCTTGTCGAAGAAGCCAATGTTCTGGCGCATGCAGCTTTCGAGGTAGTGCTCGCGGATCTTTGCGCTAATGTGCTCTCCCGTGTCTGGTGTGGTCAGCAAGCGGCATCTTCCCGGCGGCGTGTAACTTACAGATGAACCCGACAGTCGTGATGTACTGCGCGACGAACACGCCGATGGCGAGGTAGACAAAGTAGAGAACCAGACCGGCCATCTCGCTCTTGAACTCGCTCTTGGCCTCCGCGGTGGGCGGGAATTCGTTGAAGTAGTTCTGGAAGGTGCCCTGCAGGTTTCCGAAGATGACGGTCATGAGCGGCAGGGCGGCGCCGACGGCGATGGACATGATGGAGGCGACGGCGAGGATGATCAGATCGTTGGTGGACGAGTAGCGGTACAGCGTGAGCATGCCGGCCTTGATCTCGGGGGTGGTGATCTGGCGCTTGAGGATCGTCGCCTCGTCCTCGGGGAGGTGCTTGTACGGGTCGTCGGAGACATCTCTGGGGGCGACGACCTTGGAATCGGCCTTTTCGAGATCGACGGCGGCGGGCTTCCTGTGCTGGTTCGGCGTGTCCACCTCTGTCGATTCGCCGTGGGAGGATCCTCTGTCGGATGAGGGCCCATTGCTGGCCGCCTTTTCCACCAGCTCTGTCGGCTTCTCGCTGACGGGGTTTTCGTGTTCGGGGGCCATGGCGGGTGTTGCGTAGCTCCTAACAGAGCTATCGAGAGACGTGGGAGGAGGGTTTTAAGGCGCGCTCGTTGCGCGGATGAGCGCAGCGCGCAAGCTGTGCGGTTGTTTCGTCTGAAGCCGTCTGGGAGGCGCAGGCAGAGTGGTGATGTCGTCGTCGTCGTGTGTAAGTGCGCTGGAGAGGCACGCGCTTATTGTCTCGACGATTTACGAAAGACGTCGTGACAGCTGTCTGCGGGGAAAAAGGAATAAAATAAAGAGGATGGCGGATGGCGAAGGCCAAGAAAAGATTTGTGGCGATGGATCGTCCTCCGGCGACAAAGGGACCAACGAAATGAAGCAGCAGGCAAATCAAAGACGACGCTGGGTGTAGGCAGGGCGACCCTTCTTCTTCAATGATTAAGAAATTTAAGAGGGAAAACAGAGGCGTTTCCACTCGGGGTGCATGCCAGGATGGGGATTAGTGTATCCGTAAGTACTGGGCGGATAGCAGAGGGAAAAGCCCTTGCAACCTTGGCCAGGACGGGACTGGGATGGGGACTTTTGATATATGCAAGCACAGAGAATCGAAATGGAGACCGGGGTGGAAACGGGGGTGAACGGTGGACGGAGCTCGACTGGGCCGACCTCGACCATGGACCTTTGACTTGGGGGTGCGCCTCTCACCTCTGGACCCGGGGTGGACGAGCCGACGAGATGCATACGACGGCCAATGAGGACCGTCTTACGCGGTATGGCAACCAACGACAACAGCAATTCGAACGCAACCGACCCGTTTCTGCCCTCGCACTTGTTCAACTTCCCGAAGAGTGGTTAGTATCAATTGCGCCTCAATCTAGCCTGGCAGGGGGGCCACTATCTATCCGCAGATCCAACCGGCGAGAGTCACTCGCCTCGTGGACGACAGGCGTAGTTGTATTTGCTTACAATAAGCCGCATCCATGTTGGGGACACACGGCGGAGTCATATCGTGTACGAGCAGACGTAAGGCGTCGGTCGGCCTGTGTCACCAGGCAGACAGACTCGACGACATGTGCGCAACTCCTAGCCTATCCAGGATAACCTATGCGCACTGGTATGACGGGTGCAGGCTTTGGCGGCGCGTGATAGACAGCGCTGCGTATGGATAGACGTTCGGGGTTGCGTAGAGTGCGAGGACGGGGCCCGGGATTGGGGATTGGGACCACATTGTCGAAGCTTGCTTGCTTGCTGCGGTTTCCATCTACTATGGTAGGGGATATCCGTAGAATCATTTATCTCTCTAGCGGGACCATTCGTGCGGTTTTCAGCTGATGTCGATTGATTGCGATTCGTCCCTCACATCTCGCTTGCTATCCAGGGGACTAGCCGGTTAGCATGTTAGTGACAATTTGACAAGCAGAAGGGTGGTGTGCAACACATGCGACGAAAGAAGAGTTCTTTCCGCCTTGAGTTGAAAGGTTCGTCGAAGAACAGACGACTCCGAACACGCATCCAATGCAAGCAATTAACCCGAGGTCCAAAGCGCGGGCGGGCGACATGGACGAGAGCATCACCCAACCGGGCAGCACTCCGCTCCCTCGGGCTCTGACTCTTTGCAGAACGATTCGATGGACGATATGGCCGTGGAAGGATTCCAGATAGGTAGTCTGCACGTCATGACCAGTCACCACAGAGCCAAAGTCCAGTCATTCAGTCATTCTCTCCTCTCAGACAGGCGTGGTGCTAAGCCAGTCCCGTCACGTCGGCTCGGGTACGTACCTCCTATCCCGGTCGAGTCAGCCGTCGGCCGCACTCGCTTAGCCAGCTCCAGCTCTCGCAGCTTCAGGTTCTTCTGCTTCTCCTTCTTTTTGCCCCTCCCTCGGGCTTCTTTACCACTCCGAAATCCGATCTCTTCATTTCCTTTCCCCAGCTGTCCTCAGAATGCGGTTCCAGAACTCTGCGACGCGGTGGGGCTTCTGATGAATCTGAGATTCCAATGTTGCGCAAACCAGGGCATTTTTACGACGCACCCTGCTGTTTTTCGGATAATCGATCAACGACGAGCAGCACACCGAAAAAGAAACCCCTGACTGATATCTCGAGCATGCCGCCGCACGGGTACGGATACAGGCCCAACGTTGGGGTCCGGTCGAACAACGTGCGCCGGTGTTAACGTTCCCCTCGGGCCCGATGCCACGGTGCCATGGTTGCGCGAAGGATTCCAACACGCAAGTCAGACCTGTCGGTGACACTCTCAGCACCCGACGGACCATTTACCTTTGGCGCGGAGACACCGTGCCGGCCGTTTCGACCATTTCCCAACCATCGGAGACTATCTACGCCCTATGATTACGACGCCCATTGACGGCTGGCATCATTGTTGAGACATGCCTCGCCCGGTACGGGGTTTAACAAGTGCTTATATCCTATACCCATTCCACAAACACGCACACAAACTTTCAACCCGAGCATGTTAGTCCCAGGAACAAACTCCTGGCCAATCACACCGTGTCTCCTATCCCAGTGACGGGACGATCGAGCTGTCGCCGGTTGCCGCGAGAAGCAGTCTTGTCGTCTCAACATACGGCGTATCAACTTTGGACGTCGTTGTTCTTGGCTTTCAGTGTGTGAGAGGAATCGACGAACTCTTGATCCTGTCTCGACACAAGGATACGCCTGCACCGGCTGCCACACGTCGAGGTCTCACGTCAGTGCGACGGATCGTGAACTGGACATTCACAAAATGTGGGAATACGCGGTACGCGTGAGTTCCGATACGTTCTGGAAGACTGGAAGGGGGGGCAAGCCGAAGCTTGTGCCCAAACGCCCCGCGGGCTCCCTGTCAATCCCGGTGTGGCGTACCGCCATCTAAGCGACGTCCCGGCTAAGATGGCGGCCACGCTCTCAGACAATCGCGCCGTCCACTGACTCGACCGACTGCGAGCACTTGGCGATGGATCCGTCGTGCAGCTAACGGGGCTGCCCAATCGCCTCTGCTCGGGTTCGATGCGATATGCGAGCAGTGCAGGCCACCGTTTGTTTCAACTCCTTTCTGCTGATCAAGCAGGGCGGTCAATAGTGAATGGCGGTCTCCCGGGACGCTAAATGACACCGCCAAGTCTCCGAGACAACACACGCAACTCGGAAACATTGAGGAATGGCTGCAACGTTGGAGGGAAACAACGCGGCGATGAGTCAATGACGACTGATTACACATGGAGTGGATTCTGTTGTCTACAACTCCCTACGGTATGACAGAGTCCCACACGTATTCTGGATCATCGTCTTTCTGACCAGGATTCAAGCTGACCACAAGTTGAGCCTCAAGCACCGCCTTGACAAACTCCCGCGGCCTGCCTTCGCAGGCCTCGCTGATCATCCGGAGATACCTCGCCCGGTCCATGTCCTCGAAAATCGTCGGCAGGTAGCCCTGCCTGGCCATGTAGTCCTGCATGATCAACCGACTGACGCGACCGTTGCCGTCGGGGAACGGATGAATGTGGACGAAATAAGCCGTCATCTGACATGCCAGGACGAGCGGGTGAAGCTCCCTCGCGGCGTGCTGCGCGTCCCGCCACTCGAAGAACCTCCGGACGCACGCTGGGACTTCCTGCGGGTACGGGAAGACGGCGAGGTGGTTGCTCTGCACCTGGATCGGCAGCTTCCGGTATCCTCCCAGCGGCACTCTGCCTCCCCAGGACAAGCCGTACACGGCTTCGGAGGAGGTGCCTCTGATCGAGGCCGCTGCAAGGTCCCGCACCTCGATCTCGCTGACGCCTGCGGTGCCACGCTTGGCCGCCGCGTTGTCGGCAACCCACTGCGATGCGATGATTTGGTTCTTGAGCTCGACCTTCGCGGGGCTCTCATTCTCCTCGGTCCGGGGGATGCGCATCGCGGCGAGCTCGCTCGACGTCACCCCAATCATAGAACCCAGCCCCAAACCCCGCTCCTTGTCCAGGAAGTCAAATACCTGGCACGCGTCGCCGATACGCATAGGGTTGTCCTCGATCATGACGGACTGCTGCGCGTGCTCGGGAACCAGGTACCGGCTCAGCGACAGAGCCGGGAGATCGGTTTTGTATCGATCAACCTCGTCCAGCATATCCCTGAGATCCCGCTGCACCCCGACGTAGCCCATGAGGCGGCTGCTGCAGGGCTGGAAGAAGTCTTCCCATAATCTTCCGGATGTCGCAAGCTTTTCGTACTCCGCAGAGCCTTTCTGGAGTTTGGACGCCGGCTCGTAGATAAAAGTGAGCAGCCTACGGCGTGCATGCCGCTGCCGCATGCGGAGCATGATCTTGTCAAACATTGCGGGGTATGTCGTTGCTTATGTCCCGTCGTGATCAAGCATGAGCCTTGTTGCGCCTTATCGTGTTTTGTTAAGGATGCATAGTTCCTCATCTCAGGAGAAACCCGTGTGGCCAAGCGGCGCAGCTCTGCTAATCTTGAACCCTATCCACTATGAACCAACACGGTGAACCAACAAGGTCACGCCATGTGATGGGGCCGCCGAGACCGTGACAGCCTCAATTCAGACTGATGTCGACGCCGTCGTCGGTACCGAGAGCCGGAGTTCCAGGCGTCGTCCGAAGCCTGCGTCGCCGTGATAAGCTTCGGACCAACTCACCGGACCGTCGACAGTGAGAAATTCCCACCACCAAAGTCCCTCGTTACGTGAACCCGGCAGGACATCATGTACGGCACGGCCACGGCTGCATGCGCCCGACCCAGCATGCTGAGCGGCGCATGAGAGAAATGAAATAGGGCAAGGTAAGACAACGCAGCAGCAAGATGAACCGACCTGCATTATCTGATCTTGCGCTTCCCTCCGTTTCCCAGCTCTCTTCAACGGCGTTCCGCGGTGGAGCTCCGTCGCCGACGATCCGTCTAGGAACCGCCCCGCGTTCATACGTAAAAGTGTGGAAACGACACACAAACGATAGCGAAAGCGAGCGTTCAAATCATAAAAACGGAGCCATGCCAGCGACGAACGGGTTTCACAGAAATGCCAGGTCGTTGGGAACGGGAGACCGCGCGGCATTCCCGATGATGGGGGACGTAACCCAACTCCTCCTCCTCAGAGGGCGGGGGGACGGAGCATCCAAGGAAGAAGCTTGAGGGGTGCATCTCGGGGCATCGTTGTTCTCCGAGAGAATTGAGACCAACACCACCCACCCCCGCCAAAAGATGCTTTCGACTGGAAAGGGAAAAGGGGCAGATGCTATTGCAGCCAGGCCCGCCTTGGCAAACCCGCTGCAGTGACCAACGCGCCAAGTCAACGTTTTCCTGTGGAAGAAGCTTGGCTCTTCCACGATGGAGACTTTGCTGCATTATGTAATACCGCCACGCGAGGCATGTGATGTGGCTCAATCTGACTGGCTACGCCACTCCTTCACCGAAAGTGACGTATCTGATCCCATCCAATCTTCATCGTCCAAGTCGCCTCCTCAGGCCCAGCACACCGAGCGAGGAGCCTCACCCAACCTCATATCTGTCCTCAACCTCACCGCCTGAACTTAATCAGATATTCAATTTTTGAGGCTGCTCAGACAACCACACCACCTTCGAAATACACGACCACATATTTGGTGAAACTCACCCTATGCTCTGATCTCACCGGAGGTCTTCACAAGCGGCGACAGCACGTCGCACCAAACACCACACCCACCATCCTCACCAAACACCACCCAAAATGCATCTCACACTCCCCCTTACCCTCACCCTCCTCCCCTTCACAACGGCTGCCAAAGCCCCCAAAAACGCAATCCTCCTCTCCGACGTCAAATCCCTCACCCTCCGCGGCCACGGCGCCCTCACCACCCACCGCCGCGTCCCCGCCGCGCCCCAGCTCAAGTGCGTCTCCCGCAAGGCCCTCTGCGACCTCGTCGCCGACGACATCGACGTCATGCGCTGCACCAACCAAGGGTCCGGCTACGCCCCCGACGACGTCCAGTGGTCCTGCGTCGCCTCCCTCCCCGAGGAGCTCAAGCTCGGCTCCACCGACGTCGTCTGCGAGGGCTACGACTCCCGCGACGACCCCTACGTGCTGAGGGGCAGCTGCGGCGTCGAGTACAGGCTCGCGCTGACCGACAAGGGCGAGCGGAGGTATCCCGACCTCGGTAGGGGAGGAGGGGGAGGGGATGGAGGGACGGACTTGGGGGGTGTGTTGTTCGCGATTTTATTTTTCGCTGTGCTCGGGTGGATCGTGTACTCGGCGTGCGTGGCTGGCGCGGAGAATCGGAGGGCCGGAGGTCCTCGACGTCGCGGGGGAGGCGGTGGCGGTGGTGGTTACGGAGGTGGTGGAGGCGGAGGCGGATGGAACCCCGGCTTCGGCCCGGACAACAACGACCCGCCACCGCCGTACCCGGGCACGAAGCCCTCGGGGTCGCAGAGTGGTGGTCAGCAGGGATGGAGGCCCGGTTTCTGGACGGGAGCGGCGGCTGCCGGTGCCGCTGGGTACGGGGCGGGCCTGTATCAAGGACGGAACAACAACAGGAACCAAGGCTACGGCTCGGGCTGGGGAAACGACAGCAGTAGCAACTGGGGAGCCGGTCCTTCGCGGTCGTCGTCTTCCAGCTCATCGGCGCGTCAGGAGAGTACCGGTTTTGGGTCCACGAGCAGAAGGTAGTTTGTCATAGTAAGATAGTGTCACAGTCAGATACCGGAAAACAGCATGAATGGGTAGGCGACTTTCTAGGTCTATCCTGTACACCCGGCTTTCGTACATCAACACCTCCGCTCCCTGACCTTGTGAAGAAAAGCCCCAAACGGGGTGCGATAGTATGTACATACTCGGGTCCAGGCCGTCTACCATACACGTAAAAGTACAATAATCCTCATTTCCAAGCGAAGCATCCTCTGGACCAACCCCAAGGTATCATACCATGAACCCCTACTGCTGAAACAAACTCCAAATTGCACATGCGTCTTCGACGAACGTCGAAGACGCGGCCGACACGTCGGGTCATATTACACGAGTCGGAAGTTCAAGCGGGACGCCTGCGATGGCTAGTGGTGTACGGACATGACGTCCAACCTATCGAACGCCCGTGAGCAGTTGGGGCACTTTCGCATGCGGTTGCTGATCCGGTCGTCCACGCACTGGTGGCAGAACAGATGGCCACACGTCTTCAGGGCCGTGTCCTTGAAGTTGTTGCGGCATACAGTACAGAGTGCGAAAGTCTGCTTTCGTTAGCGGCGCCCTCGCCCATACATGGGGCAGACTTACTCGGAGCATCTCCTCTTCCTCCGACGAATTGCTCAACGCTTTGCGTTTCCAATCGTCTTTTTCCTTCTGCACCAGGTCTGCGCGCACCTTGAGTCGCTCCACTTCTGCCTCCTGCGTGGTCGTGCGTTCCCTCGCCGCCGCGACGGCCGCATCGCGAGACTTGACGAGGGTCGTCAACTCGCTAATCTGGTTCTTGTACGATTCAACCCGGCGCGCAGCGTCGGAGCTGGTCGTCTCCATCTTCTTGTGGTCCGCAGCCATGGACGCGTTCGCCTGCTTCAGGTCGGAAAGCTGCTTCTCTAGGTTGCTGATAAGAATTCGATGTTGCGCCTCGACCTCCTTGAGCTGGGCGACAATCTCGGAGCTCTTCCGGTTCTGACTTCGAAGCACGCCGAGCTCGCGATCCCTCATGTCGGCGTCCTTTTTCACTGCAAAGTACTTTTGGTCCACCTTTTGCTTCTCGGCGAGCGCGGCCGATACGCGCTCCTCGAGGGCCGTGAAGTCCATGACCTTTTTGTGAGACAACGTCATAGATCGCTTGTACGCCTGCTGCAGTGCCGGCAACTCCTTGTTGATGGACTCAAAGTCCTGCTGCAGCTTCTTGTACTTGGCCAACAGCTCCTCGGCGGGCAGGCTGTCCACGTCCGGGTCGGGATCGGTCATTTGCTGGTCTTCCGGCTTCAACCGCTGCAGCTCCAACTCCAGCGACTGGATCCGGTCCTCTTGAGCACCCGTCAACTCCTTCAGGTGCTGGTGCGCCTGCTTCTCCTCCTTTTCTCGCGTCTCCAGCATGTTCGCCTTGGCGTACCACTCGTCTCGGGCCGCTCGGATTCGGGTCAAATCTGCGTCGCGCTCCTCCACCTGTCGCTCCAGATCCGACGTTATCATCTGGGCCTCGTCGTTTAGCTTCGTCCGGAACGCCGTCCGCTCCGACTGCAGCTTGTCGGCCTCTTCCCGCAGCTGCTTGTTCGTCGCCTCCAGGTGGTTCACCCTCTTGATCAGGTCCTCGTTCTGGTTCTTGAACTGCTTGAACACGTCGGTCCGGATAAAGTCTTCGTCGGTCAAACTCTCCCTCCGCGCCTTGAGTGCCGAGTTCTCCTCCTGCAGGGTCTTGATATCGGATTGCGCAGACTCCAGCTGCTCCTTCTGCTTCGCGACGACCGCCGACGCCTCCTCGAATTTGAGCAAGGCCTCGGCCGCGTTGCCATTAGCTTCGGCATTATCGCTGCCGTTCTCGCCGGCGATTGTCGGCTTCGCACTGGCAATAAACTGCTGTTCGAGCTTCTGTACTTGCGCACTCTTCAGCCTGTCCATACGCTTCTCCGCTTTAAAGAATCGTAAGCTGGCTTTGTTGAGGTCTTCCGATAGTTGCTCGTTTTCCTGGTGCGCCCGGTCGAGCTTCACCAGATAGTCCTTTTGCTGGGCGAGGAGACTATTCACCCTCGCCTCCAAGTCGGCGATATTCGGCGTGATCTCGCCCCGAGCGCTTGCGATGCGACTAAGCACGGCCTCGGCGCGCTTCTTGATATCCGAGGCGGTGTCGTTCAAGTGTCTTTGAAATTCATCGTTGTCCTTAAAATGCGTACTAGTGATGTACGGAGGGTCTGGGGTCCGTCAGCATCAATCCACGGCATTCCGAGCGCCAACTCACTTAATGGGCCTGTCGGTGGTGGTAGCGCGGGATCCACGAGCTGCTCCATCTCCTCCAAGACCTGCGACAGTCAGCCCGAGCCACGAGTCAAGGGATCAGTCAGACCGACCTGCTTCCACCATGATTCGATAATGCGGATATGATCCTCCCGGTAGACGAGATTTTTCTGTAACGATTCGACGCGTGACTCGAAGTCGGCCTTTTCCCTCTTTGTTTCCTGGAGTTGCCTATATATGGCGCCCTTTTGGTAGTTCTGAACTCAATCATCAGCTTCGGCCATTCCCTTTGTGTGTTTTCGCGTCACGCGATCGTTTTCATAGACGGGGTAGTATGTGGGAAGGAATCGGATGCGTGGAAGACAGGGAGATGGATCGTCGGTCAGCCAGCCTCGTCGCCCTCGGCGGCCGACCGAAAGGCCATTCCAGGCCAGTCGACCGCGATCCGCCAGTGTTGAGACTGGCCGGGGGCAATCGATGATCGTGATGTCGCGCAGCCATTGATGGCGGAGGGGGATCGCGTGGGGTTCCATTGATTGTTGAGAAAACTTGATGTGTGTTGGGAAACCGTGTCTCGTGACACTTACCTCGATCCAGTGCTCCTCGGCGGTATCGCCACCATCGCCCTTGGACTTGCTGCCATTCACGGTTTGATGTCGCTTGCTGGGAGGAGCGAGATCCTCGGCGGTGCTGATGGGAGGTCTCTTCCTGTCCTCCATCTTGGATAAGGTGGACGGACGGGGAGAGGCAGTCGGGGCTGAGGTCGCTACAGGCATGAGAAAGGCAGGAGATGCAGAGACAGCGCGTGCACCCGGCCTCCGGCTCGTCGGACAGATGAAGATGACGGGATAGGAATGGCAGAGGATGAATACACGTTGATTCGGGCCATGCGTGGTGTCGAGAGGGTCGGGAAGTGGTCGGGTTTTCGCGCAGACGAATTGGGGGAGGGAACCTTGGGCAAAGGAGTTGGAAAAATCGAGGTTGACGCCGATGCTTCACGTTCCCAGCGAGGTCCCACTCCTCACGCTAACGCAAGTGGAGACTCGTCATCTTAGGTATCGACCAGTAGGCGCCCCGCGCAAAACCTGAGGCCCCGGCTAATCGTCGGGTCCCTTGATAAAGTAAAACCGCCTACTTTTTTATCCCACCCAGTCACCGCGGGCCGTCTTCAAACTTCTGGTGTGAGCCAAATCTCCGACCGAAATCGACTCACCATAGCCTCTCCGACCCGGCCATGAGGCTACTTCCACATCGATAACAAGAGGCACGCTCCATCACCACCGTCATCATGAGCTCAATGTTCAAGAAAAAGGGAGGCATGGCTTTCAAGCCGAAAATGCCCATGGCCCGCCCTCGAGCGCCTGGTGCTGCCTCCTCACAACCGTCGAGGGCTCCGTCTTCGACCGCCGCCGATCCTGTGACACAGCCAGACGCTCCTGTCGTCCCGAATGACCAGCCGGCGCAGTCAGTCGATAAGACCGCGGGAGGCCAAGAACCTGCCGGGACTGAGGGCACTGATACCCCGCCATCGACCAATTCGAACGCCATACAGACGGCGACACCACAGACGCAACAAACGCCCGCCGATACCACGACATCGAAACCGACAAAAGAGATAGAAGCGACAGTCACCACACCCACGCAGCCCGCTGAGGTTTCCACCACCGAGACCACCTCGTCGTCGGCCACCCCCGCGACGGATGCCCCGCCAACTTCAATCACCGGCACTCAATCCAACGAAACGTCGACGCCCGCCCAGCTGCAAACCCCTCCTGCGACCGCTCCTGCGACCGACGTAGCAGCTTCCATCGAAACCCCGACCGAGCCCACGCCCGCCAGCAACACCCCAAAACCCGCCGCCAAGCCGCGAGCCAGGAAACGAGCCCCTCAGGCCGCAGAGGAAGACGCCGCCGAGGGTAGCGAAAGCGCAGCAGCAGCCCCTAAACCGAAGCGCCAGAGGAAAAAGAAGGACGACGCACCGACCGAAGACGGCACCGAGGCCCCGAAGCGACCGGCCCGACCGAGGAAAAAGAAGACCACGGAGGATGCCGCAACGACAGACGGCGCTGCGACCGAGGGCGGGGAAGACGCCGCGACCAGGAAACGACCCCCTCGCCGGGCCCGCTCCGTCACGCCGGACGACGCCGAGGACCAAGAAGCCGACCTCAGCGTCCTCACGATGGGCGACCTGACGCGCGACCTCCGCATCGGCAAGAAGTTCTCCCGCCACGACGAACTCCTCCAGCGACACCGCGATAAGCAGGCCAGGGCCCGAGAGAAGCTCAAGAGCAGGAGGAACGGCTCCGAGGACATCGCCTCAGAGAGCGGCACCCCCGCGCCCACGCCAGCGGCCCCCGTCCCCGTCGCGAAACCGCAGCAGCAGTCCGGCGGCGGCGGCGGCGGCGGCGGCCCGCAGTTCCAGATCATCGACGGCCAGATCGTCGTCGACCAGAACTCGCTCGCCCTCGACCGGCACGCCATCGCGGACGCCAACGCCGAGGACATGCTCGAGATCGAGGAGAACGACTTCACCACGCTCACGACGCAGAACAGCTACCGCACCGGCTCCAAGCTCAAGGGCCCCAACGTCTGGACCGAGGACGAGACGGAGCTCTTCTACCGCGGCCTCCGCATGTTCGGCACCGACTTCCAGATGATCTCCGGCATGTTCCCCGGCAAGAACCGCCGCCACGTCAAGATGAAGTTCAACCGCGAGGAGCGCCACGCCCCCGCCCGCATCGACGCCATCCTCGTCGGCAAGAAGGAGCTCCAGATCGACCTCGAGGAGTACAAGACCTGGACAAAGGCCGAGTACGAGCCCGTCGAGGCCATCATGGCCGCCCAGCGCCAGCAGCAGGCCGAGTTCGACGCCGAGCAGGCAAAGGTGAAGGCCGCCAAGGACGCCATCAACGCCAGGAAGCTCGCCTCGCTCGCGGAGCCCGGCGATAAGGATGCTAGTGGTGGTGCCGGTGCGGGTGAGTCCTCGACCGGCGGAGGCAAGAAGCCGAGGTCTCAGGCGGCCCACGTCGGGCCCCAGATCACGGTCGACGCCGACGGCATGATCACCATCGACGAGACCAACATGGACCCGGACGCGGGCCGCAAGAAGAGGGGCGCGGGCAAGGCGAAGAAGAAGGCCGTGGAGTACAACATGCGCGGCGAGATTATCAGATGAGGTCGCCCGCCGCTGGCCTCTACAAGGTTGGCTTGGCGGTGTGGCTCGGAGTTCCAGGGGGGGTAGGTGAATGGACAGGATTCGGGAAAGGCTACGAGACAGATACCCTATTTACCGCCCTACGAGGACGTACAACGCTTCCTCGAGGGCTCAAACTTGCATCGGGCGGCGTTTTGGTTTGCGTGTGTTTTTATGATTTCGCAGAGGCGAAAAGGGCCATACATGGGAACAGTCTAGGTAGCGTACACAGACACACACTCTCTCAATCCCAGCAGGAGAGCATAGGCACAGAAACAATCATTTCAATTATACGCAACTGATGATACCCTTCTTCTTCGTATCGCCGCAAAGTGGCGACGAACACAATGAAAAAAAGACTTTCAAAATCAAAAATTGGCCCAGTACGGCCTCGTAGAGAGCACCATACGGCGAGGGGCACGGCCGCGCTATGCAATGCAGGTCCCCCAGCACCACGGCCCGGAACTCTTGATCTCCGGGCCATTCGAGCAGGTAAGTATACAGAAAAGAAGAGATCGAGTGAAGTAGAACGGGTGCGGACGCTGTTTATTTATACACGCCATCGGTCGTCAGGCAGCAGTGCGGGTGAGGCCAATTCGATGAGGCCAAATCCGAATTGGCCTCATGGGAACGTACCTCACCCCCACGCACCCTTCGAACATAACGAAATTCACGGCGGACAACCAATGGCATGTGAAAAGTTGAATTACCTGGTACTACCTGGCCTGGCTACCTAGGACCGACGCCACGCTCTCTTCCAAGCCAGGACAGGAGCACGCCTGGCCAACAGATGAAGCTATCGAATTGCAACCGCGAGTTCGTATGCGTCAACTCGTTCCCCGCATGACGAATAATCTCTGGCCTTCTCCGCCAGCCTTTTCTTTTTTGGGAAGAAAAAAAAATAGTCATCTACCCCCGCTGCAAAAGACGAGCGCCCCTGTTGCCCCTGGCGTTCAGAACCTTTCGCCCTCTTGGGACATAAAGGTATCCTCAAGTCTCTCCCCCGTCCGGTAATCCCTGAGCCTTGCGTGTCTGTCGTAGAATGGGTTTGTCATGCAGTCGTTCGAAATCGGCTTAGTTCGCGGGAGGGTCATCGTCGTCGGGCTGGTCAAACAGGAAGTTTGCCGCGAGCTCCTCGTTCTTGTCGCAGGCGAAGTAGGCCTGGATGGCGGCGTCGCGGTCGAAGCCGAGGCGGCATAACTAGAGACCGTCAGTATTGCCACACACGGTCACGCTCCTGAAGTACCTACCCGCTCAATGGCGTCGCGCTCCTCCTCGGTAACGGCAATGGCCTGCGCGCCAGGAGGCAGAGGCACGTCGTCGTCGACCTCCTCGCCCAGGAGCTGGAGGAACTGGTCGGGGTTGTTGGCGATCAGCTGCGCGAGCTGGGGGTTGCCGGCGCCGAGCTGCTGCAGGATAGGCTCCAGCATCTGGGGTTGTTGCTGGACGACTTGGCGCAGCTGCTGGAACTGTGCGTTGTTCCTCAGGAAGTCGAGGTTGCCGAAGCCACCCTGAGCGGCAGCCGCGGCGGCGGCAGCAGCAGCAGCCTGGGTGTTGCCACCGGCAGCACCGCGGGCACCACCGCTTCCACCACTACCACCGCGCTGAGCAGCGAGGTCGAACAGGTTGACGCCCTCCTCGCCACCGGCCGCGGCCGCAGCGGGCTCGGCAGCCGGGGCAGCGGCGGCGGCGGCCTGGCGCTGCTGTTGCTCCTCCTGGACGTTGTCGGGGATGCCCTATCGAGCGTCAGTCACGGGCCAAGCCAAGCCATTCGTCGGGTGCTTCGTGCTTACGTTCAGCAGGTACTCGACGGCGCGGTCGGGGTTGTAGAATGCGGCACGCATGGCGGCGTCGATCTGGGAGCGCTCGAAACCCATGGCCTCCATGTTCGCAACGACCTCCTGGCGCTGGGCGCCCATGGCCATGGAGGGATCCGTGCTAGAGGCATCGCCACCGGTGCTGCGGGCAGCCGGGGTCGGCGTGGAGGGCACCGCGGCGGGAGCAGCAGCCTGGGCGGCGGGGGCCGGAGGAGCGGCGGGAGTCGAGGCAACGCGGGGGGCCGGGGTCGCGGGGACGGCGGAAGAAGACTCAGCAGGCGCGGGCTTGGGTGCCTTGGGCTATCGGGTGGTCAGCACATCAGCGAGCGGAGGGCATCCGCGGGTTACCGACCTTGTTCACCATGCACACGACGAACCCCTTCTCCTCGATCTTGTAGGACTCGACGGTGTCGTCGTCTTTCAGGATCTTGCCTAAAACCTGGTCAGCCGAAGCCATGGCGGCGTGTCTGCGCGAGACCACCCACCAGAGTAGATAAGCTTCTGGTCCTTGGGATCCCATCCCTTCTCGCCGGCAATCTTCTGCTTCACGGCAGAGATCTGTGTATCTCGTTAGTCCCGGGGGCGTCGCCGCAGAGGATCTCGGAGCGGAGGCGGAAGTGGGGGGCAACGCACAAGGTCGGTGGGCTCGACATCGAGCGTAAACTTTTGTTGCTTCAAGTCCTGGGGGGAGAGAACGACGGTCAGCTGAAGCTCGGGAGGGGTCGCGTGAAGCAGAGCGACGCAACACGGAAGGGCGTGGCGTCCGGGGCGGAGGTGCAGAGCTGCGTACCTTGAATGTGACCTTCATTTTGGCTAGCTTCAGAGCAGCGGAAAGGCTGCGACGACGAGGGGAATCACAGAAAGCGGTCGGTGAGGTGGAACGTGGTCGAGGGCGTAGCTGAGCGGGGACGGCTGCGCTGGAAAACGGTGCGCGGAAAGCGGAGGGTGAGAGATGGGAAATCCGTCACCCAGAAGTTGTGTTGTGCGCAGGTTAAAGGCGAGTTCAGAATTAATGGAGATGACGAAGGTAAGTGGTGACCTGAAGTCAGTGTTTGGTTGCCGCTCGGTGGGGGGCCTGGACGACGGTTGGTTGGCTGAGGTACCTCCAATGACCGCGGTGCTTTTCACACAACACCACCACACCTTGGCTTACCTAACTGGACTCTCCCCTCAGTTTGTCCAAACCAAGGCCCAAGGTACGCAGACTAGGACTATCTCAGGAAGCCGGTAGATGGTTACCTGCAGCGGTCGAGTGCCTCACGTCCAACCTAATTCTTTCGTCCATGGAAGAGTGGCGGTGCTCATGATTTAGGCAGGTGAGGCCAGGCAGGCGACGCGAGGCGAGGGGTCGTTGGTGAGGGGTGAGGCCGGTCTGGACAGCCAGGGAAGCCGTTGGAACCATTGGATGAAAAAGAGTCCTGCTGCTCTTATTTGCGCCTCACGTCAAATACAGTCATTCCATTCAATCAAATCGTCAGTCACAAGCCATCGCAGGCCATCCTGCAGAAATTTTCCCATCTGGCAGCCACCGGAAAGCGGGGTGTTGCACCGGTTTCTACCGTACTCTGAACGGTCGGGTTACAAAGGCGTTCGTTCCGGAGTTGTACGAAGAATGTCTGACGGTTGGGTACTTTCGCCATCACCCAGGGCGGCCTTCTACCGCACTGAGTCTCCTTCTGGACTTTGAGTTGGCCTTCCATTCGTCTCCAAGTTCTTTGAAGCCGACTTGGAAATCCAAAGGGTGAGCTGCTGAGCTAAGATTCTGCCTGTGCCCTCCAGGTTCCCCACCGGATCGGGCCCGACGATGGCGTATCGGGATCATCTATGATCCGAGATCTGAGCCGGTCCCGTCGGGCCCGCCGCCGTCGCGATAGTCTACTCCCTTACAGATCGCCGCCAATCCGATCACATCAAACACGCCCACGTTCACAAAGGCCATGATTCATTTGACTCGTTAATATTGTTGTAGCTGCTGTAGCTATTCTAGCTGGTCGACGGCCTCTCGCCGCCGGACCCTGCCTTTTCCACCTTACCTCCCGGGACAACGCCGCGCTGTGACAAAGAAAAATAAACCCTCAAATATGGTATCACCGCCCGAGTTATACTCCTTGTTGTCGCCGAACGACAGAATAGGAATTAGACATTCATGAGGACCACGCCGGGTCAGGTTCTCCCCCGATTTTCCTTTTTTAATTTTTCCGGGCGACGCGGCACACGGCCACCGCCGCCGTCCGTCATCATCATGATTGCCCCGGCTTGACGTCCCCGTCCTCGACCCGGAGCTTCCGACTTTGGTACCCGTTGAGGCTCGTCCGGGCCCCCGCGGTCAGGATCCACTCCGGAATCGGCGGCGTCATCTGCCTCTCGGCGGGATCCTCGTCCTCCTCCTGTGGCGACTCAAGCTCTTCCTTCTCCTCCTTCACGGGGGCGCCGTTGGGGAAGAAGTTCTCGACGCTGCTGGTGCGGCTGAGCGGGCTGGGCCCGGAGGGCAGGCTGCCGCTTCTCATGCGGCGGACGCTGTGCCTGTCCGAAATGACACGGCCGGCGTCGGGCGCGGCCACCACCATAGTCCCGGGCGTCACCATGGGCGGGGGGTCCGGCGAGTCGGAACGGAACAGGGGGTGAATGTGCGATTCACTCGCCGAGCCCTGCATGGTGAAGGCGGGCTCGGGTCGCCGGAGCTCGCCGTCGCTGGCCGAAGACTGCATGGTGAAAGTGGTCTCGGGGCGGCGGAGGTCTCCGACGGGGCTGTAGCTGCGACTCCTGCGACGCGTGCGAGGAGGCTCCAAGTCCAGGTCGAGTGGCGTGCCTGGACTGGGGCTGCGGCTTGTGGTTGGGCTGGCAGGGATCGTCTCCAGGAAGCGGCCCCCGGGAACCGGAGAGGATGTGCCAAGTACGGTCATGCGGTTCTGCATGTCGACGGACGAGGTGTCCCAGGAGTCGAAGGACGAGTCCTCGTTGACGCTGCTGGACCGGGACCGGTAGTGGTTGGAGTCGATCGACTCCGCCCTGCGCTTCTCTCTCAACGGGAGCAGGCGCGTCCTCGAAGAGATGGGGCGGACGACGTTCGACAGAGACGAGCGGATGGAGCTCAGGGTGTCGGTGGCCGAGCGGCCGCTGCTGGACTGGGGCGGGGTCTGGGAGCCCATGGACGTGGACCGGCTCCTGCTCTCGTACGTGGGCGTGGTGCGGCTGTACGGGATCGACTTGACCGACTTGACGTGGAAGTTGGGCGACCTCCGCGACTCCTCGTCGGTGTGGTAAGGGTCTGCCTGCTCGCGGGCAGAGAGGCGTGCGAGGACGAAGTGGATGACGATGAAGATGAGCTGGCACGCGAAGCAGAGGCCGAGGGCCACCGACGAAGCGATGAGGAAGCTCGTCTGCTTCGCGCCGAGAACAGAATCCGACAGGTCCCTCGTCGCGTTGCTGAGGCAGATCATCGTGGCAACCGACGCCGCGGTGGCGAGGGTGCAGGTGAGGAGGCTGACAGCAAACATGGCGCTGATGATCCGCTTCGACGAGTTCCGGAAGCTGGAGATCAGGTTCGCCGACAACATCCATCCCAGAACCACCAACAGAATGCCCTCCAAGACCGATGACAAGATTGACGACGTCCTGACGGGCGAGACCTGGGTGATGTGGGCGGCGAGCACGACGTGGATGACGACGATCGTGATGGTGGCGATGAGCGCAAGTGCGCCGGCCACGATGGGGAGAGCTCGAGGTAAACCCATGGTTGAAACTGGGGCTGTCAAAGCCAAGAACTAAACGTGTGGTGCTGTGAGTGTCCTTCACGAGAAGGACGAAGTAGGCAAACGCTGAACGGAAGACGAGACTGAAGATGGTCTGCCGGAGACCGGGTGGACCAAATCTGTTTGCTCAACGCCGGTGCTATCCAAACGCTGAAATGCCTGCCCGAGCCGTGGTCGTTGATGAGACCACAGATCAGCCGGCAGCTGGAACGAATCCTAACGCCTGATGGGCAGGCCGTGTCGACTACCTTAGATGAGGACAGAACTCCGGAGAGGCGAGGCGGCCACGGGACGTCGACGGATGTAAGCGGCGAGTTGGCGAGAGAGTCCCGGATAGGCGTTTGTGGGAGAACGAGATATATGGAAGACGCGGGTGACCAGCCGTGTACATGGGCACTGGTGGTGATTCGGTCTGTAAGAGAGCTCCGTATAGAAACTCTCTAGACAGGATGAATGGGTAAAACTGGGTCGTTATGAATGAGATGCCGGGCGATGGCGTGAGGTCGAGATACTTTCCACGAGCCGGGTTGTCGATGGGCAAGACCCGAGTTGAGGTTGAACGAGAGAATGTAGTTGGTGAAAACGAATGGAATGGGGGCTGTGGGAAGGGCCGTAGGTGTAAGTAGAGGGGACGAAGAACGAAACCTGGGAACCAAACGAATAAAGTATGGCAGGCGGTGGTAGGCGCGTTTTTGTGTGTGCGGTGGTGGTAGATGGGATTCCCTGTCGATGGTGGAGGAGGAACAGGGACTAGAAGGTCCAGCGTCGCGTGGGCAAACGGCAGACCGAGCGAGTTTATTCGTAGCGCAGGTACTCTGCGGTCTGTACCTTTACGCACACGCCTCGGCCGGCCGGTGGACTTTTCAGTCTCTGGATCCCAAGAGGACCAGGTTTTCCAAGGGGCAGTGAGAGACGAGTGGATGAAAGGACGGCAGCGACAAGGATGGCGAAGGGATGCCGTGGTGGGGTGCTCGGAACGAAACAGTGGCAGCTACCCTTGTCCGTGCCGGGGGGTGTGTGCTTCTGGGACAGAGTCCGGCCCTGGTGTGTGAGGTCTGGGATTTTCTGGATTTTCTGACCCGACCAGGGACTGCGTCCGCGGAGGCAGGGGACTGAGGGCCGGTGACGAGATGCTGCTGACGCTTCGCCGTCATGTACCGCCGGTGTTGTACTGACGGGATATCGTGAGGGATCAAAAGGGCCAAATGCAGGGCTCTGTCGTCCCATCCAGAGACGTCGCCGATGTGCTTCTGCCAGTGCACAGAGCCGTTCAGAGAATTGGACGACGACCGGACGATTCGACGGCTCAGACCTCGACCTCGTCCTTCCTTGTGCTTGTAGGACGCGACAGAGGGAGCACATGCGAGAGGCTAGGAGCTGTCGTGTGCCTGTGGCAATCTAACTCGACATTCTAATTGACCACGTTGATTCGTTTGTGTGCCTCGACGCTGCGCATGATCCTGTCCTCCTCGTGGCTTCTGAGCCCGTTTACTGCATCTGCGAAATGGCCGGCAGTGGCGAGATGGCGAGAAGCTGACAGTCGGGCTGCGTGGAGCGATTGGCCGCGGCGTCCAGATTAGATGAGGATGAAGCCACAAGCGCCGTGTAAAACATGGAGAAAAAAAGAAGCCTAGAGACATGGCGTGAGAGAAGGGAGGGAGATCATCCATCATCCCGTTATCGACCCCTCGCGAAAAGCAACGAGGGGCATCGCCAGCCACAATGGGATTCTGGAAAAAGAAACGGCGGACAATAGACAAACTGCCACACTGCTGGGCGGCAAACGCTGCGGCAATAGCAGGCAGAAACAAAGGCGGCGCAAACGCAGCCGGAATACCAACTCTGCGTTGTTTTCTTGGTCCGCCGAGCTCATCTCTCTTGCTGATTATCTGATATAGGTCGCCGTCCGCAATAAGACCAGAGTTGGAAGTGTGAGCGTTCTGGCGTGGCTATCCCGGTCTGCTTTGTTGATTAGCACGGACGTGATATTCCTCTGCCTCAGTTTCGATGCCTTCGACCAGAATGTTTCCGCTCCTCATATGACGCGCGACTGGGTGCACCCAAGGAGAAGCAGGTGACGTTTCCACGCCGAGCGGCCTTCGCCATGGCTTTTTTGACGATGCGGAGGCGAGATGACGGGCGTCAAACAAAAGAGTCTCCCCCCGAGCACCCGTACGTGAGGCTCTGGGCCAATTCTAGCTTGTTTACATTGTGTCGTTTTTGGCATGGTTGCAGCGACGTGTCGAGGGAGGCCACTAGCAGCCACGGCGCAGGGTAAGGCTGGATTCAAGAGTGCATCCCAATGTGAGGGGTGTGCAGACACAATTTCCGGCCCTCTTTGATGTTGTTGCCAATGTCCAATTGTGAACGTTCCCTTGCTTCCATGAATCAGACGGGCGATCCATCAATTGTCCGTCAGTTCTGGCGTCTCAGCGAAGGCCACCGCGCTGCTGTGACTCGCAGTCTCTCTGCCCTTTTACCAGAGAGGACGGAGATCGACGGAGCTAGCGATGAGGTGCGTGGCGTCCTTGCTGCATGTTGTTGTTTTTGGGTGAGACAGGACGTGGATCCTTGTCTGTTGGTCGCGAGCAGAGGGAGGCATGTTCAAGACAGACAGACTCTCTCTGCCACGCGCAGTCCACGATGGCCTCAAGACAGATCGGAGAGTTCGGAAGACAATTTCGTTGTCTGACTGCTGAATCGCCGTTTGTAAACAAAAGACGGCGGTTTTTGGGCAGGAATTTCGGCGTCCTCCACTTGTTTCCATGGCAATTAGCCTGGCGAAATAAAAGAGCGGAGGCGCCAGAGAGGGAAGACAGTGCTCTCTCGAGCTTCGAGAGGGGGTGTTCCCTCCTCCCGCCTCCGTGCCCGGCGTCGCTTTCTCCACGAGGCGGCAGCAGTTCAGTGGAGAGAGGACCGCCGTCAGGTACCCGCGAGAGGTCTGACAAGTGTGCTGGCGGCGAGGGGAAATGGCCGTTGGGAGGCGGACGCATGGGTGGACCATGTTCTGTAGAGGACGAGTTCGCAGACGTGCATAACAGAGGGCTTTTTGTGCCGCTTCCCCGGGCGCGCTCGGGGCGTCGAGTGCATAAGGTTGAAGCGGACGGTCAGATAAACATTGGATATAGTCGAGCCGAGCTCTGCAGGACGGGCCAGCAGATGTGCCATGCTTTGGTCGATATGGGATGGCGATGTCGACAGCTTCAGATGCCCCCTTGCCTGCCCTGGCCCGTCTGGCTTGCGACCATTGCCGGTTCAGGCGAAGCTGAGCTGAACGGGAGTCCAGCAAATAGGTTCCGGATCCGTGGACGCCGAACTGGGCCGGAGACTGACTCGGCCCCCAACGGCCAAGAATTGTGTAGAATTTCGTCGGTGTCGAAAAAGCTGAGTTGAGGTACTGTTGCAGGGGAGGAGAGATTTTCCGGGGGTCATGTCGCAGAATGTGACCATGTAACCTCCCTTGCAAAGGCAGAACTGAGAGAGGCTGTGATTGAGCAGTACTTTGACCAATTGCTGAAAATTTTTCCTGGCTGTCGAAAATGATAAATCTCAGCTACCTGACACGAGATACCTCTGAGAAGCGAGGCCCAAGTACATTGGATGAGGTACTCTGTATTCCGGTATTCGTATGACAGGGACGCCAGCCATGTAAAAAGGGCTGACAAGTGCCCTAATTCCCGAGGGATCCAAGCCGTTGGTTGGCCGTCGGTATTGCAATAAAACGCAAATGCAAATGTAAAAATGTCTCATGTGCACATTTTCCGGTTCTATTCTCGGGGCCTGTCGTGCTCGCTGGGGGGAGGACGGAGGTGCAGCGGGATGACGCCAGAGCACTATCAGAACACTATCAGAACGAATCTATCCCAGATGAGAGATTCTGTCTGCCCCAGACCATGTACCTGCCCCTTCTCCGCGTCTGTTGCTGGGTGAGGTTTTGCGACGCTGCTTTCGTCCTCAGGATGAGAGATGCCTCTAATAGTGTCGTGGACAATAATAGGAGACTCTGCAAAAGGAGAGCAAGGAAGCTTTGATGAAAGGACAGCGGGAGAGCTTGAAACAATGGCAGATGCTACACTGCCTGGCCACCTTACCTAAGCAGCAGGTACTTCGCCAAAGGTACTTCGCTGCCCCTTACCGGGAGAGCCCTTCCAACGGGTCCGCCAGCCTCCGCCAGCCGTGGGCCCCAGCTCCCGTCCCGTTCACATTCTTTTCCAACTTCGGTTCTCAGCCAAAACATCGCAGCTCTCTGGGCTTGCGACAGACGACGAGAGAGGTCCGCTGTTACCATTACGATGCCTTGATTCGCCAACCTGTCATCTCCGTCTGTCCACTGCAAATCTCGCTCGCTACAGAAGTACTCGACAACCGATGTCTCTGCCTCTCCACAGGGCCACACTTCCCACGACACAGCCCTGCCTGCTTCGCTCCTCTTTGAATCCTCCTCTGCCAACTGCCACGGCCTGCCTCCCACCGGGCTGCAGAACGAGTGCAACCCAGGACTTATTCCCCGGCCAAGCGAAGACAGGCCTTCAACAGGGCAGGGCAGGGCAAGACAGGGCATCACAAGCCCCCGACAAGGCACGACTGCCACCGACCCAACGACACGAGAGACCGGACGCTCTTCGATGGGGCTTGCGGGAATTAGCTCCACGGCCAGAGGCTGGAACTCCCAGGCCAAGCAAGAATCGGCCCAAATGACGAAAGGGATGGATCTGAGATTCATCTAGCCTCGACTTGGCTCTCTTCCATCACTCGTCTTCTGTTCCAAGATCGGTTCCCAATCGCCCGGTCCTTTGCCCACTCCTCCAGCAGGCCAGCCGGCGACGCCTCGGGGGCTTGTGGCACATTTCCACATGTTCTATTCCTGCTTCCTTTTTCTCCAACACTTCCCAATCAGAGACGTCACTTCACGCCTCCCCCGCCTCTCGTCATCTCTGAGAATCTGTGGGAAGATGGAATAAAGCTGAGACAAACCTGGTCTGGGGTCTGGCGGCCACTCATCGGGCTGGCTGGAATGGGTGAGTCTCTGATTTCGAGACCTGTTCCTGACTTTAGGCCTCCGCCGCGATGGAGGGTCGGAAGTGCGGCTTTTGGCTGACACTAGACATACAGACGCAGACGCAGATGCGGTCTCTTCCTGCAATACGTCCGTACAACCGTCCTCGGTCGGCTGCCATCGCCTTTCGCCATTCGCCGTGTGGAAAGTCGACGCGGCGTCTTACAGAGCCAGAAAAGATACGTACCCGGTACCTGACCAAGCACCTGGCACCCCGGTCTGATGCGCTGCGATGCGATGCTGAGGCGACTTCTCGCCCTTCCGCGGCCCAAGGATCGAGCAAATCCGTCGCTTCTCATTCGTCGCATCTGCATCGGACGAAGAATGCCGGGCCCAGATACGTGCCTGTTCCTGCGTTTAGGGCTCACGCTGATGCACCACTTGTGGGGTGGCCATCTGCGCCATCTGCACGATGCGCGTTGCTTTGTCAGTTTGAGTCTTTTTCTGCCTTCGACTGGTTTTTTTACAGCGCGCCGAGCAAGTCAAGAAGAGGGGAAGAGAGGAAAAGAGTCATACATCCCACAGATTGCGGAGATTGACCCAGAGTTCAAACTTCTTCGCAGCAATGAGAACGAGAGAGAAGCAACTTGGCAAGAACGGGTGCTCCTCACGCCCGAACTGAGCCGTTCCCATCGCTTCCCATTCGCAGCCCTCTCTGGGATCTTGCCTGGAAAACCCGCTGTCAGAAGAGGGGATTTCCGTACGGCACGAACCAGAAGGCGGTTCGGTCTTTGCCCAGGAGCGGGAGTCAAAGTCGGACTGAGTTTGCCATTATGACTCGGTGCTATGAAGGCTCGGGAGGATATCCCCGCCGTGGGAGAAGAACCGACGATGAAGCCAAATTCTCAGCACCATCTGCTCCAGGCCCACTCGCAACGTGCCCGACATGTTTAACGAGTTTGAAACAAAAAATTCTACAATTTTACCCGCTTCTCTGTCGACAATTCAGGTTGTCTTGTCGAAATGTTGCCAAAATTGGAAGAAACGCTCGGCACTCCTACGCCAGAGTTTCGTCTTAGTCCGCGAACAAAGCCTGGTTAGCCCGATGGCTACTCGCGGTCAGAGCGGACGAGCGCTGCAACCTCACGTTGCTTGTCAACACACAATGTCACTGTCGCCCTCTCCTCTCAGGAACAGCTGAAACGACACGATCGCGGGCAACGCGCGCCCAACACGTGGGACGCTTGCCTTTTCGTCGGGCAATCTTTCTCTTGTTTCGTTTCGTTCTTTTTCTCTCCGTGTTTCGCGACCCAGCGTGTCTCTCGCTCCTACGACAGCGTCTGCTGACTCCAAAATAAATGAAGCGTGGTTTCGAAGCATCCGGGCTTCTAGAGGCCGCCACATGCCGATCCATGGCTTTTGCTCTCCAAGAGACCTTGACTTACCATCGCAGATGAGCTGACCTCACAGTCGTGCCTCGACATCTGGTGATTGACGTCCGTCATGTCACCCGTGCAGCCGTCGTCAGTCTGATGTCCGGGACTGCGTGTCGCTTCATCGTGAAGACAGTTGATGGACACCTCATCCCGCCCTCGCACGCGGTAACCTGCAGACCCGTCGGGTAGATCCTCACGGTGGCCTTGCAGAGACCGTTGGCGCGCCAGCGCCGGGACGTTGTCGACGTCTGTGCTGCTGGCTGCTCAGCCATCGCACTCGGCCACGAGCTTCATCGTCCACTCAGATCTGCCCACGGCAGCATATGCTCCCGGACACAGCGCACCGGCCGCTTTCACCTTGGCTCAGTCCTTGGGGTCGGCGCCTCACCGGTGGTGTCCGCTCTCGGTCAGCAATTGGAGGTCGACGACTCCAATCGCACTGAAGGCCGACGTCGCACTTGCACGACGTTGCAAGGGACGCTGCCGACTTCACCCGTCGTCTGCTTTGCTGTTGATGTTCAATTACCGAAGGATATTCTCCGACTCCCGCGCCGCGTCCTGGGGTCTAGGAATCCGGGGTGAAGACGGTTGACCGAATCACTGCGCAGACTCGCCAACATTTGATGAGAGGGGCGGCCTGCCAAGTGCCATCATCGCTCGAAAGGGGGTTGAATGCACCCTTTTTCGTTGCATTTCGCTTCCCTTTGTATTTCGCCTACCCCGGTCGCGTCCAACGGGGTGTCCAGGCCCTGCTCGGAAAAGCATCTCGTCAAGTTTCTGCTAGATTGCCTGCAATTGTTGGTAGCATGATTGGTACCAAATGTCACCATTCTCAGGGGTTGCCGAAGCTTTGGCGCTATCGATTCACCAGCAAAGTCAACCGGGTTGTGGACGTGGGTGTCTCGTTGACGAGTGTCAGTTCGTCGCTGGCTTTGGATTTTTACATCGGGGGCGACCGTCAGGAAAAACAGACTGCCCGACTACTATCGACAGGGATGGAAAGTCTGTCGCTGAGTGCAGAGGGCATCCTCAAAGGTCCGAGTCAGTGCTACGAGATGCAATCGTGAGTTCACGATGATGGTATTCTGGGCGCCTTCCTTGGAAACTGGCGGCTTCCATAAATACGAGATCGCAGGAAACCTTGGAAACGGCACTCCACCGCCGCAGGAATGCGGCCACGTCGTTTGTGACGGATCCGATATTTCAGAACGTCGCCCGCAGCGCATAAAGAACGCTTTACCGCCACGGTCACTCTTCCAAGGCACGTCGTGGAGACTCGTCCGACATTTCTCTCCGACGCTGCGCCGGCGGCTCAGCTCCTCACGCTGCGGATACGACTGCGGGTGTCTTATGACAAGTTGCCATGCGCGATTGCTCCCCGACACAAGACGAGCCGGTTTCTATGAACCCACGATGCATCGTTGGCGGTGGCAGCCCGGCGGCAGGGAGCTCGGTGACTCCGTCTCCGTCGATTTCCTTGCTTTTGGACCAAATGTGTTTGGCGCCGCGGCGTCAATGTATCGAGCCAACAAGTGTTGCTTCGTGTCATTCGTCTTCCCCTCAGACGCATGCCAATTTTGTTGAGGCGCAACGATCCGAATCGACGTGGTCGGTATATGATCATGCGCCGGAGGCAGTGGTCTACCGGACGCCATTGAGAGGAACAAGACCGTAGAGCGACAGAAGACTTGCCTGCGACGCGATCTGTCGTTCAAAGACGTTCCATCTGTGAGGACGAATTGTTCGGCGTACGTGAGAACAGAGATGCATCGGTCAATGGACTCCAACGGAAGAACGGCCTACGGGCATCGGCTGATTCTCCAAAAAGCTTGTCTCGTCGTCATTTTCCCGCAACGTGACAGGCACGCCTATCTTTACGTCCGGGGGAGAGCCAAAAGCTCGGGTCGCCCCTCCGATCTCCAGATGATCACAAGTTCGACCCCGCAATTCCAGCAGCATCAACAGTTCTTCGGCAGGCATAACGCCGAGATTCCATTAGGCTGTACCGAATGTGGCAGCTCGACCTGCATCACCTCTTTTACCGCTTGTGACAGTTGACTAGTCCCGCAAGGTCGAGCGGAAGAATTGCGCCTTGAATTGCTGCCTCCAGCGACAGACTGGGATACCCCGCAAGTGAAGTAAATAACCATGAGCTGATTGCTGGAATGACGGACAACCCGCGCGGTGGGGGAAAGGTGTCGCACTCGGCCTCACTTCCCGCGATAGAGCGTTGTCAGAAGCCGTGCGATCGGTGTGAGGCTCTTTTAAAGATCTGGCGTTCCACCCGCCAAGGGGGATTCTGTGTTATGCGACGTAATTCGTCTTGCGCAGCTGTGATTTGACTGCCAAGGCCATCGTTCGCATAAGCGCTGTTAAAGATGCGCTTCTTTCGGGCTGTGTCGGCCTTGATTTGGCTGCTGGTTTCCGGGGCCGTTGCGACTGACAATGGCCTCACTGATGCGGTGACGTGGGACAAGTACAGTCTCTCGGTCAACAACAGCAGGGTTTACATTTAGTCGGTCTGCTCTATCTCTGCCAACCGAACTGACTGCTGACGACAATAGCTCCGCCGAGTTCCATTATCAACGTCTACCAGTTCCCGAGTTGTGGCCTGTACGTCAGCTTGTTACCGCTCACTCAAATCTTCTAAGACTCTCTAGGACGTCCTCCAAAAGTTCAAGGCCAACGGCTTCAACACCGTGAGGTAGGGTGGCCCAGCGCCTGTCCGACTTGAATGACGCTGATCTCTCCAGCATCTACTTCTTCTGGTCCTACCATTCCGCCTCCGAAGGCGTCTTCGACTTCGAGACCGCCGGCAAGAACATCCAGCGTCTGTTCGACTACTGCAAGGAGGCCGGGTTATATGTGATCGCGAGAGCCGGACCATACTGCAACGTACGAACCCCAGACCGACGCCCCAAGAATATGTGCTAACTGCCGACAGGCCGAGACGAATGGCGGCGGCCTTGCCCTCTGGGGCTCCGACGGCCGCTTCGGCAAGCTCAGAACCTCGGACGAACGGTACTACGACGGTTGGCTGCCGTTCATCACGGAGGTTGGCAAAATCATTGCAGCAAACCAAATCACGAACGGCGGAGTAAGTCTTCTCAGGACGGTCTATGTGGCCACCGCTGACCTTCGCCAGCCTGTGATTCTCAACCAAGTCGAAAACGAATACCAAGAGAGCGTTTACCAAGCGAACCACACCTCCGTCGTCTACATGGAGCAGCTGAAGAAGGCCTTCAAGGACGCCGGCGTCGTCGTCCCGCTCACCCACAACGAAAAGGGCATGCGCTCGCGCTCGTGGTCGACGGACTACAACAATGTCGGCGGCGCCATCGACGTCTACGGCCTCGACAGCTACCCCGGCGCGCTATCCTGCACGGATCCGACCGTTGGGTTCAACGTCGTCAGGACGTACTACCAGTGGTTCCAGAACTACTCGTACACGCAGCCGAGTTACCTCGCCGAGTTTGAAGGCGGGTGGTTCTCGAACTGGGGAAGCCAGACTTTCTACGATGAGGTGGGTGGGCCGAGGGACGATTCGAGGAAGTGGCTGACACGATGCAGTGTGCTTCTGAGCATGATCCGGCGTTTGCGGATATCTACTACAAGAACAACATCGGACAGCGGGTCACTCTGCTCAGCATCTACATGAGTTACGGAGGAACGAACTGGGGTCACTGTGAGTACAACGATGCCCACCATGAATCCTGCTAACGAAATAAAGCCGCCGCACCTCAGGTCTACACCAGTTACGACTACAGGTACGATGCACGCTCCATCTCAAGGCATGACTGACATCAGGAAGCGCTCCTCTCCGGGAAACCCGCGAGCAATGGACCAAGCTCTACCAGACGAAGCTCATCGGGCTCTTCACCAGAGTCTCAACCGAGCTGCTCAAGGTCGAAATGATCGGGAACGGCACCGGTTACCAGCTTTCGTCTCCGTCGGCCTTCAGCTGGGTCCTCCGGAACCCAGACACCCAAGCCGGCTTCACCGTCGTCCAGCAGGCCAGCACCCGCTCCATGACCCCGATTCAGTTCGACGTCACGCTCAACACCACAGCCGGCTCGGTTACCGTGCCCGACGTGATCCTCAACGGACGCCAAAGCAAGATTCTCGTTTCAGACTACACCTTTGGCAAGCACACCCTGCTCTACGCATCCGCGGACATCGCCACGTACGGCATCTTCGACAAGGACGTGCTGGTCTTTTACCTCCAGGAGGGCCAGACGGGGGAGTTCGCCTTCAAGGACGAGGCCGACCTCACCTTTGAAGTCTACGGCGACACCGATCTGACGGAAACAACGAACGGTGGCCATCCGGCCTTCACCTGGAAGCAAGTCGCCGGTTCCACAGTCGTCAAGTTCTCCAACGGCGTCCTGGTCTACCTCCTCGAACAGAAGACTGCCTGGCGCTTCTGGGCCCCGCCGACGACGTCCAACCCGACCGTCAGACCCGACGAGCAGCTGTTCGTCCTCGGCCCCTACCTCGTCCGCAGCGCCAGCATCTCCCACGGCGTCCTCCACATCTCGGGCGACAGCGACCGCGCCACGACCCTCGAGGCCTACGTCGGCGACAAGCCCATCGAGACGATCGACTGGAACGGCAAGCGTCTCGCCGCGACCAAGACCGCCTACGGCTCGTTCACCGCCGAGATCCCGGGCGCAGAGGACCGCCCCGTCGCCCTGCCCGAGCTCAAGAACTGGCGCTCCGCCGACGCGCTCCCCGAGGCGGCCCGCGACTACGACGACTCGCGCTGGGTCGTCTGCAACAAGACCACCACCCCGAGCCCGTACGCCCCCGTCACGCTGCCTGTGCTCTACAGCTCCGACTACGGCTTCTACGCGGGCGCCAAGATCTACCGCGGCTACTTCGACGGCGCCAACGCCACCGCCGTGAACATCACCGCCTCGGGCGGGCTGGCGTTCGGCTGGTCGGCGTGGCTCAACGGGCAGTTCGTCGGCGGAGACGTCGGCTCCGCGTCTGCGACGACCACCAACAAGACGCTCCCCCTCCCCCGTTCTGCCCTCCGCGAAGCAGACAACGTGCTGACCGTCGTCGTCGACTACCACGGCCACGACCAGGCCTCCACGGCGCAGGGCATCAACAACCCCCGCGGCATCCTCGGCGCGCAGCTGCAGCCCGGCAGCTCCCGCACGTCCACGGGATTCAAGCAGTGGAGGCTCACGGGCGCGGCCGGCGGCGAGGCCAACATCGACCCCGTACGCGGCCCCATGAACGAGGGCGGCCTCCACCCCGAGCGTCTCGGCTGGCACCTCCCGGGCTTCGCCCCCTCCGGGCCGTCCTGGGCGTCGCAGTCCCCCCTCGACGGGCTCGCCGAGGCGGGCATCCGGTTCTACGTCACGACCTTCACCCTCAACATCGACTCGGACCTCGACGCCCCGCTCGGCGTCGAGTTCTCCGCGCCCGCGGGGACGACGGCCCGCGTCATGTTCTGGATCAACGGGTACCAGTACGGCAAGTACGTCCCGCACATCGGCCCGCAGACGCGCTTCCCCGTGCCGCCGGGCGTCCTCAACAACCGCGGCCGCAACACCATCGCCGTCAGCCTGTGGGCGCAGACGGGCGAGGGCGCCAAGCTGGACGGGCTGAAGCTGGTGCGCTACGGGCAGTACCAGACGGATTTCAAGTTCAACCGCGACTGGAGCTACCTCCAGCCGGGGTGGGAGGATCGACGGGAATACGCTTGATTCAATCAACGGCGAAAAAGGTATGTGGGTAGAAGTACATCTAGCTTTACAATCATGAATTAGAAGCGGGGCCTATCCGCGGCTTAATGACTTAATGAACTCGAGTACCCTCGACCACTCCAGAGCATGTGACCGATGCTCGTCCGCATGTGCCTTGTTGCCCTGGGCCAGGCACTGCTCGCTCCGCTTCAGGTGCTCGTTCATCAGCGGCTCCAATGGCTCGACCATGCCCGCGGCCGCCGCGTGCGTCAAACACGACAGATACTCTGAGCTCCCGGGCTCGAGCATCATGGCGTAGCGGTAGAAGCCGCGGTTGAACCCGAGCTTCATGAGACGACGGAACGTGTGCGTGGCGTCCTCCTTCCGGCCGAGCCGCAGCTGGACGTCGCCCCAGCTCTCGAGGCAGGTCGCCTCCCAGTCGAAGTGCGACGCGGCCTTGCCGAGGTTCCAGGCGCGCCGGAAGGCGTCGATGGCGAGCAGGTTGTCCTCGTGGGTTTTGCGGTTCATGTGGATCAGGCCCTCGAGGACGACGGCGTTGGCGTCGCGGCCCTGCTTGATCAGCCACGCGACGCGCTCCCGCGTCTTGCCCCACGCCGGGCCGTTGTAGCTGAAGTAGCCCGTCTTCTGGTTACTCATCTGGAGCAGCACCTTGGCGTTGGACAGCGCCGAGGCGTCGTGGCCCATGCCGGCGGCCATGTTGAGGAGGTGGTGGATGAGGTGCGTCTCGCCCTCGGTGCCGTCGCGGAAGAAGTAGAGGAACGTGGCCGTGTCGTGGACGGCGACGGCCGAGGCTCCCTCCAAGTCTGTAGTCTTTCGTTTAGCACGACGCCCGTTCCGGTCTTGCGCTAGGGGAGGTGAGGTGAGGGTTACCCTTGATGAACCACTGGTCCCAGTACGGATTGCTCCCCTTCGAGCGCAGGGCTTCCAGGCCCGCCTGGTAGATGGCGTAGGCCTGCTCCGGGGTGGTGTGTTTGATGCCCAGCTCCTTGTGTTGCTTCTTGAACGAGGCCAGGGAGCGTTCGATCACGACGATCCCCTGCGCGGGAATCCTAAATTTCTGGACCGCCGTCCTCCTGCTCACCACGGCGGCGGCGGCGGCGGGTGGAGGTGCGAAAGGGATCGGGAGCCCGGGGAGGGCCGTGGCTCTGGCGGCCAGCGGCCTGGCGCGACGGGCGGGGATCGTTGTGAGGCGGAACATGGCGGTTCGATGTGAGGGCGACGGGATGAGTGTCTTCTTAGTGGTCCCTCATCGGGGGACGTTGAGCCGAGGTGAGGCTACAGGCGTGAGGCGGGCGATTGATGGCGCTCGGATGAGTTCTTCTGAATTTATGTGCTCAATTATATTGCCACACGGCGTTTCGCGACAATTGAGTGTTTGGCGTCGAGTTTAACTCTCACAATAGACGGACCGGCTTCAACGTGTTGAGATGAAGCTAGGAGCAAGCTCGACTGAGGTTCACGATGAGTGAAGTGGGTCATTCCACTTCAGCCAATCAAACAACGCCTGCTCGGCCGCAGTCCCCACCTCAAAAAAAAAGTTGCGACTGCACGCTTTGCTCGTCTCTCAGTCCTGCTCACTCACCAACACATCCGTCAAATACATCGCCGGACAACCCGTCCCCTTCACACGCACCTTTCAACGCCTTAGACTGTGTACTCTGCGAATTTCACACCGTCGCGACTCGTGGTCTCACTCAAATCGCCATTCGCCACCCGCCCGTCGCGGGAAGTTCACGCTACCACTCACACACTCACCATGGTCACCACACGGAACATGATGCGCTCCGGGGTCGAGTCCCCGGGCGAGAACGCCACGCCCAAGAAGCTGCCCGTCCGCTCAAAGGACGACAAGGAGACGGCCGAGGGCAGCACCCCCAAGCCCACGCCGAAAGCCACTCCCAGGAAGGGCTCCGCCAAGAAGGACGAGAGGCCGCCGTCGTCAAAAAAGAAGTCGACGCTCGTGGTGGAACTGAAGGCGGACTCGACCCCGTCCAAGGGCAGGGAGGAGCAGCAGGAGCAGACGGTGATCACGGGCCCCGAGCAGCCGGCGCCGGAGGTGGAGGAGAAGACCATCAAGGATTCCCAGGACGAGGCGGCGTCACCAGAGCAGGAGGCGGAGGAGGAGGCACCGGCTGCCGAGGCGGCGGGGGAGGACTCGGATTCGGATGAGGCGCCCGAGGCCGTTTCGACGTCCAAGGCTGCCGTGCAGGCCAAGAAGTCCGCACAGGCTGCCAACAAGGCCATCTTAGAGTACGTCACCTGGTGCCCGTCACCGAATTCGCTGCTGACCCCCGCACAGACAAGCCGCCGTGCAGAAGCGCAAGCGTCAGGAGCGCAACACCCGCCTCCAAGAGCAGGCCGCTTCCCGCAAATCGCAAAAGACCGCGGCCGTCGAGGAGGCCAAGGAGGATGGCGAGGAGGAGGAGGATGAAGAGAAGCCCTCGACGTTGCTCACCAAGACCGGACGCCGGACCCGCTTCGACCTCCCGGCGGAGCTCCCGGCCGAGTTCCTCGACTCGGACGACGAAGACGACGGCGAGGACGCCGAGGCCGAGCGCAAGCCGCGCAAGGTGCGGAAGCTGCACACCGCGGAGGCGCAGATCGCGCGCGAGAGCCGCGGCCCCCGGGACGAGGTCGTGGGGTCGACCGTCTTCCGGGTCGTCAAGAAGCAGGACGAGAGGCTGGCGCCCAAGGCGCAGAAGCAGTCGGTCAACGCGAAGAAGGCGCTGCTGGCGCGCGGCAGGGCGCCCGTGAAGGCGCGGAAGGGGTTCTTCGACTAGGTGTGAAGATATTGGGATGGGGTGCTTAATGGGTGGATGGATGGGGTTTTTGAGGAATTGGCCAGGCGAGGCATTGAGTGTCACAAAAGTTTGGATTAGGGGGGAACAGTGAGAGCTACTAATGAAAATGCCGTGTAGGCTCTTGTTCGTCAATGTCATTGTTCGCATCGTCAGTCCGTCGCCTACTTTTCATGTCGCAGAAGGACGGTCAGCACAGTGACCGACGAAGTCGTTGAATTAACTCACGACCCATCCCGCCGGTCCCCGGCGCCTCAAAGCTTAGCACGGATTGGGCCCACGATCAGGGTCTTTTGCATCGCGACCCACCCCGCAGACCTCCAAAATGCAACTCAACAGCGGTGTCTCATTGGGAGACCCGGACGGGGTGCCATGTGCAATCATAGTGGGCAGCGATTGCGCCATCGCGTTGCCCAACCATCGCCGCGGATATTGGCCGAATGAGGAAACGAGCTTCGCGATATGGCTGCCGATGAACTTTTTTCTTCAACCACTGCGGCGAGTCAGACGTGATATAAGATGGGGAAATCGTGATGCTTTCGATTTAGTTGCGCTGTTTCCTGGACGTCTTACTGACTTACAAAGGCGATGGCTTCACTCACGGAAAAGTCGCCAGCCGTGGCCGACAGCCCTGCTGTCGATGAGGAGACGCGGACACCGACTCGCGAGGGCCCTTGGATTCGCTTCATGACGGCTCTGCGGTGGTATTCTCCCGACATGCCCAGCGAGGAAAAGGCCCTCGTCCTGCGACTGGACCTACTAATCCTCATCTTCGGATGTCTCTGCTTCTTCACCAAGTACCTGGACCAGTCGTCCATCGCCAACGCCTACGTCAGGTACGTGTCCATGCTTAGACTGCTTGATTTGGCTAACCAAGCCCAGTGGCATGAAGGAGGATCTCAACCTCGTGGGCAACGAGCTCAACTACATGACAATCGTCTTCTGGTCGTCCTACTGCACCTCCATGATCCCCGCCTGCTACTACCTCACGCGATACCCCGTCAACATCGTCCTGCCGATCCTCGAGATCGGCTGGGGCCTGTCGACCTTCGGCCTCGCCTGGGCCCAGAACGTCCAGACCATCTACGCCATGCGCTTCTTCACGGGCCTCTTCGAGTCCTCCTCCTTCACCGGCATCATCTACGTCATCGGGAGCTGGCTCAAGCCCTCGGAGATCGGCAGACGCGTCGCCGTCTTCTACATCGCCGCGCCCCTCGGCACCATGTTCGCCGGCTACCTCCAGGCCGCCGCCTACACGAACCTGCACAACGTCCACGGCCTCGCCGGCTGGCGCTGGCTCTTCATCGTCGACGCCATCATCACCATCCCCATCGCCCTCATCGGCTTCTTCGTCTTCCCGGACGTGCCCTCCCGCTCCAGGCCGAGGCTGCTGCCCGCGCACCTGCACGCGCTCGCGCAGAAGCGCCTCGAGGGTCTCACCGCGCCGCCGCAGCTAAAGGTTTCGCGCGATATCTTCCGGCGCGTCTTTCGGCGCTGGCACTGGTACCTCTTCGTCGCGCAGTGGACCATCATGAACGAGAACCTGCAGCCCAGCGGGTCCCCCTTCTCGCTGTACCTCAAGGCCTTCCCGGGGACATACTCGGTCACGCGCATCAACACGCTGCCGACGGTCGCGACGGCCGTCTCCATCGTCTGCGCCTTCGCCGCCGGCGCCCTCGCCGACCGCACGGGCTGGTTCGCCGGGCTGACCGCCGCCGCGACGGTGCCGTCGCTGGTCGGCGTCGCGATGCTGGTGGCGTGGGACGTCGGCGAGGGCGGGCGGCTGGCCGCGTTCATGCTCAACGGGTTCGAGGGCGCGGTGCCCTCGCTGACGATGGCGTGGGCGACGGTCACCATGGCGGGCGACGCCGAGGAGCGCGCGGTCGTGACGGCGTCGATGAACGCCATCGGGCAGGCCATCGTCGCGTGGGCGCAGCTGCTGCAGTTCCCCGCGGTCGAGGCGCCGTACTTCCGCCGGGGTTTCAGGAGCGTGGTGGCGACGATGGTGGTGCAGTTCGTTCTGACTGCGGCGATCTGGTATCTCGTCAGGAGGGACCGGAAGGGGGGAGCTTTGGAGGAGCACGTCGCGGACGAAGAGGCGAATAAGGGAGACGCCAAAAGGGAGGCGTAGGGCGTTTGATCAGCTTGAACAGTCGTGGATTATATGACCACACGATGGGAGGTGTCTAAGAATGAAGATATCAAATGAACCGCGTGTCCCGTCTTCGCAACGCGCACACTTGTCGTGACGAATAGATGATCTTACGAAGTTCCCATGATGTATCAACGAGGGTTCAGTCCGATCGACCTCTTCATTTGACATGAACGCACGCGGGTCCACGGCCAGCTTCACCCGCAATGCACCATCTTAATCACTGCCGCGTCTACAAGTGCCATCTGCTCTTCGCTCCTGGCGCATCAGCGATTCGCTGCTCCCAAGGCAACAATCCCTTGGTCTCTTTCCCTTCCCGTCCGCATCGATGTCAGAAAGACCGCCTGGGCTGTTTCTGGTGCATTTAACGTCGTCTTCCACGTCCTCGTCGTCTTCCACCCCCTCTTCATCTTCATCTCCACATCCCCCGTCGTCTTCCACGTCCCCGTCATCTTCATCGTTCCCCGTGTATCCATCAACAAGTACACCCATTAAATCTCCATCAACTACAATGCCTGGAGGAATTACAAACGGGCACGCTGGTATGTTCTTCCTCCCACATCGTCGAGTTCTTCCGGCCCGTCCCCATCTAACAATCACAGCCCGCAGTCCGGCCCCCGCCAGCCAGGCCCCGAATGGAAACCACAATGGAAACCCGGATGGAATTCCGAATGGCATCCCCAATGGCATCCCCAATGGCATCCCGAATGGCATCCCGAATGGCATCCCGAATGGCATCCCGAATGGAGTTCCCAATGGCATCCCGAATGGCATCCCGAATGGCATCCCGAATGGAATCACCAATGGCATCCCGAATGGAGTTCCCAATGGCATCCCGAATGGCATCCCGAATGGCATCCCGAATGGAATCACCAATGGCATCCCGAATGGAGTTCCCAATGGCATCCCCAACGGAACTCCCCGCAGACACATTCACCGACCCCTGAGGGAAGTGAACAGCGCCATTGAGCATCGCCTCAGGGGCATCGAAGCAGCCATAAATGGCTCTCACATGGGCCTAGCCCGCATGGAGCAAACCTTGTCCCTACTCCAGACGTTCGCAGCCCGAATCTGCATAAACACAGACATGTCCAATAGGCATCTGGACAGGTTGGGAGGAGTCCCGGAGGCCACGGCAAGCGTCGAGACCCAACTGCATGCGTTGGCAGGGGTCCCGGCATCCTTGGCAGACATCCGCTAGGAGACGAGTCTCGGTCTGGAGGAGGCTTCCGTAAAAAATGTAGCCATCGAGATGTAAGTGTCTGCTACATATGGTTCTTCCATGTTCGGGTTCAAGCTGACCGTCCCAGGGCAAAGAAATCTCGTCTTCGCCGCAAGCGTGCCGTCAAAAGGTTCCAGGAACGTCAGCATCAGGCCGCGATGCGTCTTACTTATCGTCGTTTACTGAAGAAGCGCCGCCAAGAATCGCCGAGCGCCGGCGAGCCATCTGCGAGTTTTGACGGGTCGTCCCCAACCGCTGCTGAGCCGTCCGCGAGTGTTGATGAGCCGTTCGCGAGTATTGATGGGCCGTCCGCGAGCGTTGATGAGTCGTCTGCGGGAACCAATGAGTCGTCAGCGAATGACAATGAGCAGTGAGGGCTCAGGAAAAGAAACTCTGGATTAGTTTGCACTGTAGAGGGCGTTGTCCGCTGGTTTCTTTATTGTATGGGTAACTCACTAGAGGATGGTGGTGATGGAGTGCATCCGGGCTGGCTGGAAAACAGGAACTAGGCAGTAGGGTAACTTGGCTTTTGCTTAAATTCAACCACATGGCTATAACTTTCTGTCCAAGTGCCACTTTGGAGATCTATCTTGAACAAAGCTTGGTATTCGTTGCTGCGGATTGTCTGCGGACACAATCCGCAAACGATGTGGCGAGAGCAGGACGGACATGGGATGCTGGCGTCTTCATCGTCATCTTCATCGCCGTCTTCGTCAGAGGTTGATCAGGACGAACATCCATTCATCGCGACATCATCATGTAGACAAGAGTGTTGACTATGGGCCATATGTAATGCATCCGTGCTATCAAATAAGTAGCCTCATGAACGCATAATACACATACTGTCTTCCGTCATCCTTCACACTGTCCTCGAAATCTTGCTCTTCGTATCAGCGAATCTTCCATCCATCGCCACATTATTGTGAAAGCAAGATGTCATCACTACCAACGGGTGTTAGACTCTTGCCCCCGGAGTTCTACATCTCTCACACTCTGCGCCGAAGCCGTTGCAGCTAAAGACGAAGTCCATCTAAGCCCTCTTCTCACAGATATTTGCGGCGTGGCTGTGACGATGGACCGTGAGAACTACTCAACAGCTATCCAAGCCCCCTCCGGCGATGGCGACCTGCCACCTGACGTGAAACCACCGTCGTACAATCTCATGCACAAATACGCCCACCTAAACAACCACCCGCGAATTTCACGCTCGATATGATGAGCCTCACATGAGAACAGCCAACTCATAGCACGTCGTCGCTCCCCTGCCGGGAGACTTCCAAGGACCGCTCTCTCCCCGGTTTCCAGGATGATGCACCTACATCACAAGGCTCCCACGTGCAGACTTCATCCCAAACTTGATCACATCCCCCGCGACATCTCACCCAACTCATCCTCACATACGCATAACGAGGCCGGAATCACCGGCCTCTCATGCCTCCTTCGAATCAATCACGCTCAGCCGAGGCAAGTCCCCTCAGCCCCAACCCCACCAGCCACCCAGCACACGCTTCTCACCCGCCACACCCCTCCCTCGCAACAATCGTGAACCCTCACATCAACAACCACCACAAAACTCACCAAAACACCACAAAAAAGCAAAAGAACAGCGCCGCAGCGCCTGCATATGAACCCAACCCGATTTGAACGGATAACCTTTCGATAGAAAATCTCACGATCCGCTGGAGTCGAACGCGCTACCGTTGCGCCATGAGTCCCGTTGGTGAGGACCTCAACCCTGAAAGTTGCACATGAAGCGCGAGGGTGAGTGTGCGCAGAAACGGCGAGATCCGATTGGCCGCGAAAATCCGGCGGACCCCACTTCGCTGCTCTTAAGCTTGCGGTTAGGGCCGACCTACCTCTTCCCGCTTTTTTTCGTCTGGCCGTTCCGCCGTTGGTTATAACCAAACACAGAGAGTCATGTTCACGTTGTTGGCCGCTGCGGCGGCGGCGCGCGAACTGCATTGCAGCACCACCGCCAACATGACTCCCAGAGCGGACCCACGGGGTGGGCTTGAAACATTGAAACCCAGCAGCCCAGGACCACGAGAACCACGGGCGAAAACACAAGGTCTCGTTCATACGAGCCAAGCGCGCTGTCCCCAGGTGCCCCAAGTCCCTCCTCGCGAACAATTGCGAGCCTATCGTGATCGGCACGTTGGACGACTGCAATCGGGGGAGGTAGCAGCCACGAGTCGGCGGCGGGGCCCTGACCGCACACACACACACACGAAGGCTTAGCCCTGACGGCGATTTGGCCGAAGCCGGGTCACGGTGTCAACCTGGTGGGGACGTGTGCGCTGCGGCAGGGCGGGGAGCCGTTGCAACAGGAACGCTGCTGCTCTCTATCGCCGGTGGGCGACGCTGTTCGTCTTAAAGCCAGTCTGATATACCCCATCCCATCCCATGCCCCCCCCAACCAACCCCTCCGAGGATCAAATCGCCGGCCATCGTTTTCTCTTCTCTTCTCTCGTGCATACGGGTGTGGTGACATCGCCTGTCCGGTTGTGTCTATTCGGTCACTCTCTCGATTGTGCACAGACGTCTGAAACAAATCCGTATGTCGTATCCGTCCCATGTAGGAATGGGCGCCCGTAGCTTTGACCCTTTTTGATAGGGAAGCAAGCAGCAAATCGCCACGAGTGGCGGTCTGCGTCTGTGAGTTTGATCTTGACAAGTTTGACAGAAACGGTCATTGGGAACGTCTAGAAGCAGCCGTCTGTGCAAAGCAAGGTTACCTGATCAGCACGTCGTCTGATCCGAAGAGGGCGCCAGAGAGACCTGATCTGAGACGGCGTCAACGTTGCGCGCGAGAGATGAGATGCAGCTCTCCTCAATTGCTCGCAGAACGACGCAATAACCCCGCCCTCCTCGCCTTAATCAAGGACGAGATCGTCGTCCATGGGCCAGCGGAAGCGTGTCGAGGCAGAACCTCGGGCGGGCCTGGGATTGGGTCGGGCTGAGAAAGGGTTTCCCACCTCCAGGATACGCCGTCTTGGAGGATGTTTGAAAAATAGTGTGAAACACTTCATCGGTGGGGGGAGGTGGACGAGATCAAGATCCAACGCTGGGCTTGCATGGGCCCCAGCTCCAGACTTCAATTTGGAATGAAGTGGTCTTGTTTCCACGGGCAATCCCAAACTTGGAAGTTGGTAATTCCTCCGCGGTATCTTTGCAGTGGCCGTGGGACACGTTGCAGCAGCGAATGCAACTTCGACGTCTGTTGTAAAGTTGCCCGACCCTTCGCCTTCGCCTTCGTCTATCGTTCCGGCGAGGAGGTCGGGGATCAGGGTGCCGAACCGCTCCCGGCAAAATGTCGACGTCTGAACTTCATGGAGACGAAGAAGCGGCATCAAGACGTTTTCCGGCTCGAGAAAGACCGCGTCAGCTCGCTCTGCTACAGGTTATATCGAACACCGCCATCGTTATGTGTATCGTCGGAGACGTATGTGTGTGTATGCGGCGACTCGGCTTTTCCGACGAAGCTTGGCCGAAAAAGGTGTGCGGCGTTCGACTCATGACCCGCGCGAACAGTCGGTCTTCGTCCCAACCAAGACTCTCTGGGAGGTTCTGCGGGCTGAGCCTTATCGAATCCGACGTTGTGTGGTGGACTCCTCAAATCGACGCAGCATTGAGCGCTGCCGGCTTCCTGTTTGATCGACGTGTGTTCGGAGGGACACAAGACTGACTCAAGGAGCACGAGGGGATCCCGTGGTTAGCTAGTCCCGATACAATCGCAGGTTGCGAACCGGTCGAGGGGAGGACATCGACGACGCTAGACGGTCCACGGCTGGCTTCTAGAACGGCGCCGGTCGAGACCTCGAAGCTCTTAGTGTGCGATGTTGATGAGGATCGTCGTCACCAATGCACGCCACAATGACGAGCTAGAGACGGAATCGACTTTGGCAGGTTGACGGCAGCCACATTCAACGTCGACAATAGGCACTTTTCCGGACTTGCTGCAGACTCTTCTGCAGACACACATTTGTCAACGTTGCTAAGGACAAGGCCTTGGACCGTCGAGACCACCCCTACCAGCATCTTCGCGGAAGTTTGATTGACACCGAGCAGAATTTCCAAGACCGCGGTCGGGGGGGAGACCTGGCATCGGATTAAACTGCACGACGGCCTATTTATGGCGTCGACTGAAAAAAAGGCCGATGATGTGTCGCAAGCATGATGGCATTCCACGCGCCGTGCAATATGCCCGATTCCCAACCACGACGCAGCGGACGCAGCGGACGCTAGTGTGCAATCTGGATCGTCTGATGTAAACGTTCGAGACTGTTCCCAGCGCCCGACCCGAGAGTCTGATTAGCTCAGAAGAACCTCCGCCCGGTGTTCGCGAAGCATGTTCGAGAGGGCCTGCAGCGCGGACACGAGCCGTGGGAATGGTGAGACACAGAAGTGTCTTGGCTTCGCTCCCGAGACATGGTCATCCAGGGCTCCAGTTTTCCCATCATCCGTTCATGGCATCGACTCGACAGCAGTTAAAACTCTGACGAAGGGTTCGAATGGCAGACGTTCTGCCTCTGCTCTGACGGAGGCAAAAGAGAGTCGACTCGATCAACCGTGAAATCGCTCAAAGCAGGCCGCTCATCACTCGAAGCAGACCGCTCCGATAATTTCTCCCAACCACCCATCTCCAGCGTCGTTGACGTCTCTGATGCCCCTCACTTTCGTCCCGTGTTGGATCGCATACCGCTCTGCGAATGCGACGTGGTCTGCTGCACAGAGTGTGCATTGCCGTAACGCTATTAACACCGAAAGGGGCCCGTGCCACGACGTTCTCGAGATGCAGTGATACAGCACACCATCACAGGAATCGAATCTGGAGCTGCCCCGTTGTCCGATTAGGCACGGCTGCAACATGACAGACACAGTGTAAAGTCAATCCAACAAGAGCCGGGCATTGCAACGTCTTTCACACCTCACTCTCGACGGCCTCAGCCGCTAACCGCCGTTTCCCGTGTCGGCGAGAA